CCCCCCCTACCGCATTAATGATGGAATTGCATTGCATTGCGTGTAGTTTTTGTTGTGTTGTTGCCGTCCGTGGTGTGTGCTTTCTTGTGTATAGCTGGCTGGCTGGCTGTCGACCGACTGGCTCGGTCCGTCTGCGGTCTGTCTGCGGTCTGTCTGTCTGTGTGTGTGTCTGTCTGTCTGTCTGTCTGCTGTCTCCCTCTCTGTGGCTATTGTCAGCTTGGTGGGTAGGTCGGTCCGTGCGTGTATGGCATGACTGGCTGACTGGATTACTTACTGGCCGGCCGATGGATGGATGGACTCATCCTCATCTAAGCTAAATATATCTTGCTTGACACATCCACCATTTCATTTGACAGACACACAGATTCAGGTGTGCTGGGCGCGCGCCCTTCAGCCACGGAAGCGTCCCCACGCATATGCGTATCAGCAAACACCCATGCACAAGCACTGGCAGCACAGAGGCACTTCTCTCGGAAGAGAGAGAGCGACAGGAAGCCACGAAGACATCAACTTAGCTCTGAAAGACGCAATCACCTAGCTAGCTTGTAAACCATTGTCTAGCCCATCCGCCCATTCACATCACTGACAGCACATTATGTGAATCTCACAGCTGCTCACAGGTTAGACCACCTCACTGCACTGCCCTTACAACACATCATCGTCACTCCAGCGATGTTCCAGTCCCCTCGACCTGCTGCCCAGCGGGTAGGCCGCTTCAATGGCATGCTTCACATACGCCTTGCCAAGCCGGCACGCATCATCGACGCTCTTGCCCCTCGCCAGAAACGCAGCAATGGCACTGGCCAGCGTGCATCCCGTCCCATGCACGTTGACCAGCGGCAGCCGCTTGCCCGCAAACACATGATGCCTCCCCGTCTCACGAACGAAGAGGACATCAGCAGCCTCAGAGGGGTCGGCTGCAGCGGTGAGGTGGCCGCCTTTGATGAGGCAGGAGCGAACGTTGTAGAGGTCGCAGACGGCTTGCGCGGCGCCCTTCATCGCCTCGATTGACGAGATCTCGCGGAAAGGACGTGACCCACTGCTGTCCTATAGGAAGGACACACACACACACACACACGCAGAAATGCCATGCGCCAGCACACATGCGGCCACTCACTCTTTGTATACTCACCTTGTAGTCGTGCAGCATCGCCTCCGCCTCGGGCACATTGGGTGTGACGATGGTAGCGAGCGGCAGCAGCTGCTCCTTCATCGCCTCAATGGCGTTGGCCTCCACCAATCGAGCGCCGCTCGCAGCCACCATCACCGGATCAACCACAATAGCCAGATCCGCGGCCCCCTCCTGAAGCAGCACGCATTTGAGCGTGTCCACGACACTCTCGATGATGGCCTTGGAGTAGAGCATGCCCGTCTTGATGGCGGACAGACTGAAGTCAGCAGTGATGGTCTTGATCTGCTGAGCAACGAAGGAAGGGGGAGCGGCGTGGATGGCGTCAACTGCTGTCGTGTTCTGGGCTGTAAGGCAGGTAATAGCGCTGCAGGCACAAACACACGAGAGAAAGGAGCCGTGGCTCCTTGCGATGCACGCCTCATCGACGCACACAGCATGCGATGCTCACCTCGTTCCATGGCATCTGAGGGCGAAGAATGTCTTGAGGTCAGCTTGAATGCCCGCCCCGCCGCCACTGTCAGATCCAGCAATCGTCAAGACCACCGGCAGCCTGGCGTTGTCCTTCATCCCGTTGGTATCTGTCGGACCGTTGCTTGACATGATTTTTTAGTCAATTTTAACTTGGTTGGTTGGTTGGTTAGTGTGTTTAACGAGACTCGTGTCTGTAACCCCGGAGGGAACTTGGGCTTTTTGCTACGCATACAAGCTCGCATGATCCCAACCTGGGCTTTTATCCATGCAATTGTTCGCTTTGCATATATGGTCACAGACGTCTGGCCGAGCAGGGCACTTCTGCAATGTCTGTTGCACAGCTTGACTTATGCATGCGTAATCGATTTAGCGCACGTGTGCTTGCTGAACGAGGACAAACGGATATAAAATGCAGGCAGCAATCATCTCCCATCAGAGGCCACCACTGCCTGTAGGAGAAAGAGAGCCTACCGCCAGACCGCAAACAGAGATTGCCTGTTAAGCCGTCGAAGTAATTGAACGGCTTCTCTGAATGCACTGCAATTCCTGAGAAGCAGCAACTCCACAAACAGACAGCAGGTGTATCGAGTATGCATACATACATTCATGCACAGGTTGGGCTCACCTGCGCCCCCTTTTCGTGGTGGGGCTTGGAGGCCGGCTGGAGCTGCACGGCGTCGTCATACAGACTAACAGACAGACAGACAGACAGACAAACAGACAGAGGTCCAAGAAACTCATCCAAGCAACTACATGGGCACAGTTACAAACGACGGAAAAAACAAAACAAGACCCATCCATCCCACACATCCATCCATCCATTCACACACAGGCAGCCATCCAGTCACTTAGGCAGTCAGCCGAACAGGCGGAAGGCATCCACTCACACACGCACGCACACACACCCACACAGACACACAGACACACATACACAGACCACCATCTGTGGCACTGCTTGTTGTCCTCCCCTGTCACCCGTGTGCTCTTCTCTACTGCAGCATGATGGGTATGAGGTGGACGAGGCCGTGTTTGGCCAGCAGGGTGCGGACCAGGGACATCAATCGGTCGTGTAGAGGGTGATGTAGCCATTGTTGAGCATGTTGTTGAGCCACAGGTGGGCGGCGACGGTGTCGCCCTCCTTCGTGCCCTTGAGCATGATGACCCGATGCTGCTCATCCCCCTCCCTCTCCCAGGTGCAGTCGATGGTGGTGTGGTCCTCGATGGGACCGGTCAGCAGTCGCTGATAGCGCTCATCGCCACCGCCTCCCGTCGCGTCTCCTTGCCTCGCACTTTTTGACAGTCGGTAGTAGATGCCCGCCCAGAACTCCTTAAAATCCGCCTCCGGCGAGCGGAGGAAGGGCATCAAGTCGCTCCGGCTCTTGAGTTTGTTGAATTCTGCGCTGTTGAATTCTGCTGCCACCGAGTCGGATTGGTCGTCCGCTACATACCATCGACAGAGGCCCGACTGAAGCAGGCAACAACCAACAGAGGAACGAATGACCCACACCACATAAACAAGTACCCAGCAGCTCTGCTTTGATGACCCACTGAGTGGCCATAGAGAGCAGCCACGATAGAGACGATGGCTGCAGCAAGTGAAGTCCGATTACATGAAGCCCAACCACTTTGACGATGTCACTTCCGCACCCCCGCAGCCGCATGGTCGCGTTGATGTCGTGCACTGTGCAAGGGCGAGCAGATCCACAAACGACTCCGACAGATATAAAATGTAGGCAGCGATCTGTACACACAGACACACAGAGAGAGAATTCGACGTCTGCTGCTGTTCCAAAAACAATGAAGACTCTATATGTACATATATGTGGTGGAGCGGGGGCTCACAGCGGTCTCAGCGACGCCACCTGCACACAAACAAGGAGGCGCAGTGCCGCTTCGGCCTTGAAGCTGCCGGTGGTCGGTTGGTTGGTGTCGAGCTTCATCTGCCGCGCCATGAGCTGGTGAAAAGGGTGCTGCGGGTCGGACAGCGAAGGTAGCTCGGCGGGTGGAGTTGCCGCTGGGCCTTGGTTGGGCGGGTACGAGGACGTCGCTGACGCGGTTCGGCTGTGGATGGTCGAAGGGGAGGGCGACGTGTAAGGCCATCCCTTGGCAGAATGCCGGCTCCCTTTCCGCCCTATCCCGTGGTCTTGTCTCCCTCTCCACCTCCCTCATCCTTTCCCACATCCCGCCAATCCACCCGCCCACCCTCTTGAGGATGCCATCTCTTGGCCTCTTGGTGTTGAGCTTCAGCTGCCGATCCATGAACTGATGAACGGGGTGCAAGGGGTCGGACAGCGAAGGTGGCTCCTCGGCGGGCGCAGTTGCCGTTGGGCCTGGGGTGGGCGGGTACGAGGGGGCCGACGTTCGGCTGTGGATGGCCGAAGGGAAGAGTAAGGGACAGGGGAAAGCTGCACGACGTCGCCGGAAGCCGGAATCCCGCAAACAACCCAAATGCGGAAAGCGAAAAAAGAGCTGGCTCGTCTCGTTATTCTCGCCACGCGATTCTCGCCGGTTACAGGACTCCTTTGCCTGACAATGAGAATGATGAATGACAAGGCACGCCCTTCGTACCAACGTTGCACGTCCGGTGATGACGCGTCCCATAAGCCTGTTCATCTACGGCACCTCCTTTTCTGTCTGCATCTCTACACGCAATATATTGTACATCTATCCTCTGTCTTTCATGTCATGTCATACACTGCAGAAAAATACACACACTCGTGGACACATGCACACGGAGTAAGCATGGTCGCACCCGTCTCGCCCGTAACGACCACTCGCCGTCAGAAAGCCTTTTAGGCTCGACGCACACTCACTCGATCACTCACTGTACAAAGCACCCACCCACCCACCCCACCCGCCCACCCAAGAGAAAAATGGAGCCACTCATACACATGACAGCGACGAACATGTAGTGCACTCACACAATACATCAAGGAGACGCTTGCAGAACGAGTCACGTCTCCAGGCGGCGAGGCGTTTCGGTCCAGAAGAACTCGACGACACTCGAGGGGCCCCTGCCGCACCTGCATATGCACACACGACGGAGCCAAAGGCGTCCATTCATCATGCTGTATGCATCGCCCCTTCCCTTGATTGCACACACTGACCAGTACACAGTGCCCTCCTCGTCCCTCATGAGTGTCAGGTCAGCCCCCGTGGCGATCTCGACGACCCTTTGGCGAAGGTGACCACCCCGTCTTCCTCTTCCGAGCTCGAAATCAGTGCTAGGCAGGCCGTAGATGAGTGTGGCGGCCGAGTGGTCACTGGTGGCAAAGCCCTTGATGTTGGCGCCCAGGGCCAGCTGGCCGTAGTGGCTGTTGCCGGCCCCGTACACCTCGCCCTTGGCCGACAGGAACAGGGTGTGAGCCGGGCCGCACGCCACCCTGCACACAGACGAACATACACACAGGCAGGGGTGTCTTCGAGCTACTGAAGTAGCAAGAGGGGCACTCTCGTGCGCGTGTTGCGTACCTGACGATGTGGACCTTCTCGACGCCCTGCACCTCGTCTTCGTGGTCGCCGCGGCAGAACGTCACCTCCCTGATCTCGCCCTCGTCTATCCACGGTGCGTCCGCAGAAGATGCCTCGGCACTCGAGCCCGTCTCCTTCCCCGTCGGCCCCGCTGCCGCACCGCTTCTGCGGGCGTATGTCGCCCCAAATGTGTACCGCATGACGAAGGCAGCCCCGTCACGCGTCGCAAACACACACCGATCCGAGTGGTTTGCGATGGCCATCACGCCCCCTCTGCTGCGAGAGAAGGCTGTCAGCCTCGGGAGCTCCTCGGCCACCCATGGATCGGTGCTCGCAGGTCCAAACACGAAGACACGCCCACACTTGGTGAGAATGAGGCAGTGGTCATCGGCAGCTGCCACTTCGGTTGCTGGGCCTAGTCGCACCGGAGGGGAGGGGCTGGGGGGGTGGGGGAAGAAGGGGCTGGTGGGTGAGAGCTCAGCAGAGGAGGATGCCCTCGGGCTCCTGCGGCTGAGGAACGGGAAGAGCGGAGGGCGCGTGACAACCGTCGACGCGGAACGATTGAACGCACTCGAACGATCACCTGCGGCACGTAAGACGACGCAATGATCCGAATTCGACATGTGTCGGTTCTCTCTCTATACCTGTCTGTGCATGCGATGGTCGAGGCTCTGGCGCGGGCATCAAATCCACCTTAATGGGTCCACTGGAATCAGCAGTGGACGGCCGCCTCCACCGCCCGAAGAAAAATACTTCACCTCGTGCCGTCACCACGACAGTGAAAAACCGGCTGCAACACACTTGGACGGCATGGTTCCCACGAGGGCCGAACAGAGGCACTCGGCGAGGCGGCGCACTGAGTAAGAGACAGACAGGACGATGGGAGAGCGTCATTGTGTGCGTCTGCAGGGCATGGCTGCCTTCCTTACTTACTTGCGGAGCGGGAGGCTGTACCCCAGCTGCCCGTCCACCGACTGTCCAAACGTCCACACCTCGCCTCTCGCGGTCACGAGTGCGCTGTGCGCCTCGCCGGCGCCCACACAGACGATGTTGCGGGGTCTGTTGTCCCCCGTGAGGCCCTCGAAACACGGCCGCAACTTGGAGCGCTGATTCCGGTCACGTAGCGCCAGCTGACAGAAGAACAGAAGGCAACACATCCACGGATCCTCTCTACCTCCAGCAACATGTCCCCTGTTCACCCACCTGTCCATCGTAGTTGTTGCCGCCGCCCTGGAGCTCCTCCCCGCTCGTCAGGAGCAGCAGGTGCGCCTGACCCACGGACATGGTGCCGCTGCCCGTCCCACGCATCACCTCAGCAGCGTGGAGGTTGTCCAAAGCTTCCTTCGAGGGATCGGCAAAGGACGGAGGGAGGTCATAGCCGCGCTGGATCATGCTCACGGCTGCCGCTTCGATGACAGCAGGAATGAAGGGCTGTATCCCCAACAGCTGGCGGAGGTTTGAGGAGGTGATGAAGGATGCGATGTCAATCAAGCTGGTCTCGGGAAGGTCACAGACGCTTGCTGGCTTCTTCTGTGCCGTCCTCGTTTGCTGATCCGTGCGCGGCGCAGCCATTGCGTCCGTCGAATCCCCCATTGTCGCACTCCTTAGCTCACGCGCCAACCAAGCTATCTTCAGCTCATCTTGGTATCGTATGGACGTCACTCAACGCCCGTTTGCGCAAGGCGAGCCTAAAACAAGCGCGCAATCGCGAACCCTGCAGACCGAACCCTAGCGCTGGGTGATTGATTCATTGTGGGACGGCATGTACAAGTATGTAGAGCAGAATATGTACAGGTCGGTCAACTGGTGTCGTACACACACGTATGCACACACACATGACAACATGACACACGCCACATACATACATGGCTACATATTAGTGTTCGGACAGGAAGACCGCACAAGAATTGAGGATGCGGTGCTGGCGGCTGTCTGTCGGCATGTCAACCTGCAAGCAATACACACACATCACATCACACCACACGACACGCGACGCAACGCATTGCCACACCGAGATGTGCACTCACTCAGTCTGTCTGGTCAGCCTCACCGCGCACAGGAAGAACTCCCTGGACAGCGACACGTACACCGGCATACTCACGGTGGTCTTCGCCCCGCCCCCTGGCGGTGCACTGGGAGGCCTCGACGAAGGCCTCTCGTCGGCAGACGATGATGCGGGCACCCACCCCATGCTGAGGGGCGGGAGGCGCGTCAGCTGGGGGGCGTCACGAGAGCTGCTCTCCAGAAGGGCTGCGTGAATCAGACCATCGGACCGACATCGAACACCTGGGCGCTGTTGTCGCGCTTGATGGTGTGTGTGTGTGTGTGTGTCTTGGTGTGTGTGTACCTGATGATGGGTTGAAGCTGCAGCCCTCGAGGTAGAGGCCCTCCACAGACACAGCACCCTGACACACAACATGCACAACACAGCCAAAGAGCAGTTGATCCGCATTGGTCGGGGAGCATCATCGATGCGATGCGATGCCCCCGTCTGTGTGTACCTGCATGGACAGCGGGCCGAAGGAGGTGAAGAGGCGAAGACTGTCGACCGCCTGACCACTCAACCGCGCCGTCTGCACGCACAAACACAACAAACAACCAAGACGTATAGACGCCTCTGGTCGTGTCGCGCATGTGTGGCTGCGGTGCTCCCTCCCTCCCTCCCTCCCTCCGTCTCCTTGGTCACTCACTCACTGACTCACCTGTTGCCTGAGTGCATTGAGGAACACTTCAGGGTGGAGGAAGTCAGCCAGGTTGACGGGCTGCCGCAATATCGACCCCTCCGTCGCACGAGGACTGTACACGCTCTGACACACATATGTATACGGAGGATACACACACACATCCACAGAGAATACACGTCGAAACACCCTCACGTGTGGTGTGGTCCCCCACCTTGAGTAGGTGCGCTTTCCTGGCGAGTTCGTTGAGGAAGGGGATGGGCGACGACGGGGCGGCTGGCCACGTCAGTGTCCAGCTCTCAGGCACACTGCCGCGCAACAAATGCTGAATATATGAATCACACACACACACACACACACATACTTGACAGAGATGCACACCCGGTTGAACAACACCTGCCTGTCTGCCTGTCTGTGCGGGTTCCCACTTGCGCTTCGCGTAGGATGGTGGGTGTGAGGAGGGCTGCCCCACTGACCACCCTCTGCATGGCCCTCAGCGCCCCATCCACCTTGTGCACCAGCTCCATCGCCTGATGCGTATCATTCAGGACGAAGCTCTCCACAGGCGGCAGGTCGGCCGACGCGGACGCAGCTGCAGGCAGGTCTTGGGCTCCGCCACCCTTTTTGAGCGCCAGCGGTTGTGTGGCGCCCTCCCAAGTGGCGAAGAAGGGGTGCAGCTGCTGGCCCATGCCCTTGAGGTGGAGGCTGCCCACGTCGAGCTCCCCCGCCACCGCACCCGCCTCGATCTGCTTGAGCGAGTGGATCACCGCCTCGGAGTTGACGCGCTGGACAGCCCTGAACACGCACACAGCCACATTTTATCCATTCTGTTGCCCTTGTGCCCCCATCCATCCATTCACCCACCTGTCTACATTGGCCGGCAGTCCGAATGCGTTTGGCGCGTCGTGGTCGGCGAGCCCCTCGACGCCCTTACGATAGTCCGACAGCCTCACTGACTGGGGGAGGGGGAACGGCGGCACGGGAATCGGACCTCCAGTAGCACCCTGGCCGCCACGACGGGCATCCAACACGTCGGGTCTGCATCAATGGGACGAGGACCAGAAGATCCATCCATTGCCGTACATGTTTCTGTCCCATTTCGTCCCGACCACCTGAAGAATATTTGCAGGTACTCGAACACCAGTCTAAGGTCGAAGTCATTGTCCACACGTGAGCCGTAGACGGCGAACTCAAAGACCCCCCTGATGGTGGGCCAGTCGATGGCAGCCCCCTGCCCACCACCAGCAGCAGCAGCAGCAGAGGCCTCCACCAGCCCTATGACGGTCTCGCACGCCGACTGGAGGTCTGCAGACGAGAACTCGTAGAACTTGGTCCACCCCTGCGGGATGAAGCTGCGGCGCTCCTGCACCACCGCATGGAAGTGCGCACACACAAACAGCAGCTGCGCGCGCAGCAGCTGCTCCCCCTTGCCGAAATACGGGTCGTTCCAGGCCTCGAGCGTGCGCAGGAGGTTCTTTTTGATGCCTGGGGGCGCCTCGTAAGTGATCTTGAGGGAGGACTCGAGCAGTATTGGCGGGAAGCGCAGGTGTGGCTCGGTGGTGAGCCAGCAGCGGAAGTGGGGGTGGGGCGGGAGGGCGGCCAGGGTCTTGAGCTCCTTCTCTAGCAGCGGCAGCCAGGGGGTCACCAGATGCAGGTTCTTCAGGCACACCCACCACCCCTGACGCGCCGCCTCCCTGAGACGAACACCCCACGCCACGCCACGCCCACACACAGAAAGAGATATGATGATACGTGTCATTCTTCCCTGGAATGGACGCATCGCATGCACCATGGGCCACACCACAGCACACCGGGCCCGGCCCACCTGAGGAGGTCGATTGCGTCTTGGTTCTGCCCGCCTCCCATGGCAAGCGACTTGAGCTCGACTTTGGACCCATCGTCGGCCCGGTAGGCCTTGGCAAAGTCCTCGAGTTCCCTGCTGGGGTCGGCACCTGGGGTGGTGACGAACAGGATGGGCTGCGCTGGGCCGCTCTCCTCCGCATACAGACGCGGGAGGGACAGGGGGGCGGGGGAGATCGATCGAAGGCCCAGTGACTCACAGATGAACCTGAAGGAAGGAAACAAAGGAACAGGAAGGGAAGATACATACGTATGCAGCGTCCGTGGTTGTCCCTGTCTGTCCTGTGCCTGGCTGACCGATGCAGTGCGCTCTCGAGTCTGTCTGGCCTGAGTGCCTGGATCAGCAGCACTCGGCTGAAGGGGGTCATGCGGGCGAGCACCTGCTGTGGGAACTTCTCCTCCGGCTTGTCGCTCGTCATCCACGCCCCCCACATGCCCTCGTCGCTCAGCCCCCACACCTCCTCACCCCCCTTGCTGGTAGAGAACACGCCCCGCAGCCTCATGAGGGCGTCCTGCCGCTCCTGCGGCACCCACGAGAGTGCCGCGGGCTCGCCGCCCCCTCGCCCGCCTGCTGCTGCTGCTGCGGCGGCGGGGAGGGTGACGCCTTGGAAGAGGCTCCAGTCTGCGTCGTTGTCGAGGAAAAGATCAGCGTGCAGCCCGCGGACAATGTGGAGGCCGAATGTGAGACGATCCTTCTTGAACAACGACCTAGATAGAATGCAATTCGATGCATTGCAGCACTCATTAACAAAGGCAGTCAGTCAGTACGCATGCGGGGAGTGAGGGCTGTGTCTGTCTACCTGGAGACGTAGTTGAGGACGAGGACCTTGAGCTGGTCGCCGAGCAGCCGCAGGAGCTCCGCGGCGGCCGAGCCCTCCTTACGTGTGCCCCTGTCGAGGGCCTTTTTGAAGAGGCCGATGAATGAGCTGAGTGAGAACTGGTACATGTGGTCCAGCCGGGAGAGGTCCTTGAGGAGGATGAAGAACCGAGAGCCCAGGACGGCCAAAGGGCGATAGACTTCGCGTTGCTCATCTAGCGACATCTGCACCAATGAATGCACAGACATCGACATGAATGTGTGGGTGGGTGGATGGGTGGGTGTGGATGTGTTGGTCCTGCGAAGCCATTGCAGATGGTTGACCTGGAGGTTGTGGGACTCCTCGAGCGCCTCCGCGATGGTCTGGCTCTTAGCCTTGGTCTCGTTGAGCGAGCTGATCAGACTCTGGTTCTCCAGAATCGCTCCAGACGAGTCGGCCAACTCCTGCAGGCAGCACAGACACAGACCGACATACACACATGACACGACCCATACATATGTGCAGTGCATATGTGACCAGATCCATCCGTTTGCTGACTGACCTGCAGCAGCTGCTTCTCCAGGTCTGCAAGCTGCAGCTTGAGGTGTTCCTCCTTCTGCAGCAGCTGGCTCTTGCGCTCCTCCAGCTGTGGCTGCTCGTGCTGGATGGTCACACCCAGCAGCTGACCCTCCAGACCAGCTCGGGTCGTCGAGAAGTTGACGAACGTCACGAGCGACGCAGCGTTGGGCGGCAGGGCCTTGGCCGAGGCGGCGTTGCGCGTGCACAGGTACAGCTGGAACCCGTCGTTGTAGTCGATCGTCTTCTCGCCAACCTGGACCACCTTACGAGGACCCTGCAGCACAGCGGAGCATCCATCGCGAAAAGACCATAGAGCATGGGTCTATGGGAGTTTGCGTGTTGCTGACCTGGTTGGTGAGGTCCCTCCGAAGGAGGGGGAAGAGGAAGGGCTCGACGGTGTCCGCCTCCTGCACGACGAGCGTCTTGCCGAATCGCACCGACAGCTCGAGTGTGGTGATGAACTTGGCGTCCTGCAGCAGGACCGTCTCGGTGCCCTTGCTGCCCAGCCGGTGCTGCAGCCACACCACCGCCTGTGTGTTTGGGTCGACGATGAAGGGCCACATGGTGGTGGATGAGTTGAGGATGACCAGGCCGTTCTCCATCGACAGCTGGTCGGACGGCAGCCCCTCCCCCTTGTACGTCAGCAGCTCAGACTCCGTCGACATGAACCGCAGGAAATCAAACTGCTGGAAGCCGCCAGCCTTGCCGCCCGCATCCTTGGCCAGCTCCTCCCAATGCTGCTTGCACTTCAGCCGCCGGTCTTCGGGCTGCGGGCCGAGGTAGGTGCAGTAGCCGGCCGCCAGTGCTGCGTTGAGCGGCAGCAGGTGACCGGCACGGTCGAGCTCGCGCACCTGGCGGTCCCACCGTTCCTTCTCGCCGGAGAGTTTTGAGAGCAGCGCCTGGGCCTTCTCGAGGGTCTTCTGGGCGTGCTCCAGGTCCACCTTCAGCCGCTCAGCCTGAGTGATAAGAGGGAGGGGAGGGGAGGCGAGGCAGGGAAGGGGTGAGCTCGGCTGAGTGGTGAGACCACCGGTCCGGTTCGTCCATTTTCCCTGCGACGTACCTCTTTGGTTCTGTTTGCGAATTCGTTTTTCAGTTCGATGACTTGTTGGTCGATCGACTCGAGCTCCTCCTTGCACTCAACCACCCTAGACACGTTGACACCAACAGTGAGTAACAGCCATGATGCCGCCCCTTCCTTCCCTTGTCTGCCCCCACCTACCTCTTTCGTGCCCTCTCTAGCGACCTCGACGCCGTGTCGAGCTGCCACTCCATGGGTGCCACCTTCTCCAGCACTGCCGAGTACCGCACATTGGCGACCACCCAAGACGCCAGCGGTGCCGCTGCCACAGACGTCCGGTAGATGACCGAGTGCTCGAACGAGTTGGCCTTCTCGGCGAGGAGCCGCTCCACGTCAGCTCTGATCTCTGGTAAGATGTCCCGCGCGTCGAAGTTGAGGATGCGTGTGATGATGCCGCGCTCGCCGAGGAACCTCTTCATGGATGCCCACGAGCAGTCGTAGGAGCCCATGAGGCGCAGGACTCCCGAGAGGACGTCGTGGATGGGCTCCGGGGGCATCTTGAGGGACTTGATCTCGTTGAGCTGCGAGGGGCTGATGCTGCCGACGGCCTTCTTGGCCTGGTCGATGAGCGGCTGGATGGTCGACAGCTGCTCCTCTATCTTGCCCTTCTCCTGCAGTGCAGGCCAACCAACAGACGACATGACATCGCATTTCATTTGTGTGTGTGTCCGTCTTCTGCGTCAGTCACGGATACCTCTAGGTTGTGTTTTTCGTCTTGTTGTGTCTCCTTCTCCAGCTTCTCGACCTCCTGCCGCCGCTCTGCTGCGGCCTGCATGGCCTGGGTGATGTTGTGCAGCGCCTCCTGCGCCCGCTTTTGCTGCTCTGCCAACTCGATCTGTACAGCGTGACACACACACACACACACACACACACAGGGAGGAGAGGAAGATATGGACGGAGGGACGGCCGGACGGGCAGCACCCCTCCCCTCCCTTCCGCCCCCCCTCCCGTCGCACGCACCTCTTTCTTGTGTGCCTGGTCCTGCAGCTCTCCGACGGTCCTGGAGACCTCCTGCAGCTTGTTGAGCCCCTTCTGCAGGTGGGACGCCTGGCCGTGCTGGCTGTTGTCCTTGGCCTGGAACACACCCTGGTACGCCTTGAGCAATGTCAGCAGCTGACGCGGCTGCGCCGCACCACTCGCCACCTGGCTGCCATGGATGTCCATCAGCAGCTTGATCACCACACCCTTGCCCTTACCCTTGCTCACGCCCTCCTCCTGCCGTGCTGCTGTGGCAGTACCACCACCACCGCCCCCCAGGACGATCTGGCAGATGAGGCGCTGTGCGTCAGCACTCCAGTCGTCGACCCAGAGGAGGGTGGTGTGGGCATAGAGAGCGGGGTTGGCGGCGCAGCTGAGGAGGAAGTGCGGGTGGGTGGGGTCCATCGAAAGCACGATGCACAGCTTGGCGCGGATGCGCCCCACGAAGAAGTCAAACAGCGTCCGGGCCTGCCCCGATGACGCCGCATACTCGTCCTGACAGCCACGCACCATACCGTGCACACAAGATCTTACATGGTCACACTTGTCCGTGCAGTGCAGCAAGACCGCTCTCTCTCTCTCTCTCTCTGACCTTGATGGATCCCAAGATGGGGTCTAGCTCTTCAGGCGTCCACAGCCCAGGGATCTCTCCGGCAGATATGAGTGAGTTGAGCAGCTCCAGGAAGCTGGGCTGCAGGAACTGGTGGTCCTCCATGAAGAAGATGATGCGCTCACCCTCCACACCGGCCGACTGCAGCACCGCCTTCAGGTCGCGACGGAACTCACGATTCGAGTAGTCGCGGGTGACGGCGGGGGTGACCAGCCGCACTCGGTGCAGGTACGCCAGGAGGCTTGCAAGGGCGCGACGGCCAATGCCGCTGCGGCCAACCAGCAAGAGGCTGGAACCTGGTTGCCGAATCGTCACACACAAGAGAGCCACAACGAAATCCATTCCACGTGGCGCATGGATCGGATCTCGCACTCACCTGGTGCTGATGCGGCTCTGTCCATGTTGGCAAGGTGGTGGAGCATCTCGTCGAAGAGGATCAGCGGCCGCTCCTTGACCTCTCGCTCGTACGCTATCAGACCACGCTTGATCAACTCGCGGAAATCTACATGATACACACAACACACAACCATGGCATAGCCATCTGACGTGACGTGCATCCCATCCTCTTCGTTCCGGCACCTTTCTGCGGCACGGCTGTGAGTTCTCCAGTAGGGTGCCCGTCAGCGCCCGTCGTCAGCAGGCTCGTGTACAGCCCGCCCTCCTCACCGGCTGCAGTGGGGAAGCTCCCCCGCACCACCTGCGATAGCAGCGAGTCGAACCGTGCCTGCCCGTCCACCCCGTTGATGCGATCCCTGAAGATGCGCCGCCCCTCATACGCCCACGCGTGCAGGAGGGTGGACCCGTCACCACCCGCCGCCTTGCTGTTGACGTCGTCGTATCGCATGAGACCCAGGAGCCATCTGGTGAGGTCGCGTGGGGTGAAGAGGTAGTGCGGCTGGTCGTCGACGGTGAACTGGGCCCTCACTGCGGCGTAGAGGGATATCATGGCGCCGGCCAGCCGGTCCGCCATGTCGGCCGACACACCCAGGGCAGCGCCACATAGCGTGCTGAACACCTGCCTGAGAGCAGAGAACAAAGGGCATGCATGACAACACGTGCTGCGTGGGTCGTGTGTGATGAGTGTGGACCTACTTGAGCTCTTCGTTTGAGGGGTATGAGACGGCGGCGAGCCGCACGTTGGCCGTGAAGCGCGTGGAGAGGGGGTAGCGGCCGAGGGTGGACGCGGGAGCCATCGAGGCCACAATCTGAAAGGAAGCACACACACATTCCTCCTCCATCCATCCATCCATCCATGTATCGGTGCGCACCACCGCACCTGTATGTGGTCAAGGTGAACGAACTCTAGGTCTTCGTCATAGAAGCCGTGGTGCGTCACGCACTGCTGCAGGAAGGCGATCACCTGGCTGGTGGCGTACATGTCGGGCTTGGGCAGGTTGACGTCCTTCAAGTACAATACCACCCTCTGGCAGTCCTTCGGGCGGTACACACGACCCTGCAGTCCAGCCAACAGGAACCACACCACACCACACCACACCAGCTCACTTCATATCAGTGGCTGCAATGCCACCCGCCCCGCCCCACCACTCACTCAGTCACCTGTGTGCCGGTTGACACGGTGCAGACCTGCCTGAGCTTCTGCAGCACGTGTGTGGATGACGTTTGCGCGTTGCAGTGTAGCGTGGCGACGTGCACCGACCCCACTTGCTGCTTCTGCAGGTCTGTGAGAGCGTAGCGGATGAGCAGGTTCTTGCCGCTGCCCTCAGGGCCGGCCAGCAGCAGGGGGTCGCCCCTGAAGAGCCAGGTGCGAAAGATCTCCATCTCCTGCAGGCACCACGTGTTGGGCACCAGCGGCGGCAGCGAGTGCAGCTGCGCCGCTTTAAGCGCATCCAGCGTGATGCTGCTGCGAAGCGACGACGGATCGAAACGCTGCAGCCGTTTGGTGTGTGGGTTGGCCCAGCAGTTGAGGGGGTCTGACGTGTCTGGCGGCCGCTCGCCGCTCCATGAGAACAGCTGCACGGCGAACTCTGCCCTCTTGTCGAGGAAGAGGTTGCCCCCCAGACCCCGCAGCAGCGCCATGACGAAGTCGGTGCGGCTGATGGTTGGCTGCTCTGCCGGCTGCTTGCCGCCGGCGTCGTCGGCGTCGCGGATGTCGGATGCCGTTGTGGTGCGGTCGGGGAGGTGTGAGAGAGCGTTGCGCACCATGCCCACCCTGGTCGTCTCCACGGCGAACGGCTGGCCCTGAATGGACGCGACACAGATGAGAGGGTACACAAAGGATGCAGCAATGCCATGCATTGCATTGCCTTGGTTGCGGCACTCTCTTTTCTTACTCTGTCGTATATCCACTGGAGGGCCTGGTAGAAGAGCTCGTCGAACCACGACTCCAGCTTGCTGCAGCCACAAGGAAGGATGCATACGTACGGCAACACTCAGTCAGGTAGGTGTGTATTGGGAGTAGACAGACAGACCCATTTGTGTTGTGGTTGCGTACCTCTGGTGGTCCTCTGGCTGCTTGAGAATCCAGCTGTGTATGAGGCACTTGAGGTCGACGTCCTCCTCTGACAGGAAGAGCATCCCACACCTGACACGCCGAGCAGAACCATACCCACACACTCAGAGGTACGGTACCCACCGCGCGTGGCATGCATGAGTAAGTTAAGTCAGTCCTTCACACAAACCAACCAAACATACCGACCGGCTGATGGTCGCGGGCGATGCAAATCTGAGGTCGTGTGTTTCGAAGAGGAAGTGCACATTGTCGCCAAACGAGATCCGCTCGCCGTTCGGCAGCGTCAACAAGTGGTTGTCGTCCAACACTGCAACGCACACACGCCACGCAATACACAGAGGACGATCAGACAGCAGGCGTGCCTGCGGTGCCGACCTGAGTTGAGGCTCTCCACCCACTCCGGGTCGACATCGCCATCCATGACGATCCAGCTGTGGACGTCAGGCGGCTCCTTGATGACCTGCCTGGCCGACGCTGTCAGCACGCCGTCCGACCACTCCCTCGTGTCGGGGTCCATCGACCCCAGCAGCTGGGCGCGGGGCATCGACTTGGGGTTGATTACGTGCACTCGCAGACCCTTGGACATCCTGCAGTGCACCCAGGGTGGGCCACACCACACACAGAGGAACATTCGACCATCGATCGATGCGGCCGTGCAGGCGCCTCTGTTGCTCACTTGATGTAGGCCTGGTGCAGTGTCTTCCATATGAGCGACTTGCCGCAGCCCGAGGGGCCCACAATGATGACGCCCATCCGCTGCCGCGAGGCCTCGTGCAGCTGCAGGATCTTGGTCACCTGTCCCGCTATGGGCACGATGCCCTGCTCGCTCATGACAGCCATGACGGTGTCCTTGAGCTCGGGGTACTCGATGTCGCTCACAGAGAGGGTGGGGAACATGTCGGCCAGCAGACCCTCGAACAGACGCGCGTCGGCGAAGGTGAGCTTGGACATGGTGTTGATGCGGGTGGCCTTGATGAGCAGCACCGACTCTTTCTCCTCACTCAGACGACCGCCATCACTCTGCTGGCGCTCCCTCACACTCGCCTGATCGATGGATGCACACACATATGGGATTTCCGGCCTCTCTGTCTGTGTCAGCCAGCTCTTACCTGCAGCAGCTGCCCGGATACGGTGAGAATGGTCTTGAGTGCGCGGAGGCCCCAGTCGTAGTGCTGCTGTGGCGAGAGCAGCTGCTTGGAGAGGAGGAAGAGCGTCACGATCTTCTTGCCAAGCCGTTTGGCCGAGAGGAATCCCTCGGCAAAGAGGAGGACCTCGGCGATGAGCTCGTTGTCCGGGACGGACATGGCGACGGGTCTGAAGAGCTGCTTGAGGTTGTCGGGCAGCTTGGACCGGCCGCCGTACCCCTTGCCGGCGGGGTTGAGCGTCACGAAGATGCCCGCCGTGTGGTTCACCTCCACCTCACGGCTCAGCAGCTCCAATGTCTTGTCGCGGTTCTTGATGGCCGCTTGGATCACCTGGTTGACGTGACGCGTGTGAGTCATGCGTGTGGCGTTAGTGTGGTGTGCATACCTCCCTACCTGTATTTGTTGTGAGACGGCTGAGAGTTGTTCCTCGAGTAGCCGGTTGAACTCGTCGAAGCACCCCCAGGCCCCGCAGCGCACCAGGCCGATGAAGATCCGGCCCATCGACTGGAAGTCTATGCCCTCGTCGCAGTTGAACACCAACACCTACACACACACACACACAGAGAGAGAGAGAGACAGAGAGGGCGAGAGAGAGAGAGGATGAACCAGCCCACCAATCCCGTCCCATACCCCACTCCCCCCCTCAGTCACTCACCTGTCTGCCCAGTGCTGCCCCGAGTGCCTTGACGCTCTCTGTCTTGCCGGTGCCTGCAGGTCCGTAGGGGTTGCCGCCATAGCCCAGGTGCATGCCGTGCATGAGGGTGAGGTAGCACTTGTCGGTCAGGGGGGTGTGCACCAGCCGAAGGGGGCTCCCCTGGTACTCGAACGTGTACATCTGCTGCGACTCGAGCATCTTGCCGAAACAGGTGCGTCTCGTCTGCCCCCCGCCGCCGGCCTTGTCGTCCTGCAGGTAGAACCGCAGCTGCTTGTACCAGTACCAGTCGGAGACCCTCGCCGTGCGAGACTCCTGCAGCTGGTCGAGCACGTCGATGTGGTGGATCACGTCAAGGATAAGCGACTTCAGGTTGGCCTGCACACACACAACAGATGGAGCGGCCGATTCATTCGTCAAAGCATCCATCCCGTGTCTGTGTGCGTGTGTGCCGACCTGCTGCAGGAGGTCCCCCTTGGGGTGGCTGGTGAGGGCCTGCAGCTGGCCTTGCAGCTTCTGCTTGAGCGTCACGATGCCCTGTGCTCCGGCCGACGCCAGCGACCTCTCCACGTCACGGCAGAAGAGGATGCTCCACGCCAGACACGTAATCTGCACGCAGGGAGGGACGACGGACCACCATGAACGTGACATGACAGCATTCTCTGCTGTTTTTCCGCTCACACCTGCGATGAGAACTTGAAGATGTTGAGCTCGCTGCTCTTGCTAAACTCCTGCACGGCCTGCGTGAGGCTCACTGCCAGCGTGGTCTGCATCTGGTTGGCCAAGTCGCTCATCCAGTGCTCCACAGGGCCGTCCACCGGGACCGGGACGATGAGCGGCACCTCCTCCTGCATGCTGGACCGCATGGTGAGGATGGCCTTGCCCTGGCCGCCCTGCTCGCCATCGTTGAACGACACCCGGTTGATGCCGGCGAAGAGCTTCTTGAGGTGGGACTGGATGACGGCAGGGTTGGCCGACTGCCCCAGGATCTCCAGCAGGTCGTCGTCGCCGATGAAGTAGAACCGCGGGAAGGCCGTACGCTTCTGCTCCAGGAACTCGTTCAAAGCGCGCTGGCACCGCTCCAGCTGGTCGACCATCGATGCTAACGTGTCCTGAACGACCAAACAACAGGGGAGGGAGGCGTAAATGCCCCGGCGGTTGTGTTGTTCCTCGCGACACGGAGTTACCTTGAGCCCGACGATGGTGGTGAGGTGGTTGACGCGCTTGGCTGCGCCAATGTTGCGCATGAGTCTGCGGTACTCCTGGTTGACGCGCTCGAACCTGTCTGTCTCGCGCGGCATGGCGCCCCTGCCGAAGATGGGCTCCAGGTGCACCCACTTGCGCTGTATCTTGTTGAGCAGATGCAATATCTCGTCGAGGGAGGCAAACTTCTCCTCGTACCGCTGGACCTGAACGACAGACAAGACGCGGGGATCAATCATGTGTATGCGTCGATGGCGTGTGGCCATCTACTCTTAGTGCTGCTGGTGTGTGTGTAGGGACCTGGTCTTTGAATGGTGGGAACCATCTTGACTCCTTGAGTGAGGAGAGCATGGCCTGGTTGTCGGCCACAGCGGTCAGCAGGTCCTTCCAGTCCTTGACCAAAGGCACCATGGCACCGTCAGACGCACCGTGGTCCACCAGCGACAACTCAGCCTGTACACCAACCAGGTGAGAGCCATTGGCAGCCTCCCCACGGCAGCCCCTCCCATCCGTGCACCCCTCCCATCGGTGCAGTCAGTCAGTCATCCCTACCTGGTCGATCCAGGCCGTGAGTTCCAGGAGTGCATCCCGGATGACGACCTCGCCCAGGGCACGAGCCGCCAGCTCCTTGAGCTGCTCGCCTTTCTCCACGACGGTGCTGAGTCTGTCCATGAAGTGCTTGAACTTGAGGTTCTCCAGGGTGACGTCCTTGGGGAAGCCCAGCAGGCCGAAGAGGATCTTCCAGTGGTCTTTCTCGAAGGCTTCGCCCGTGATGCCCTTGAGGATGGGGTGGGCCTCCCGGATGAGGGCGATCTGGGCAGAGAGGAGGGCCGTGATGGGGTCCCGCTCCATGCTACGGAGGGTCTCTTGCCACTCATTGCAGAAGTCCTGATGCAATCCAATGGATGGATGGATGGAGGCGGGGACGGATGGTTACCTACCTGCAGTTTGTGCAGGGTGGGTCGGAACTCGAGCCACATCTGAGAGGTCATCTCCTCAAGGCCGCTCGCAAAGCTCTCAAACAGCGACCAGAAACGCTCCTGACGCAGAGAGAGCCATGGCGACACACACACATGCATCCAGAGCATGGTGTGGTGTTGTCTTCACGTATTCGTCTGTCTGACCGTTTTGGTGAGGTCATTCTCGACTTCCTGGTAGCCGGCGAGTTCTAGCCTGGGCAGACTGAAGTGCTCGCAGTCGGCATACAGCTGTTGGACGCCCTCTTGCAAGCCCTGACCACACACAGACAGACAGACAGACAGACACGGAGGCAAGAGAGCACATAGATTGTGCCGGCCATTGGGCGGCGGATAGATTGTTGGCTGACCTCCCACTCCTTGCGCCACTCCTTCATCTTGTCGGCATTCTTGCGCGCCTCGTCAAGCGACAGATGCTCCGCTGTCTTGGGCTTCAACGCCTTCCATCTGCAGACATCCACCCACACACGCACGAGGCACACAAATAGACCTTCTGCCCCGTGTGTGTCTGCGTGCATGCGTGTGTGTTTTATGTGACCGACCTTGATGCGAATTTCTCGATTTCGAGTATGATGGCCTTCCTGCGCGAGTCCATCTTGTCCTTGAGCTCGTTGCGCAGCTCACTCGCAAACGAACCAAACGCATCTAGACGCACCTGCGGTCCGACAAAAGGAGAATGGCTGAAGTGCACCCGTCGCTTTGGTATCCCTCCTGTGTGTCATCCACCAACCGACTCACCTGGAATTCTTCCCACTTGGCCTGGAGGTCTGTGAGGTCGAGTCCCGCCGAGGCCGTCCGCAACACCCGGTTCTTCTCCTCAATGCTGTCCAGGATGGCGCGGTACTCATGCTGCTTGTTGGCCAATGCCAAGGCCTCACTCTGCATCGCATCCACACACAATGATATCAATCAACATGCACTCCCCTCTCCCTCTCTGATATGACCTGTGCTTTGCCGAGCTCCGTGACGGTCCCGGGTCTGACATTGAGTTTGTCGAGGGCCTCGTCGACGTACTGCATGACGGCCCTGATGTCCTTGCTGGTCTGGCGCTTGATGGACAGCAGCAGGGCGTCGGTGAGCCGGTCGAGGTGCTGCTCGAACACCGACTTGAACAGGATCGTCGACACGGTCACGCAGTCGATCTTGATGGCGTCGGGCACCTTCTCGATCTCCTTGCGTTTCGACTAAAGGAACCAAACGAGTGGAAAGGAGCACCGCGTGTGCGCAGTGTGTGTTTGTGTGTTGGCAGGCCAGGTCACCTTGATGGTCTTTAGGTTCGCGTCGAAGTCGGCCACGCTCTGCACGCGCTCCTCGACAAACGCCTCGATATCGGCCACGCCGCCTACCACCATCCAATCCATCAGCTCGTGCTGCAATGCGCCGACTGAATGAAGGAACCGCCACACACACACACACACACACCCAGAGAGAGAGAGAGAGAGAGGTAGACACTCCATGAGTGAGTGCGTTCCCCTGCGTCACCCACTCCCTCCCTGACCTTTTTCGAGGAGTTGTTCTCCCTTGTCGAATACGGCCTGGAGGCCCTGCAGGTTGCGATCGGGTATGGTCCTGAAGATGTGGGGGGCACCCTCCAGGCCCTTGAAGGTCAAAGGAAGACCCATGAAGCTACGGATCTCCTTGTAATACGACGCCCTCAGCTCCTCGAGAGGCGGACGCAACTGTCGAGTCGACACACAGGCAGATGGGGCAGATGTCAGTCGTGTGTTTGTTGCTCTCTGTCTGCCTTGATTGATGCCCACGTACCTGTAGCTGTTTGGATGAGTATGTGAGCTCGGCTTTGATCTCAGATATCTGTTCGTTGAGGCTCTCCAGGCCAAAGGCATACTGAATCTGCACACGGTGGACACATAGAGGGATGATGGTGGTGGTGCACTGCAGTGGATCCACTGCAGTATGTGGCTGACCTCCATGGCTTTGAATATCTGATGGTCCCAGTGGGCCTTCCACGGCAACACGTCCTCGGGCTGACCAATGTCATTCAAAGAGTGCGACACTCACCTGTGTGTGTGACATCCGCCCTTCAGAGCCGTCATCGTTCACCTGGCAGTTGCAGACGGCGGCGGTCTCGTCGATGACCTTGAGTATCTGGGCCAGGCGAGTCTTCCACACGTCACGCTGCCGCAGCAAACTGATGCCGCCCAACTCAGCTACTTGGCTGGCGATCTGCACCCACACACAGCACGGAGCGGAGGGTTCTTTTGTGTGTGAGTAGAATCCACTCAACGACCTGGCTGTGTGTGGTCCGGAGGCGTTTGTTGAGGCTGCTCAGCTTCTCCGCCCCCACCTTGACCTGACACACAAGCAAACGACACACACAGAGGTGACAACCTGCGCCGCACCGCATCATTTGTGACTTCTTTCTCTGCTGCCTTCTCACCCACCCACCCGTTTGGTGAAGTCCTCCAGCTCGGTGACATTTGACCACACGACCCGCCGCAGGCTGGCGTCGCCTCCCGCCTTGCCGTGTCCTCCGGCGGCCTTGTCGGCGAACAGCTGCTCGAAGGCGAGTGCCGGCTGGAGCACCATGGGCTTCTGGCAGGGCAGGATGTCGCCACTCAGGTGGTTGTAGAAGTACGCCACCTGCTTCAGTTGAACCGCAAACCTGCACCCAGGAATCACCACGCATGGCATGGCAGCGAGCAGACACGAGTGTGTCCGCCCTCTTGTTTCCTGCGTATGTACCGGAAGAATTGGTTGCCCTCATCGACGGCTTGTTTGATGGCCTTCGGAACGGCGAAGCCCATCTGTGTGAAGTGGCGGGTCTCCCGCAGCAGCACCACCAGCCGCTCGGGATAGTGCACACGCAGCGCGCCGCGCTGTGAGGCATCGAAGTCCATCACCTGCACACAACCAGAGCCAGCCAGCCCACACAACACATCCCATGTGTATGTATGTTGCTTGAGGACGTTTGTTCTTTTCTGTGTACCTTGCCGTGTGTTTCGAGGGCCACGGGTGATGACGTGTCAGCGAGCCGCCCCTGCACCTCCTCAGTCCACTCCTTGAAGGCCGACGTCCGCACCTCCTTCAGACTCTGACGCAGGCTGCGGCCGTCAGACAACACCTGCACCCAGAGAGGCAGGCAGGCGCGACGCATACACACAAAACGCCCATCAATGTGGGTAGCTTTATGTTGGATCCGCATCGTATGCAGACGTACCCTGCTTGCGTTTGGGAGGTCCTTGAGCGCTGCTGTCTGCAGGGGCCTGATGAGCGTCTCCACGCGGGACCGCAGCTGCTCACACCAGATGCTACGACGGACACCCAATGACATACCAGGAGCCTACACACACACACACACACACACACGATGCCATGCATTCCACATCTCATTCAGTCGTTGTGTTTGCGTGCGGACAGGTGGTAGTTTGATGTCGTCGGGGGCATCGATGTCGTTGCGGATGCGCTCCATGAGGTCGCTGATCTTTGCCAGCAGCCTCTCGCGCTCGTTGGTGAGGGCGTTCCGGATGTTGGGGCGCTCCAGCAAGCTCTGGAACCGCAGGAACTGACGCACCGACTGCGCGGGGTCCGCCATCGCCTCGCCGCTGCCAAAGAGCTCGCGCCTCAGCCGGACGGCCACACGCTGCTCCAACGGCTGCATCGCCATCTCATAATCCTGAGAATGAAAGACGACACATGAACACATAACACATGTACGTTCGGCTCGGCGCCCGTGCCCCATCGCCCGCATTTACCTTCAATGTTGCCTCCCAGAGTGGTTTGGTGTAGTCGTTGCACGAGAAGGCCGCCATGCCCCTGAAGGGCTCGAACCGCGGCGCCAGGTTGGGCACCTTCTGCACCTCGTCCTTTTCGCCCAGCTGCAGGATCTGCTCGTGCTGGCTGCGGAGGTCCTGGATGGCCTGGATGCGCTCAGCGAGCCGCGACAGCATGTCATTGCGATAGGGCTTCCCCCGCCATACGCGGCCCTTGCCCGCCCCGCCCTTCCAAAGACTGCTCGTCAGGTCCATGGCGGTCTCATTCCACTTGTCGCACACACGATGGCCATCCCGCAGCTGCACTGTGATCTGCGCCTGCTCCTTGGCGAAGTCCTGGCTGGCCGTCCCTGTCCCGTCCTCCTTGCCTCCCCTGAGAGCGCTCCAGACGTCGTATTTGCCGAGCTTGGACTGCACGCAGCGGCCGAACGCCCCGGCCAGCACATCGAGGAAGTGTCGCATGCGGTCCTCGCTGTACTCGACCCTCGCCCCGCCCGTGGGCAGCTGCCATATCTGATCCAGTGCCTCCATCACCGTGTCCATCAGGTCCGACAGCTGCGCGAAGGTCAGCTCACGCAGGTCCTTCTCGAAGTGGCTGGCGAGGGGCGAGAGGGCGTCGGAGATCTTGCTTGCGTCTGCCGCTGACGACTGGCCGTAGTCCATCCAGAAACGGATCTCGTCGAGCGGTGTCAGGACGCCCGAGAAGTCGTCGGGCGTCCCAGCCACCCTCCCGGTGCCCTTCCTGAGGCACGTGGTGAGCCCGGCCGACAGCTCGTGGACCAGGCCGCCCAGGTTGCTCTCCAGCCGCTCGGCCCACTTGGACTTGCCAAGCAGGAGGGGGACGTAGACCTCCTGCAGTGAGGAGGAGAGGGCCCTCAGAGGGTCGGCTCGGAGAGTGGATACGATGAGGCAGGATGCGATGTTGTCGATGGTGAGGGGGTCGAAGTTGGCCTTGATGAAGTGCATCTCGTTGGCCTCGCTCTGGTAGTGCTCCAGGGAAGTCGCCATCTGCACCTTGCGGGCCCCGCCAGCCACCTTGTCGGCCTCGAAGGCCTGCAGCACCCGGAGAGATGGGTCGTCGAGGAAGGTCTCGAGGGCCTTGTTGCTGGCGTCATTGCTGCGGAATTGCTGGCGGGGGATGTTCAGCACGCTGATGATGACCTGGACGACGTACTCCTTGCGCGCATCTCGCTGCTGCGGTGCCGCATCCCGTGACGACGATACTGACTCATCCATCGACAGATCTACAACTTTAACAAGATCAGCTATGCTACGAGCGCCACATAATCCTCTTCTAAGCTCTTGTTGGGAATGCGTGGAGAGAACCGGGTGGCCGGTAGGGTTTCAAACCCTGCACCCTTCAGAACCCTCTTTCGGTGGTCTTTCGGAGTCCGGCCACTTATACCATACCGCCATCCCTGCATCCCGTCATCGCTTCCATACCCACTTCCATCCCTTTCCTGTCTTCAGCATGCGATTTGCACTGCTGGACTGTCACATACTTCTGACCTCGATCGTCATGCTCGCGTCCCACGAAGCAAAGTGGGCGACCGCAATGACGTTCACGGCGTATGACATGCTCACCACCACCGTCTTGTTCTCTTCGTTTCATCGGGTGCACTGCAGCTTCATCGAGCTGCAGAGCAGGGTCGACAGAGTGGCCAACCACACAAGCAACCACATCGGCATGCCCTCGTTTCGCCCCGCTGCACATCGCAAGCAGTCCAATCATCCTCCCCTCCCCCGACACCACACCATCGGGAAGTCCCCCCTGCCGACAAGGTCACGTCATGATCTGCCTGAGCAGCACACAAACAAGAACGTATTCTCCGCCATCCTGAAAGGCCCGTTGGACAGGGTGTTTGAGGTCGACGATTCGGCAAGACAGATGAAGGAAGTGAGGGAGCCATCGTCTTCTGAGGACACAAAGAAGCCGGAGCGGCTTCTGTACGTGTGAAGACTGTGCCTCTGTGCCCCTGTGTCTCTGTGTCTCTCTGTTGATCAATCTCGTGTGGCTGTGCTCTCCCGTTTTTGCATCCGTCCATTCCATCAGAGGTCATTTCTTTTCTGCATTTGTCCACCCATCGAGGGCCAGCCAGCCACGCACCCACCCGCCCATCCACCCACTCATTCATTCGGCCAGAGACACCTCTGTCGATCCAGCCATCTCACCCGTATCAACCAACATACATGCGTGTCCACTGCTGCAATCAAAATTTCCATCCATCGACCCATCATGTCCCGCTCGCGGCCCTTCCTCCCGCTCTCTTGCCTGCCTCACCGTTCCCCCCTTTATCTTTGGCCTCCTCCTGCTGCTTCTTGAACACACGCCGGACGCTGGTGAACCACGGCGCATGCAGATCGAGGGCAGAAGGGGACGGGGAGGACGGGCAGGTCTCCTCGGGCGCAGACGCAGCGGCTGGTGAAGCGGGTGAAGCGTCCTGGTTGGGACCCTCCGGTGCGCCACCAGGCGCTTCAACGACAAAGCTACTCAGCGGATCGTGTGCACCCCAGGTTGATGACCTGGGGGAGGAAGGAGACACAAGCGGGCAGGCAGGCAGGCACTCATTCAGGAGGTCGATGCGTGTCAGCCCGTGTCACTGTGTGTGGTCCTCGTCTTTTACCAGTCGACCTCTTTCTTTCGTTTGGTGATTGCGGCATCGAGCCTGCTGAGGTCGCGCATCGATGCCACGACGTCACTCTGCAATTCGGACAGCTCCCGGCGGCCGAGGTTGTCGATGCGCTCCGCAGTGCCCAGCCTGAGGGCAAACATGTTCACGCGCACACACGCAAGCAAGACACATGCGCCATCCATGTCTAGTTGTGTGCATGTGTGTGCGTGCTCTAGTATTTGTCGAGACCCAAGTCGGCGTTTGATGGTGTCAGGGTGCTTCCCCTTCCTGTTGATGTGGGGGAGACGCACGCAATATGTGTGTGAAATGAAAGCCGTTCCATCTTGATTGCTCTGACCTTTCTTCCGACAGCTGCCGGCGTACGTCAGACAAACTCCTCTCCAGCTCTTCAACCCTAAAAGCAGCCGGTGTGGACACAACGGAGATATTTGCTTGTGAGCACATGGCCGGCCGTCTTACCTCCGGTCCGAGAGACGGACCTGTGATTCCAGGTGAATCACTTGAAGGTTCCGCTTAGCCAGGGTGTAAGCAGCAGAGATCTGCAACGATGTCTTCATCGCCACACTGCAGCACGCACACCGATCAATCCATGCCCCATAGCCAAATTCGCCAAAGCGCTTCCTCGTCTGCACTCACGTCTTCTCCAGCCGCTGGATGGTGTTCACCATGAAGGCTGCCGGGTGTCCAGCACGGCCCCTGTTGTCCCTCTGCTGCCCCTCACCGGCCCCCACCTCTCCCATGTTGCCCTCCACTGCGGCCGCGTACTCCCTCCACCTGGCCCTCTCCAGGGACGGAACATTCGGGGGGCCAGGTGAGAAGAACGGCACGGATGGCACGTCTCTGGGACGCACATTGGGGGCGGCAGGTGGCGCGCCAAAGGTGAACTGTGCGGGAGTGGATGAGCCGGATGACGCCAAGGGGGATGGGGGTGAGGAGGACGGCTCGTTGCGCACATGAGACTGGCGCACAATAGACTGGCGCACATTGCGAAGACTGCGACGGATGCGATTGCTGTTGACCTGAGTGGACCAATGGAACAACAGCACAGAATGAATGCAGACTGAGCCATGGCGTCTCATTTCTCCTCCAGTCACTCACATGCACATTCCTGCTCAGAAGTGTCCCCTCATCCATGGGCCCGAATTTGCGCAGCACATTCTCCTCCCACGCCAGCCCTGCCACCTCCTGCTGCTCCACCGCATCCACGCCGCCAAACAGCCTCGGGGGCGACCTGGGAGGCGGTGGTGTGCCGAAGACAGCGGGTGCCACTGCAGAAGGGTGCTGCTGGTGTGTCTGCAGCTGTCGGTTGGGCGCCCCATCGTGGTCCTGTCCGTCCTGCGGCTCCTCGTCCCTGGCCTTCTTCCTGTTCTTCTTGCCGCCTCTGCGCTTGTTCTTCTTGCCTTTCTTGTCGTCCGCCTGGGGCGGAGGGGCAGGACCCGACGGCTCCAGCGGCAGCGAGGGAGGGGGCAGGGGGGAGACGCCGTTGTGGATCTCTGGACTGCCGACCAGAGGGGGCAGCGTCTCTCTGATGACAGGTGAGGAAGCGTCGGAGGATGAGGGGGTGGCGACGGCGGCCCCGCGTTTGGCGGCAAGGGCAGCGTCGCCAAGCTTGAAACACGCGCCACACACGAGGTCCGCGCCGCGGATATACAGAGTGGGCTGGTCAGGTGACGACCCCTTTGGTGCATCGATAAGCAGGAGGATCCGCGACCAATTGCGACCATAAGGCCTGCACACAGAGACACAGAATTGCGCATGAGGACGTGCACAATTCCTGGCCTCCCTCCCTCCCTCCCTCCCTTCCTCTCTCCCTCAGTCTCTGTGCGCCTCTGAGCCCTTTTGTCTCACATTGTCTGGCAGACTGTGCACTTGGCCTCAAGAGACGGCACCAGCACCATCTGCACGTAGTCCTCTGCATCCACCCGCCTAAGCCACTCGAGCAACGGGGGCACCGTGCCCTGCTGGATGCTCCCAAGTGGCACATTCCAGGTGTCGGGGATGGACTCCAAGTGGAGGGTCTCGACGATGTCGGCCGCCACGCTGGTGTCTCTGCTGAGCGCAGAAAGGGGCTCATCGGGATGAAGGCAGACAAGGGGCTCGAAACACCGCTCGAGATGTGGTGGTCGGTCATCTGGTAGGAACTCGCTGACGATGGCGCCCACGACCTCAGGCCAGCTGAAGGTGTCTCGCACCATGACCACCCTGCGATCCATCACCAGCCTCCGCCTCCCATTCTTGCCGCCCTCCTGTCGCACGACCGGCAGGGCGCATGAGATGGGTATCTCGGAGTACGCTGTGGAGTCTTGTGCGGGGACATAGGATGCCGATGGGCCATGGCCTGTCCTCACGTACCACTTGTCCCCCACTTCTGACCCCAAGCCGCATATCACGGGAGTGGAAGGGCCCGCGAAGCCGCCCACCTGCCTGGCCCCATACGCGATGACCGGTGTGTCGTTGCCCCCCGCACAGGCACCGTCGGCCTTGGTCAACAGCCATGCACCGTTGCCGCGATAGAAGCAGTCTGGTCCAGGGACAACATAGCGATTCAGCTCATACACCTGGCCCTCACCCTCCTTGTCCTGGACGTAGCGATGAGCAGCGACACGGCGATATGTGCCGCTGAAGGCCTTCGGCGCCCCACTGGGCCCCGAGACGCTGAGCTGCACAGAAGCCGGTACAAAGAGCTGCGGGTCCTCTGCGGAGAGCTCGGGCAACTGCGGGATGGCGCAGAAGAGACATGATGACTTGACCAGCATGTTGCAGAACGTCCCGGCTTTCTTCTCCAGGTCGAGTGAGACGTATCGCTGCAGCTCGGCGGTTCCGGGAAACGAGAAGGATTGGGGGCGGGAGCAGTTGAGGCAGGGGTCGGCTGTCGCAGCCTGCGATTCGGGGTCCAACTTGAGCCGGCGAAAACACGGCGCCAGACCGTCATCATCCTCCCCACCCCGCTCGTCATGACGGGTGCTGGCCTGTTCCTCTATCTCTTCAATCTCCGCCGCCCTCGTCTGCTGTGTGCCGGCGGCGGGTCGCCTGACTCGGCTGCCTGGGCCACGTCCGTCCCCTCCCCCTCCGCATGGACCTTCTCGCTCCCTCTCACGTCGCTCTGCGAGTTTCCACCCTAGTTGTTGTCGGATGCTGGTGCGCTCCTTCAGCTGGGCCTTCTTCCTCTCATTCATCTGCTCGGCCTCCACGCGCTCCCGGAGCTCCTTCTGCGACTCAGCAGGCCCGGCAGCGTCTTCGCCTCTCGCTGCGTTGCCCCGAGTCGGACCGCCAGACTTGCCGCCCCCATGACGTAAGACGGCCTTGTTCGGCTCGAAATGCCTTCCTGAAAGCTGAAAGACGCACAAATGGCATGAATGAATATTCTCTTGTCATGCCGCGGCAGCGATGCTTGTGTCGTTGTGCTCCTCTCACCGCTTCTTCGAATTCGGCACCTTCTTGAAGTTCGGGGCTCAACTCAAAATCAATAGGCCCCATAGCGCCGCCTTCCTCACCTCTGGACCGTCTATCGCCTGAAGTCTGGGAGTCCCGCTTCGCCTTGGCTTTCGTCCCGCGCTTATGCATCCTCAGCTATTCGATAGGAGTCCTTGAAGGCTCCTCACAAATCACCGTTTCTTTCTTCTTCGGGCGATCCGCGAGCTGCACCCTAAGCGAAGAGCGAAACAGCCAATATTGGCCCGTGGCTGCGACTCTCCTGCGCCCCTTGCTATTGACGAGTCGGCCGTCCCGCAATTTGCAGCTGCATCCATCCATTACCCGCCCCCGCTCCTGTCTTCCCACTGCAAAGACGGCAGAAGAAGATGGAGGCGGCGCGCGGTGTTTTCAGCACGTTCTTGGTGTTCGGCACTCTTTCGCTCCGTTTGGCCGCCGCGCAGGAGACATTTGTCGTCAGCACGATGGCGTTTCATCCTGCAGAACCCTCGAAAGAGACAAACATGACGGTCATCTTACGCCCGTCCCTGGACATCACGACGGATAACAACGACAAATCCATCAGCATCTATCTGCCAGACGGCTGGGGCTCGGCTGTGCCCAAGAGGATGCCTCAGGCCAACCCGCCCGTCGAAGAATACGATGTTATTCTGGAGCCAGTCAGCCAGGCTTGGTCGATTAATGCGCAAGCGATGGTCGATGGGCCCTTCCTCGCGGCAGCCACCTTCTACAAGGAGCCAAACACCGACAACAATGAGATCCGGATCGGGCTCAAGACAAAGGTGTTGTTTAGCAAGGACAACGACACAGAGTTCGTTCTCAAGAATATGGTGCTGCCAGAGGAGGTCCAGGAGAACACTGCCACCATCCAGGTGTCTGCAAGCAAGACAAACCCCCCTGCCACCATTGAAAAAGAGCCCTTCAAAAACGTCAACCCCGTGCTGCGAAAGCCTTACTTCCTCAAGGCATCTCTGCTATTCGACCCTCCTGAAGCCAACCGCCCGTCGAACATCACCCTACTCGTCACCATTTCGCACACATACGACGACACCGCCAAGCTCGTGCTGTACCTGCCGGGCTTCTCGCACCCGAGTGGGTCTCGTGTGCTGAACGTTGAGGGGCCGGGCCGAGACAGAGTGGGTGGCAATGCCTACTGGGACACCGACAACGAGACACTGTCCTTTTACATAGCGACCGGCGAGACACTGGTGAAGGAAGTGGAGTATGAGTTTGTGATTGCAAGTTCGCAGTCGTTGACCCTGCCGGCTTCTGTGGCGCTGGACGACAGCTCGCTCAAGGCGAAGGTGCGGAGTCAGGATGATGTGGAGGTCTTCCTCATCAGCAGCAACTTCACGCAAGTCACACAGGTAAATGGAGGCCCTTCTGCGCCTTTCCTGTCTACCTACATCAGAATGGCTGTTTGTCTCCACGCATTTAGGTGTTGGAGGAGCGGCGATTCAGCTTCGCGTCTCTGTTCTACGGCAGCACCAACGACTCGAGTGTGGCCCTTCCCAACACGTACACGACGCTCTTCCTCAACTTCAGCACCAACTGGCCCATCTATCCCGGCACCACAATCAGACTGCTCCTCCCAAGTACGTATCTCCCTCTTGTGCGAGTACAAGAAGCCGACCACACGTCCTTCTGTGTGTCTCTGTGTAGGTTTCGGGGCTCGTGGGTCCACTGTGCCGCTGATTGGCGGCACAGCATCTTACTTCAAGGATCGTGTGGCTCGGTGGCGATTGAATGAGCAGCAGTTGCTGCTCACGCCGATCAGCACGATATACTCGCACCAGTCGTTCTTCCAAGTGCAGATACAGGACATACTCCTGCCGCCCGTGCAGTATCGAAACGACACATCCATACAGGTAGGGGGACTGTCGGGTGCATCGTGTGTGCGTGCTAATGTGTGTCTCTGTCCATGGTCCATCCTGCAGATTGGGTGTGAGGGCAATGGTGTCGACTATCACACGTTCTGTGAGGAGCAGATGCGGCCAGTGGACATATCTCCGCCACTTGGGGGTGGCGAGAAAGACTTCATTGTATCACGTACGCTCAGAACAACGACATGGATCTGCTGCCCGCTGACTGGGTACGTTTGTTCTCTTCCTTTGTGCAGGTCTTGCTTACGACCCGGCCACCCCTGAGGTTGCCTCAGAGATCACCATTGAGCTACAGCCCCCGCTCGAGCTGCACCAGAACCACAGCATCGTGTTGCTGCTGTATGGCTTCAAGTGCCACTCGACCGACGACAGTGGGGGGTCGGGCAGCCCCTCGGCCGCTTTGGATGAGCTCACGCTGCCAATCACAGGTGACTGAGAGATCTGTGGACACTAGGATCCGTGGACACGGGCGTGTGTGTGTTCAGGTCCTGATGCATATCGATTTATCGATGAGTCTGCTGTGTGGAAGATATCTGCCTACACCCTGACACTCACTGTCGCCCCGAACGAGTGGGTCGAGAACACACAGCCCTTCACCGCCATACTCGCACAAACTGTCGGATGCAAGTAGGGCGGCAATCAGACAAGCACGGCGGGGCGCATGTACGCGTCTTTTTCCCCCTCATGCTTCCAGGCTGCCGTCGAAGCTGATGGCCAACGACAATTTGCTGAATGTGGGCATCGAGGGCTCATATCTGGCCTTCGAGCCCATCAAAGAGTCGCCCGCCATCGGGCCGGCCAAAGAGTTCATCCAGTCGCGGCTGGAGTTCGACCCGAGCGACCCCGACGCCATCACACAGCTGAGCTTCACACTCATGGCCAACACCGACATACTCCCCAGCACCAACATCTTCATTCATCTTGGAGGAATATTGAAGACAACCAATGGCACGGTACAGATATGACATGTCTCATCTGCTGTTTGTGTGGATGTGTGTGTGTCAAGTGTGCAGGAGGTGACAATTACGGGATTGAATGGCCCGCTGTTCGATCGTCGCGCCACGTGGGAGGAGGATGAGAAGCTGCTCACGCTCGAGACCGTACCCGGCGTGACAATAAAGGACGGGCGAATTATCAGCTTCACAGTGCCGATCGACGTGGTGGGGGGACGGAGACTTTGTCTCTCACCCATTGACGCTCCAAAATCTCTGTGTGTGCCTGCATGTCTCTGTGTGTGCTGCAGGGTATGCGTCTGCCTTTCGCTCTTTACGAGTCCGATCCATCGCTCTACATCGAGGCACCCGACGTAGGCTGCGACCAAGCATCAGACAACGCAATGCAGTCGGTTCATCTGATTATTGTGCTTGTCAGGTGGGATTGTACGCCCAGACCTTCCAATACAGCTCCCAAGTCAATCGGCAGAAGTAATTAGGCACAGTGACGTAAAGCGTTTACTTATGATGGTCCACGTCATCCCTGCAGGAAGCGGTTCACACTGTCCAAGCTCGACTACAGTGATCTAAACCCCGGCCACCTCACCACCATCGACTTCATGTTCTCTGTAAGCATGAAAACACCAAACAACGCAGGCGACCGTGCAATTTATCCATCGTTCATTCATCGTGCTGTGTGGCGTCAGGCGAATGTTGTTTTGACGATTGGGAACGTGTTGCGTCTCCATCTGCCCGGGTTTGTGTGTCCAAACGAGACGCTGCCGATCTCAGGCATCGCATACGACAGCCACTACCTGAAGTTCAAAAACAGAGCAGCGCAATGGAATCAGACCACACACTTCCTCGACCTAGAGGCCAAGTGAGCTCACGCGCACATGCGGAGGGGAGTGTGTATGAGATCATGTTACCATCTGCGTGTTGTGTACACAGTGAGACGCTTCCTTCCGGAGTGATATCCATCCGTCTTCGCGCTTCTGAGGCCGGTTGCAGGCTGCCGCAGTTTCTGGCAGAGAACGACCAGAAGTAGGTTACGCACGGGTCCGTCTGTGTCTGTCCATGCCTCTCTGAAAAGTGTGCGCCTGCACCCATTTTCAGTCTGACGGTTGCCGTGGTGAAGGGCCAGATCATCTTTGAGCAGCCGATAGAGGAGTCGCCTTTGGTTGTGCAGCGGACTTTCGATGTGTCTCAGTTCAGCTATAACCCCAAGAACCCATCAGAAACATTTCAGTGGGAAATCGCCCTGCGGTAAGCCAGAATCAAGGCATGATCACCTTCTCTCTATCTGCAAACCTTTCAATCTTCAGAGCCACGGTTCCCATCCCGACCGCCAATATGATACTCATGACAGTTCCCAACTTCACGACCTTCTCACAAGCTGACTACCAGGCTATCTACCTCCAAGGTGCCTGCCAATCAGAACGAAAATGACTGTCCCACAGGTCTGTCTCCCTTTTTGCGCGTGTCTCACTTAGGTGCGAATGCGAGCATATGGGAGGAGCGGACGGCCAAGTGGAATGAGACGCTCAAGATGCTTGCACTCAAGCCCGCTGCAACCATACCGGCAGTATGTACGTGCGCATGGGCGGACCCACACTGTCTGATATCTGCCTGCCCGGCTGTCTGCAGAATGAGATGATCCGTTTCATCATCAAGGAGTCTATGGGCTTCATCCTGCCAACGCAGTTGCTGGAGAATGACCCGACACTCACAATCACGTCCGTTGGTGAGAACCCGAGAGGCATGCCTTCATCCTTTCTTGCGTTTCCCCCTGTCTACTCAGTCTGTGCTGTGTCTCTTGCTTGTATCGATTACGGGCAGGTAACATCATGACGGAGCCTATAAAGGAGTCTCCAATGGTTGGCGACGGTCCGACCACCACCCAGCAGCTACAGTGGCTGCAGAACGACTTTACAGACATCACTATCCAGGGGTTCCAGCTGGCAGCGAACGATCGACTCTTCGCCGTATACAGGGTGAGCATAACTATACAAACAGACATAGAGACATGTCATATCGTGTTGCCTGCTATCGCTCGCCGCGCGTAAGGCGGGAGAGAATGGGAACCCGTGCACTGCATATAATGTCCCCCAGCTCGAGAATTTTGTTATTATACCGAGAACTGGAGTGCTCTCTTCTGACCGATCGGCCCTCTTCTTCCAGGGTGCCTACTCGCTCATCACGGGCTACTTCACTCTCTGTCTGGAACATGTGGGGTCTTACTTCGATGTCGGTGAGGCGACGGTGCGGCCGAAATGCCCCGCGCCACTCGTCCTTGCAGAAAAATCGGCCTGCACCAAATAGTAAGAAGCTGACTGAGCGGGCATGTTGTCAGCATGCCATCCTACCATGTGTGTCTTGTATCTGCAGTTGTTCTGCTTGGAAAGTGCCCACAGCAGGTGAGTGTCAGCTGGATGACGCCTCCCTCTTGTCGGACATGCGGCCGATCATGACTTCCATTTATCTCACCGACCCGTTTGTCACCCAACAGCGACTCAGTGACAGGTATGCTGACAGGCGGCAATATACACTGACACATACACACGCAAGAGACACACTCACAAAGCCTAATGTGACCACCTTCAGGCCATCCTCGAGTCCTGAGCGCAGTGCATTTGAATTCAACTTTCGCTATCAGCTTGCAAGAGTCCTCGGCACGCCCATCGAGCGCCTCCTTGTCGCGTCGCTGGGAATTGACCCCTCACGAGACGCCACAGCCTCTCTGTTAGTCAACGTGGTCTTCAAGCCACCGATCGGGTGGACAGACACAGAGGAGGACAGCAGAGTGGATAACAGTATGGTGGAAGGGCGGACGCCAAGGGGGCTGTTGAGGCTCTGGGCGGAGCTGCTGAAGGACCAGTATAGTTCAGTCGCGGACAACCAGCTGCTTATGACGGCTCGCCAGGAATATCCGATGAATGAAATACCTGTCAGGTATCGACAGACACGAACCATTGCGACGAAAGCTACTGTGCATGTCTCTTCCCGATTTGTGTCTCATGCAGGCTATGTGAGGACGGCGAGTATCGCAGCATTTGTCCGTACAAAGTCGGCGACGTGACTCCACGGGCAGCCTCGGCTGGCTTCTTTGTCATCACACTCATTCTCATCATCATCACCTCTGTCTTATGCTGCGTGGCTTTGCTTATCGACACGCGTACTCCAGCAAGCGCACAGCAGCTTAAGGTCGACAAAGACAAAGCAAAGGAGAGTCAAGGGCCGAGATTTCGGCCTCGAGGGCCGTCGAGGAGACATTTTAGGAAGGTGCGCGAGAGAAACCAAGACACACAAGCAGCCTGCTTGAGAACTCACACTGGTGCAGGGCTCCGGCAAGTATGCCCCTGGGGATGCTGAGTATAATCGGGAGGAGGCATGGGCGGAAGCCGATAGACACAGACACCCACGAGGATCAGATGACCTACTCAACAAGACGGTAAGACAACCGCTTCACTCGCCGAGACGTATTGATGTCTTTCGCATTGATGTCTTTCGTCTCTTTCTTTGTGCAGTTCAAAATGGTGGGCGATACGGCAAAGAAGGTGGTGACCACATTGAAGAAGTTCGGCAGCGGCAGCTCAATGGGCGATGAAACAAGCAGCATTGGATCCAACAATCCATTGAGATTCATACGCCTGGGAGGGACGAGCAGTAAAGTGCACCCTGCGCATGACGAGAAAAGTGGTGTTAAGCCAAAGGATAAGCCTTCTTCTGAGCCAGAGAAAGAGCCCATTGCAAGCGGGAAAGCGAGCAGAGGAGGCAAGTGACCGTGGCTGCATTGGTGGAGGTGGCATTCGATTTGTGGATTGTGTGAATATTGACCAGAAGGGGTTTGATGCGAGTTAACTTTGTCAGAAGGCATTAAGGACAGACAGATACATATCTATGATACATGACTGCATGTCTTTCATGCACATGATAGAGTCTGAAAGCCTCATAAACATGTATGTCGACAAGGACGAGTCAAATCACATGCATCAACACAAAACACAAACATCAACCCCCCACCAGCAAATGGCAGAATGCCGTCTCCCTTTCCGCCTTATCCCATGGCCTTGTCTCCCTCTCCACCTCCAACATCCTTTCCCACATCCCGCCAATCCACCCGCCCACCCTCTTGAGGATGCCGTCTCTCGGCCTCTTGGTGTTGAGCTTCAGCTGCCGGTCCATGAGCTGATGAAGGGGGTGCAAGGCGTCGGACAGCGAAGGTGGCTCCTCGGCGGGCGAAATCGCCGTTGGGCCTGGGGTGGGCGGGTACGAGGGGGCCGACGACGCCGTTCGGCTGTGGATGGCCGAAGGGACGGGCGATGGCCTTGGCGATGGCGTGTCGAAAGGCCATCGTGCGGAATGGCCATCCAAGTAGATTCGCTGGCCACGAGGCCACCTGACAGTCAGAACAATCCGTCATCGTGCAGAAGGCGGAAGGAAGATTTCGATATGAAGAAGCAGATATGAAAAGCGGGAGCAAAAAGATATCCAAGGGATATTAATGTCGGCCTTAGTGTCGGCCTTAGTGTTGGCCAGCAAAGTGTTGGCAAGTGAGAAGGTGAGAAACGACAGATGTGGAGGTCAACAGTTTAAGATGCGGCAGCAGAATGCCGCTGACATGAACGAAGCAGAGCAAGAAATCTGTGTGCCAGACGGCTTCTCATGCTTTCCATGCATGCATCGACGGCCCGGATGCCTCAGCATGCACCTTCAGTTCTCGCATTGGAGCGCTTTTTAGGACCCCCAAAGGTGGCTCAGTACGCATTCGACGACGCTGCATCTGGCCTACAGAGCTTGAGAGGTCCCCTGCAACCCCACCACTGACGAGCAAGGCAACGACCCACGAGGGATCGTTCCTGACTTTGAGGGATCTCGCGGTATGTGTTCGGCTGGTGGGGCTTGCCATCCACTTGCTTGAGCTCCTCCAACGTCCTCCGAGCACGTCCAAGCACGCCCTGAGCGGCGCAATGATCTTCGCTTTGGATCACGATGTGGGCGATCGTGGTGTCCCCAGTGTTGGTCTTATGTGTCCGGATGGTATCAGTGGCGGGTGGTTGAGATGCCTTTGAAGGCAGAAAGGCGCTGCGCATGGATACGACCATGCTCGATCGGCAATTTTGAGACAAATCTTGCCGATCGAACCGACCGATACATGCCGTCGCGTCTGCCGAGACACAAGCACTTCACGAATTATCGTTCCATGTCCACATCAATTCACAACAGTGCTACGGCCCAGTGTCTACGGAGGCCGCCCAGCGCCTCGGTCACGGTCAGTGAACTTACCTGTGACCCACCCCACACACAGACATATGCATCGCATATTTCTCCTCCTTCGCGCCCGTTGTGCCTTGACGTACCGATGAGCTTCTTGACGTCTTGTGTGGCCTGACCCCCAAGGCGTTGCCCCAGCGACTGGAAGTCGCCGAACAGACGGCCCATCGCCGGCCGCTGCGGCTGTTGGGGGGCCTCGCTGTCGCTTGATGAAGCTGCACACACAAACCAATCAACACATGCAACACGACTCATGGCATGAGCCAGGCAGCCATTTCCCATCCATCCATCCATCCATACCAGCTTCGTTTCTCGGCCATTGCGGCGAGCCAGGTAGCCCGGCAGACAATGCAGCGGTGGGTGGGCTGGCAGTGGTGCTGATCGATGGAGGTTGGCCGACCCTCTCGCCCACAGTGCTGCCACTCGCACCGGTGGTCGTGTTGAGTATGCCCACACTGCTTGTGACGGAGGGGCTGGGTGCTGCACTCGCGCCTGCACTGCCGCTGCCGCCTGCATGGAGGCCACCGAAGTTGAATGAGGGCACCTGTAGCGGCATCTGCGAGATGTGTGGCTGGATCTGTGTCAGCATGTGGGAAGCGCCGCTGGTGAGGCCGCCCACTGTGAAGGACTGCAGGGCGGCACCCACACGGGGCTGTGGGTGGGTGGCGGACCCTGTGTCTGTGGCTGCGGCCGCCTGTGCTGCATCCGCAGCACCCGCCTTCAACGAGAGGATGCGGGTGATCTCCTCTTGCGTGGCCACCGCACCCTGGCCATTGTTAAGAAACAACCAGCACACAGTGGCACGTGCTGCTGCGTCCATTGGCCTCGAATCGACCGGTAGGTATACCTGGCCTTCAAGCAACGTCTTGAGGGACTCGACGTCCTCGACAGACGAAGATAAAATCTGACCGGAACGGCAGACAGGCAACACAGGGTGGGACCAGCACTCATGCAGGTACGCCTGCGTACCTTCAGAAGCGTCTCGGCCCGCCCAATCTCGCGGATGACATACTTGGCATACCTGCGAACATACGCGGACAACGAACGGGTCGCATGCCTCTGCAGCGCATCTCTGTTTGTTCCTCAATCAGTCGCTCACCCTGCCGGGACGGGTTTGCCCTCAGCGGCCAGCACGGGCACCTCGAGCAGCAAGGTCTTGAGAGAATAGCTGTCCAGCAACAGCTGCCAAGTACAACACAACACACAACAGACATGCCATCGACACACCGACGCACAGTGAATGCACACACGCTGCGTGTCAGCCACCCAGCCAGCCAGCCACCTGTTGTGCACCGAGCTCTCCGATTTTCTTGCATGCGTAGATGCTCGATATGAATTTGGGCACCACCCACCTGTGTTGTGTGGACACGCCCGCACGCAGAGCAGATGCACATGCATGCATGTGGTGGGTGGGTTGGAGGGCTTACTGTGCGAATTTGTCTCCGAAGAATCGGTAGTAGGTGAGGGACAGATTGGCGCGGACCAGTGGGAACTGGGTCGTCATCACCTCTGATTGCACCACATAACACAACATACACACAATTTAACACACAGAGCGCGCTCCTTTTGGTGTCTGTTTGTCAATTCATGTATGTATATATGGCTGGATGGGATGGGATGGCATGGGATGGGATGGGATGGGATGGAGTGAGTGAGTGAGTGCTGACCTCCCACTTCAGTGACATAGCTGCTCTGGTCGCCGACCTCTTGCAGGGCCACCTGCATGGTCACACCACACCACACCCAGTACAAGCAGGTGTGGTTGGCCTGAGTGTTATTATATAGGCAGCGCACCCACCCCACCCAGTTTGTCTTGGTCATCTTGGCGAACGAAGGCTCGAGTTGGGTCTGCATCCAGCGAGCCACGTGTGTGCGCGCAGTGCGTGGGCGGCCCGGAGACACATACACTACACACATACCTCAAATGAGGTGACGAGCGACTGCACAGCTCCGGTCTTTAGACTGAAGTCGACACAAACGAACGAACAGGGCTCTCTCCCTCTATTTGTGCTGATTCGTTGTCTCTGCGTCTTGATTACTTCCACATGATGTCCCTCTCAGGGTCGAAGTTGACCTTGGACGTGAAGGCCTCGTCGATCGTTCGCACAATGGCCGACGACAGCGCAGGCAATGTCGAGTCGCAATACCTGGTGGATGGATGGACACACTCATCCACAAGTGATCATATGCCCATGTGGGTGCATATATTGTGTATGGGTGGCTTACTCTGCGGTTCCGATGACGGAGCCGATGGTCCTGGCAGCCTCGTCCGTCAGGGGGGCCACCTTCCTGATCAGTGTGTTAGGAAGCAGGAAGCAGAGCCGTCATTACGTCTTCACCCCTGCCTCAATCGCCCTGTCTGTCCTACTTACTTGGTGATCCGTCCAGTGAGGATGTCTGCGTATCGCTTCAACACACGCTTGAACACCTGATACACAACACAAACAAAGCCAGCCAGCCAGCCAGCCAGCCAGACAGGGGAATCCGCCCCCCTTCTAGGTCGACGTGTGTGTGTACCTGGAAAATGTCGAATAGCGTTTGGTGTGTGGAGATGGCTGTGGTGCGGCGGAGACAGGCCTTGAAGGCAGAGAAGATCTCAGACGCCGACGAAAATATGTACCTGACAAGACGGCACGGACGGCGGACATGCACTCGAATATGTATGTGTGTGTGTGCATCGGCTGGTGAGCTGACTCACTTGGGCATGTCGGACTCTTCCTCGTCCTGCAGACGGACACACACAGGGACACAGTTTTCCCTCTCTCCGTCCCTCGTGAGTATGCACGTAGCTAGCTGACGTACCCCATCGTGTCTGTCAAAGGACGCTCCCCTGCGTATGCTGGCCATGGACGGATCGCTCTCGCCAATGATGGAATCGTTGGCCGTCGCACGACTCACCGAATCGATCAGCTGCCTGCAGGACAGACGACACAAACAAAAACACAATATCGGCGTCATTCTGATGTGGGTGGCTGCGGGTTGTGTGTCTCACGTTTCCTCGTATCGGACCCAGGACCCCAGGTAGGCCTCAAAGCACTCAGATATGATGCCCTTGAAGCGGGGCACGGTGCGGGAGACACTGCCGTCGGCCTGAACCAACATACATCGACTCGACACAAGGGTAGATGCATCCTGTGGCCAGCCAGCTGGTGTGTGTACTCACCCTTTTCTTGGCGGCATCAGCAAGCAGGTCTACATGCAGCAGCCAGTGGTGTGGTGCATTCACTATATCAGCCAGGCTCCCAGCTCGGTGCGTCCACCTACCGGGGTACTGGAGTGATGGCGGCATTTGAGACTCGCTCCCCGCTGCTGACGGCGAGAAGGGATTCAAGCCCTGCAAGGCGACAACACACAGCTGAAAGGTGCGTCCGTCTGTGTGGGCGACGTCTGTCGTGCTGACTGACGGTGTCAGTGGTGGTGTTTTGGAATTTCTTGGCGAGTTTCTCCTCGACCTCGATCGACTTGTGCAGCACACGCACCAGCACTGTGGGGTCCACCGTGTGGTGACACGCACCCAACACCTCCACCAAATGCTGCCTGCAGGGAGCCACACAGACAGACAAACACGTCCGCTGGCTCAGCCAAAGCCGTTCGTTATGTGTGTGTGCTCGACCGTGTGATGTGGCAGAAGTGCTCGCAGAGGGCACACGACACAGCCCAGGTTTCGGGGAACACAGACGCTGCGGATGATGCACCCACACAACCACCACATTCGGACGCCATGGATGTCGTCTTGGTACCAACTCACACACCGTATTTGTCATCGTATTCCCTGAGTGTCCTGTTGAGCCACGAGTATCGCCGCTCCACCATCTCGAGGGTGGACGCCTCCTCGGGCGGCTGGAACAACTTCTTGTACGGCTCAAGGATACGCAGACAAAACGACGTCACGATGTCACGCCTGACAGCCAACACGCCAGCGACGCACAGACAGACACGGACAATGGAGGCCCCGCCCCATTGTGTGAGGTCGGTTGTTCTTCGTGTGCGCATTGCGAATACCTAACGTCGGGTGTCATGGCGTCGACGGCAGCCGCTGCCTCGGGAAGGCACGGGCACGTCTCTTGGCTCGTGTCCAACAGACTGAATAACGAATGACACATAGGACGCTGTCACTGTGGTCTGACGTCCGCAAAGCGGCTGTTGGCATCCCTCCCTTGCTGCCGCCCCTCACTGACGTGTCGAAGTCTTCCATGAGCTGTTTCTGCAGCTCGCGAAAGATGGTCGCCTTCTGACTCAACAACTCCTGAACCATACCACACCACACACGGAGGGAGGGAGGGAGGGAGGGAGGGAGGGACAGAGAGGAGAGTGCGCACATCCATGACCGCCTCGCCTTTCTCTTGGCATTCATTCGCCCTCACTGACCGCGATTTTCGGTACGCCGATCAGGTCTTTGAAGTGCAGGCTGAGCTCCTCGATGGCTAGGATGAGGTTGGCCGTCTCGCGGTAGTGCCGGTTGGCCGCCGCATCACGCAGCTGGTCCAATGCAGTCACTGAATGAATGTAGCGACCCAACATGCAGCACAAGATGGCGTTCTTGTGGCGGTGTGTGTGTGTGTGTGTGGTGTTCCCACCCGCTCAGCGACCCACCGAGCATGACGAGCCTTTTGAGAGCGGTGATGGTGGTGGTGAGGTTCTTCTTGCCGTAGTCCAGGCACTTGATGTCACGGCAGATCTCTGAAACCAGCCAGCCATTTCATTCATTCAAGCATGATGAATGACAACCACAAGTGTAAGTAAGCCTGTGCGTCTGTCTGGTGAGCTGACTGACCCTACCCTGCACAAGGTTCTCCGACTCGGCCGCTTTCTTCTTCATCCGCATGATCCGGTCAAACAGCTCCTGCACACACACACGTGGGAGGCCCTCTCTCTCTCTCTCTCTCTCTCTCTCTGTGCCTATATCATGATCAATCAGTGCACACCACACTAACTACCTGTATGGCGGTCTGCACGTCGGCGAGGTCCCTCTGCGTGTCAGCGCTGGACGTGGCCTGCTTCCTGACAGCCACGAGTATCTGCTGGTCCAGCGACTTGACCTCCTCCTGCAGCTCCCCGATGAAGTGATCGATCTTGGACAAACTCTGCTCTGCACATGGGAATCACATGAGGGCAGGACACACACGCACATACACACACGCATCCCTCAAACCATAGGTCAATCATAGTGTGTGAGGTATTCATTCAGCGCACCATTTGGGAATTTCTTGTTGATGTAGTCGATGGGGTCAAAGTTGGGATCGTCAAGCGGATCTGCCGACGCTGTCGATGACCCAGTCACATTCAGAGAACCCTCTGAACGAAACACACACACACAGATATGCACTGCCAAAGGTGCTGCCTGCTTCTGTTCCTTCGGCACCCATCCGCCGTCATTCTGGTGCTGTCTGTCTTTCATCCCCGGCTCTCACCCACCCGTACGTACCTCCTTCTCTGCTGAACGGGTTGAGCATCCTGACCGATGGATTGACCGAATCAACTCAAGGGAGCTGGGCGCCGCTTCACACACAGATTCCTCGACGCAGATCTCTCCTCATCATCAAGCGCCTTCTTCGCTTCTCCTTTAAGCTCGCAGAATCGCTCCCGCACAAATTGCTCGTTCCCCGCTTATAAGCACAAGCTACAGTTGATTAGTGGACTCCATTGCTACGGGCAAGTATCGGCTGACGCAGATCTGTGATTACTGTGTGTGCCCAGCGACTCATAGCACCTTTGTGAGACCGATGGCCGAGGAGGATGACATTCCCCGGTTTTGGTCTCACGCGCCCGTCACACCGCCGCACTCAGCGCCCAACGTAAGCAGGGAACGAACGGGAGAGATGCATCGGTCGGGAATTAGACATCCGTCCGTCCATCCATCTCTGTGTTGTGTTCCATCACACAGTTGTCCCCACCATACCAGCCTGGGACGCCGGCGTTTGGTGGTTCCTTCGCCGCCGTGCCGCAGCCGACTCCCGGGCTCGGCTACCCCGAATCAGCCCAGCGGCCATTCGCAGACCCCGTCACAGGCAGGCTCACCACCTCCCACACATCGTCCCGCTCGCCATTCGCCAGCGGCCCTGCCATCCCCCCCTCCCCCCCTGCTCACACACACACACCGCCGCTGTACGTGACGCCGTCCGTGCCGCCGCCTGTGACGCCCCCCACAGTGAACAAGGCGGCGTCTGCCAGCAGGGGGGAGGGAGCTGCTGGTGGTGGTGGCGTTGGCGGTGGTATTGGGGGCACGGAGGACTGCTGGGTGACGGTATATGGTGTCTTTCCGGCGGGGTGGGCTCTTGTCAGGAGCAGCTTGGAGCAGGTGTGTGGCACCATAGAGGTCACGGAGATGCCGGCGGGCGACTGCAACTATGTCTGGATCAAGTCAGTGACATAGCATAGCACCCGACCCACCCACATGTCAGCAGACAGATGCATCGCATCCATCGACCATCGCGTGCGCTGTGTGTTGTGGTCTGTTTGGTTTCATAGGTTCCGCAACCCCCGATTAGCCGAGCAGTGGTCGGCACGCCACACCACAGCACAGCATAGAGTGATCAAAGGACGACTCTGTGAGTGACAACCGTCCTCTGTGGTGTGTGTGTGTGTGCGTTAGTTGTCAGTTCAACGGCCAGTTAGTGGCGCGGGGGACCTTCGTCGGCGTCCTCAAGGGCCGGCAAGACGTAAGTATACCGGGCGAAGAATTTGAATCAGTGTGGTGTGATGATGTGTTGTGGATGGCAGGGCAACTATTTCGGTTCGCCGAGCCGCTTTGCGTCGAAGGCTCCAGCCGTACAAACCAAGTGACCCAACACAGAACACACCACAATCGTCACGCCTGCACTGGCTCACGTCCGTCCGTCCATCCCTCCATCTGCCTCAGTTTGTCCAACGGTGTGCTTGGTGCCGCCTCGATCAGTGCGAGCGACGCACTGGCCAAGCCCCCAGCGCCAAAGAAGGTCAGCTTGAGCCACACAAGAGGCGTAGCATCCAGGCGTATGATGTGATGTGTTCGTGGATGCGTGCGCCTTGTTGGCTGCAGGTGACGGGCTTCCTGCCCTGGCTGCTGGATTACCTCTTCGATGTGTGAGTGATGCAGACGGGACGGACCGAGAGAGAGAGAGACGACTAGAGAGTGGGTGTGCTGCATAAGTGTGTTGTGGTTGACAGCCGCACGGTGTGTGTGTGTGGGTGTGTGTGGACGGACATGCTTACATGCTTTACAGTGTGCATACTGTGTGATCGATAACCGAACCAACGAGCCAACCAACGGACGAATTGGGTCACGCGTTGAAGAGTGCAGTCACATGGTCTCATCCATCCATCCATCCATCTGCCAAGTCCTGGTAGACAGATACAGACGTCTCTCTCGAATCGATGCACCATCCATCCATCCGGGCACAAGGCAATGCTCTTCACCGTCCCCCTCTCAGCTGGGGCCACCCATCCACGATGATGCTGGGAGTCGAGAGTGAACTCTCAACTCCCGGCATCGACGTTGACGGGGAGCACTCTAAAGAGACGAGGCCGTATCCGAGCATTCAACACAAGACACAACACCAAACACGCACGCCTGTCGTCTGTGTCCCCTCCCCTCCCCTGTGTCTCGCGGTTGTTTGTTGGGGGGGTTGTGGACGGCGTCCCTTCACATCGTCCGCACGTACGCACGCACGACACACCTCCAGCTATACACGACCCGTCGACACGCCTCCAGCTATGAAGCCTACAGACTACACACATGGACAGACAGACAGACGCACGGACACCACACCACACCACACCACACAGCCAGCTGCCTACGTAGCAAATCCTGTCTGTCCAGCCAACCGGCTCTCTCTCTCCTCTACACAAAGGCAGGCAGGCAGGCAGGCATGCAGGAACCAACGACCAAAAAGCAAACAACAAACGCGTCCACGCACACGCAGGTGGCGTCGGCATCCATCCATCCATCCATCCGTCAATCGGCCGGCCGCCGACCACTCACTCCCATCACTCTCCCTGCGGAAAGAACCTCGGACGTCCTCCCCTCTCGGTGGCTGCCTTGTCTCTTGCCGCGTCGATAAGCGATGCGGACGTCTTGACGCCGCTGGACGGGGTAGACGGGGATGTGCTCGAGGGCGATGGCGCCTTGACGGGGGGCGTGTAGTAGGGCGTCCACGTCCATGTGACGGTCAGGAGGAGGGTGCAGGTCACCACACACCACAGGAGGGATAGCAGGGGGTAGACGAGGGTGATGATGGTCGCTGCCAGAGGGACGCCGAGCCCCCATATGTTCCACCATGTCCAAAACCTGTCCGTCCAAACCAACATCCAGGAGCGGATACACACACGCATCACAGGCATGTGTGGCGTGTTGGTTTCCTTCATGTCATGCAAGCAATGCACCTGAGTCTGGTCCATTGCTGCAGGCGCTTGCTGTCATCGTACACGTGCAAGTCCCCATTGGCGAGCCTGTCGAGGTATTGGCTCTTCCGTGCCCACATCCTCTGCAGCGACTCGTGGCTGGACACGTCACACGCACTGCACAACCTGACACACGGATGGATGGATGGATGGCCAAGCATTAACACCCACAGTTGTGAATGAGTTCCGCCCGTGGGTGCGGTCTGTCGTCTGTCTGTCTGTCTGTGTCTGATTTACCTGACATGCATAATGAGGTAGTCGGGGTAGGATGGGTGTCCGAGGAGGGTGCATGGCGGCCGCCACGTGTACGCCAGCCTGTTGGGCACGTCAGGCATCGCACTCGTCACCTCCAACCTGCCGCAGCAACACAGCACCACAACCACCACCACAAACACAACACCTTCATGCATTTCTGCAAGGAAGGCCTCTTGGGCTGCTGCTGTGTCACTTGGCTGACTGACCAGCAGACGTCATCCGACACAGGCAGGTCGTCTCTCAGCCGGTCATAGCACCCCCAGTACAGCGGCAGCAGGTTGGGCGCCTCAGGCCTCGCACTACTCCCGTCAGCGGCCGTCGACTCGACCGTGCCCCCCCGCACTCGCCTCCTCTGGCTGACCCAAGACGCGCTGCTGTCGGTGGTCTCGCAGTTGCTGCCGCCATTGCCGTTGAGCAGTGCTGGGAAGCCGTTCTGCTGCTGCTGCTGCTGCTGTGGGGGGCTGCCGGCCGCTTCCTTGTCTGTGTGGTTGGCGATTTGCGCCTGTAGCTGGGCCGAGCCCTTCCTGGCTTTGGCTGGCGACCATGTGTTGCCCTCGGGGAAGAAAAAGAACCATGATTTCTTGCCGCTCTTGAGCAAATCAACCACCTGTTCAGACAGACATGCAAGGCAAGGCAAGAAGTCTCCTTTGTTGTCTGTGTGTGTGTGTGTGAATGTCTGTGTGTGTGTGTGTGTATGCGTGCCTTGTCAAGTGTGCGTGCGTTGCGCTCCTTCTGGTTGTAGAATATCGACAGAATGCCCCCATAGTGATACGTCCACCCGATGAACGGTACCTGAACAAACGACACACAACACGATGGATGCATGGGAGGCAGTGCAGTGACTGGCACGGCACCGCTCGCTTTCCCTTTCCTGCGTGCCATGCGCACCATTTCCACAAGGAAGCTGTTGGCGATAGCGAATAGCTGCCCGCAGCTGTCAGGGTGCAGCCCACCGATAAGTGCGGGCAAACTGCACAGGTCAAGCTCCGCCCGGTGGTTGGACACGATGATCCGCACCCTGGCCCTCCTCACGGCCTCGTACACGCCCGGCTCGACACTCGCATAGACGTCGAAGAGCCTCAGCAGCGTCAGGGAGCATGCCCACGTCTGGATGAGCCGCTCGAAGAGAAAGTCATAGGGCCGCGACGACCACAGCGTCATCAAGATGGTGGAGGGCAGCACCCAGCAGCAGAGGTGCGAACCGAAGTAGACGAGTCCCCATGCGAGAAGCGCCAGGCTTCGCAAAGAGCGGAAGCATCTTTTAACAACCGATGCCTCCAGAGGGTTGCGCTGAAGGGGCGGCAGAGCGGCGGGCGAGCCGCACACGCCACGCCCCCCACATGTCATCCCGAGCCTCGTGGTGGTTACGGGTCATCCGTAAAAGGGGCAGCCAATAGATCTGCTGCGAGCTGGCAAATTGATTGCGAAGGAAGGCAGTTTGTGCACACACCACGTCAAAGTGCACACGCCACGCTCTTGACCTGATCTGGCGAAGATGATGCTCAAGATCTGCTCACTCTGCGCCCTTGTGGCTCTTGCGGCCGCTGTTGATGGCAGAGACCAGGTGAGGTGCAGGCATGCTTCGCCTGCCATGGACAGACAGATCCACGACACGCTGGCCGCTTCTACATTGGAATGAAGGTGCATCTTCATCTCTCTTTCTTTCTCTGTGAGTCCCCCTGCTGCAGGGTGCGTTCGTGGGCCCTGCTGCTCCCGTGGGCAGCGGTGTTCTGCGAAGGGGTCTGACTCGCCGGCCTGCGACGGAGGAGCTGACTGACTTTGACCTGATAGCGTCCCGCAACCCCGACAAGTACCCCAAGGAGATGAGCAAATCCATCCCATTCATGCCGCGACCCTACAGACTCGACGGCACCATGGTCAGCCCCTCACACACATGGCAGATGCAGCCGGCTGCATGCTCTGCGTGTGTGTGTGTGTGTGTGGTTGGTGTCTGTGTGTGTGTGCAGGCTGCTGACGACGGGTTTGACCCCTTTGGCTTCAGCAACTGGCTGGACCTTCGGTGGGCCCGTGAGGCTGAGATCAAGCACGGCCGCCTCTGCATGCTCGCCACAGTGGGGTACATCTTCGCCGAGTACTTCAAGCTCCCCGGTACACACACAAGGGAAAAGCAGCTGAGAGATTTCTGTTAATGGGCGTATGTGTTTGTTGCTGTGCAGGTGAGGTTCACCAGGTGTCGTCTCTGGAGGCGCACAACAAGGCGGTCGAGTACGGCGCCATGTCACAGATCCTCCTCTGGATCAGTTTCGCTGAGATCTTCTCAACCATCGTAAGACACACAGACAAACAATGAACACCACCATGGTGTCCATGTCTGTGTGATGCGGGATGCGTGTGTGTGTGTGTGTGTATCAGGCTGTGGTGCAGATGTACGATGGTTCGGGCCGCCAGCCGGGAGAGTTTGGGTTCGACCCTTTGGGCTTCTGCAAGAACAAGAGCCCCGAGTTCGTCAAGGACATGCAGAAGAAGGAAATCAAGAACGGACGACTCGCTATGCTCGCGGTAGGTACCAGGGGGGCGGGCACGTGTTCACATCTTGTTTGTGTATGGGTCTGTTGGGTGTGGTGTGGTGTGTGGTGTTTGGGGTGGGGTGTGTGTGCTTTCAGATATCAGGCATCCTGACGCAGGCGGCGCTGACCAACAAGGGCTTCCCCTACTTCTGAGCCCATGGCGCCCGCGCAACCAACGTTCAACCGGTAGATGGGGCATGTGTGTTCATATTCGATAGAGACGTGTATCTGCCTGCCGAAGCTCACGGGTGAGTTTTTGGGGCTGTCATCCACATCAAACAAACGAGGGGAGAGAGCAGAGCGACACAGTGAGTGAGCAGCTGGCTGGCTAGCGATGACTGACTGATGTCATGTCATGTGATGTGATGTGCTGCCAGCGGGTGGTTTTTCGTGTTGGATGGAATGGCCATATGGGATGTGGCTGACTGACGATATGCGTCGGTCGATGTAGACAGAGAGACAGTTACATGACGGGACTTATTGAGGGCAGTCGAATATGCTCCTGGCACGACCACCGACCGACAGACCGACCGACCGACCGACCCCGTGACCGAGCCCACATCACCTCACATGCACTCGGATAATTCCGCACACGAATCCAATCCACGCTCATACTAACACTCACACACATGAAAGCCAGAAAGATGGCCGTCCGCACGCACACTCACTATCACGGACGTAGCCATGCAGCCGTCCATCCCGTGGCCCACCCACCCCCCTCTCTCAGCTCAGCTATCTACTCAGTCAGGTGACCTGACTAGTCGCTTACCCCTTGGGCGTGGGTGCCTGGCTATGTGACCTCTTGGACCGCAGGTTATACCTCGTCGACCCCGTACGCGCGTCGGTCTCGCGCCGGGGCCCCGGGTTGCTGGGGTGGTGGTGGGAGGGCACTGGAGGCATCAGTTGGCTGGTGCTGTCGGGGGAGGTGGGCGGGAGGGGGGAGTGCATGCCGACTGCTGCTGCGGGTGGCGGTGGGGGCGGGAGGTTGTTGTCCTCCTGCTCTTTGCGCTCCTTCTCCAGACGGCGGATGGCGTTGAGCAGACTCGCATCCTGACAGACAGACAGACAGACAGACAGACAAGGAGGTGTGTGGTGGTCACACTGGTTGTAGTGGTGTGGTGTGTTGTGATACCGACCGGTTGTTGTCCGTAAGCCTGCATGAAGCGGACGCGCTCTTGCCGCTCTCTCAGCAGCTGCTCCTTCAGCACGTTGATCTCCTTCTTCATCTGCTTATTGTGCACACACACGAGCACGGGGGTATAGGTGTGTGTGTGTGTCTCCCATGCATACGTAGATACACACGTACATCTTGTGTGTGTTTGATTCTCTGCGCGAGGTTCTGCTGTCCGATGAGCTTTGCGATCTGCGCCTCGGCCTTCTCGTGCTCCTTCTTGACACGCGACAGCTGAGGCGCACAGCACACGACCCGGACAAGCAGGCGGTTTGGGGCCGGGGAGTGCGGGGAGCTGGCTGGCGAACATACCTCTTCCCTGAGGTCGGCGGCCTCGGCGGCCTGCCCCCTGGCCGACTCCAACTCACACAACATCTGCACGAAGAAGATGCACACAGCACAGAGATTGCCGGATGGGATGGGTGCTCGTGTCGCCTTGTTAGGGTGCGTGTGGGTCTGTCTGTCTGTCTGTCTGTTCGTCCTTACCTTTTGGTTGGTCTCCTCGAGTTGTTTGAGTCTGCCCTCGGCCATGCCAGCCTCCTGCACCTCGCACTCCAGGCGACGCACATACTCCTACAGGGACACACAGACAGACAGACAGACAGATAGATAAACCGCATCCATCCATCCATATCAGCTGAGAAGGGCGGGCGTCCAGTACCTCTCGTTGGCTGAGTTGTGTTGCGAGGGCGTCGGCGTGTCTGTGTGCCCTGCCGACCTCCGCCACCACACGCTCCTCGAGGGCGCTCTGCAGCGACGCCAGCCCTTGTTTGATGTGGCTGGCCGAGCCCTCGATGTCGCTCCGCAACTGGCTGCACGTCGACCTGATGCACACGTGTGCAGACAGACAGAACAATGAGGAGTGGGGATGCATTCTTGTGGTGTGGTGTGGTGTGGCTGCCTGAGTTGGAAGTCGTGTATGCGGCCCTGGACGGCCCGCAGCGCATCCCCAAGCCGACCCGAGGTGGACCTGCCAGTCCAGTCATACGTGCCACACACGAGTCACACGCAGACACAGCTCTCATGGATGGATGGATGGTCAGGGGACAGGACACCTTTCGGTCGAGATGGCCTCCGTCATCTGTGCGTTGGCCGCCCGCAAGTCATCCAAAGACCTCAACAGCTCACCGCTGCAAACTCACACACACAACCAACCGAACACAGGTGCAGAAACCAGAGTAGAGAGAGTGCTCTCTTCGCTTGCAATGCACGGCGGCACTTTTTGTTTGCGAGGTCGGCTTTCTCCGTCTCGGCGTGTTGTAGCCGCTGCTGCAGTGCGGTGGTGTCCTCCGCCGCCTGGCGTCTGGCGGCATGTAGCTCGCCCTTGAGGGTGTCGACGTCCATCCTATTGAGTGGGCCGAAAGAAAGACAGACAGATGAGATACGTGCAACCAGCTGTTCGAACGTTTGTCGGTCTTTCCCTCACTGACTCCCATGCGTTTTCCTTCTGTCTGAGCTCGGTCAGTTCCCGCGTCAGCTCGTCCATCTCCTCCTGACCACGCATACTCAACCTAAACACACACACACACACACACACGCGACGGATGGCATGGTATGGTGTGGTGTGGTGTGGTGTGTATGTGGGTGACTTAATGTCCTCCAGTTCTTGTTTGTGTCTGTTGGCGGCGTCGCGCGTCTTGGTCAGCTCCTCAGTTATCGTACGCAAACTCGCACTGTCAATCAAGCGATGGACACACGGAACGGAGGGATGCACACACATAGAAAAGTCCCAGAGAGTTGGCGGACTCATCTGCTGGCTGCGCCACTCGTTTGTTTCAAGTACCTGGACATTTCGGATTTCTCTCTATACGTCCGCGCCTCCAGCTGGGCCTCCTGCACCTGAGACTCGGCCTCGCGACTGACACGCAAGCGCAACAGACCGGCAGACGTATAGCCACGTGTACCTGATCCCCCTCCCTCCCTCTCGCCCTGACTGACCGTCTGTTGGTCTCCGTTTCGAGTTCCGTCTCCATGTTTTCCAGCTGCAGCCGAAGCGCGTCTTTCTCGTCCTCCACCGCCCGCAGGTCAGCCTCCAGACGCTGGACCGACTCTATGTCATCGCCAACATCGCCATCTACTTCGCCCTCCCCGTCCCCCTCGGTGCAGGAGGCCTCGTCAGGTGCCGCCGATGACTCCGCCCGGTCGTCCTCGTCGTCTTCCTCCTCCTCTGCGACGTCCTCTTCGTCCTCCTCTCTCAGCGGCTCCAGTGCCTGCAGACGGGACGGACGACCCCCACCCAACCTGCTGCAACACGACAACACCACAGCCGCAGGTGAGGTGGATGCTGCAAGATCTCCGTGCGTCACTCAGTCACTTGAACGGTTGTGGCTCCTGTGGCGAGCCTGACGGTGGGCTCCTGGATGCATCGTCCTCTGAGGTGCCGGCGGAGAGCGGCAGCGGCATGTCTGGCGCGGCCATGGTCATGCGACGTCGGGGCTGGTTGCGGGGTGGGGTCTCCTTTGGCGGGGAGTCGTCGATGTCGCCGCAGCTGTGGCTGCTCATCGGCACCAAACTGGCACGACGCTTCCTGATATATGGTGGGTATGTGATGTGCAACACACAGACGCGTAAACTGGATGGTGCGGTGATGGTTTCTGCCTGCTGCTGCTGCCTTACTTTTCCTGCAATTTCTCTCGCCGTCTGTCGCGGTGTCGGGTCACCTCGAAATGAAGGTCCTGAACGACACACAACCAACCAACGGCACTGTCTGTGACTTGACCCACCGGATGGCGACATTTCGGTCAATGCACTGCCCTTACGGCTTTAAGGCTTCGCTCCGTCGTCAGCTGGTTCTTGAGCGTCTCAATCTGACCAAAGAAGGGACATACAACACGCGACGACGACACGAATGCCTCTTGTTGCACCAAACAGGTGTGTGCGTGTCTGCGTACCTCGTGCTTGAGTTGCACAATGGTTCTGTTGTCTTTAGTCCACTGGAGCTGCAGCCCCTGCCGGCGCTCCTCGACGTCCTCGTTCTGCTGGCGCAGCTCGGCTATCCTGTCGTGCAGCATCTCCACGCTACGCTCGTGGTCCCCCTTCTGCTGAACCACACGCTGAGCCAAACTCTCCGCACGACTCTCCGCCGAACGCTTCTCCTGAGCCATCGATCCATTCACAAATCAATCAACACAGGACATTCGCTCACCCATATATCCCCCCACCTGGCCTGCCTCTTACCCGTTCAGCATCTCTGAGTGCACCTTCCAACTCCCGCATCCGGTCCATCATGTGGTCGTAGTCGGCCAGCTTACGCTCGGTGTCGTCGCGCACAGGGGAGGGGCTCGCCGCAGACCTCACGTCTGCACACACACACACACACAGAAACGTGGAAGGGGGGGCGATGCATGAGCGGGGGTGAAGTGAGTGTGCGGAGGGTTCCTCTCTCTTTCCCTCCCTGCCTGCTGACTGACCGTTGCTGTGTGTCTGTGCGTTGGCGGCGTCCTTGACCTGCCCACATGAGGAGGACAGGTGAGGTAGAATGACACCCACCTGGACTGGACGCTGGTGGGGTGGCCCCTGGCTGAGCTGACCTTCTGCATCCAGTGTGACTTGAGCCCCCGGTCGGCCTTGCGCTCCAAATCGTAGATGCGCTCCTGACCAGACAGACGGACGGACACAGACGGCACACCCACATTGATCCACTGTACTGTGGGTGTGGTGGATGCACTTGGCGTACGTGGAGCTGGCTGATCTCGGCCTCAGACGTCGCCTGGAACTCGCACACAGACGCCCACATCCACGTCACGTCCACTGGTGAGCCCACTCCGTGTCTGTCTGTCTGTTTGGGTGAGGGGGCGACCCGACCTACCTCTCTTTCTTTGAGTGACTTCTGCAGCTGCACGTTGGACTCCTCCAGCTCACGCAAACGCTGAATGGATTACAGAGGGGTGAGGGAGGGAGGGGGGGAGGGAGGGATGACAACAAGACAAACACACCCATACTGACTGACACAGACATGTCAGTGGATGAGTGAATGTGGTGCGCGTGCGTACCTTGGTGGACACAGGCAGCTGGCGGGGCGAGTGGGACCCGGACCGCTCATACGCACCGCCTAACAGATGGATGGATGGATGGAAAAGATAATGGGAAGCTCTCTCTGTGCCTCCCTGAATAAAGTACTTGGTTGCTGGTGCTGCATTTGGTTCTGCAGCTGCTGTAGCTCTTCGCGCAGTTTCCGGTTCTGCTGACGGAGGTATTCCGCAGACCCTGATATATCGCCACACGGCCACACACATCAGCGGGCCGTCGCGTGGAGGATAGCATGTGTGGATGTGAATGCATTTGCGTACCGAATATGTCTTCGTTGATGACGGCGTTGTTGCGGACCTTCTTGGCACGCTGCGCAAACTGCACACACACATCCACATGACAGACAGACACCACATAGTTAGTGGTACATCGTCTGTCTGTCTGTCTGTGTGTGGTGTGGTGTGGTGTGGTTGGTTGCCCCACTTACCTGTAGAGTGGAGTGGCTTTCGGACCAGCACGAGGCCGTGGGGTTCAGAGTGCCAATCATCACAGTGCGAGAGTTACCTACTCGACACACACACACATATGGCAGACACGACCGCAGTGTGCATGCGGCCGCGTGTATTTCCTTTTTACCCCCGAGTGAGTTTCGCAGCAGAAATGTGAGTTTGGAGTCTCTGTAGTGGATGTGTCTGCGGCGGAAACCCCGCTCCTCCATCGACAGCGCATTGATCACGTTGCCCAACACTGACACACACGGGCATACACACCACACACGAATGAATCCACGACACTGCAGTGTGTGTGGTGCTCATGTGTGTGTGTATGTGTATGTGTGTGTACCTGAGAGGCTTTTGTTGATCATGCCGGCCTCCCGCAGCCTCTCGCCCGTCGAGTCGCTCTGCGTCTGCCGCTCACAGCCCGCCAAGTCCACTATGTGGAACAGAGAGCGACGCGTGTTCGTCACACCTGATTGATCCATCCATCCCACACAACACAAGGCAACACACACACACACACACACACACACACAGGCAGGCTTCATTGTCTTTGCTGCATATATTGCGATAGTTACCCTCAGACTCCGCCCGCTTTGATTGGATGGAGATGGTGAACACCTGACATGACATGGCGCCAGGAAGATGCAAGTAGGGAGGGTTGGACAAACAGGTATTCCTTTGTGGTTGGTGCTCGATGGGATGGCGTACTGCGTGTGAGCGTGACGACTCTCTGTTCATGGTGGTCTCGCCGATGTGCCGGTGGGCCACACCACGCTCAAACAGCTGGCAGGGCACGCCAGGCCAACCAGCACCACAGTGTAGTTGAACGGACGGATGGATGGATGTGCCTGTGTGACGTACCGTGAGTGCCTCATCGAGCTCCTCGACAACCTCTTCAGACAAACAGTCAACGTACACCTGACCCGGACACACAACACAACACAGCCATCCCATCTAGGAACCCTTTGCTATTGTCCGTGCCGTGTGTAAGTCAATGTTTGTTTCGTTAGTTACCCCCTTGTTGATGTCTTCTCTGAGGCTGAGTGCGGGGCTGTTGATGACGAGCAGGTCGTAGACCTGCTCCTGGTATATCTCGCAGTAGGAACACTTTATCAGCAGCTGCTGCTGACCCTCAACCTCTACGCGACGCTTCTCGTCCACTATGCGCTCTAACGTCTGTGTGTGCAGCGCAGCACAGCCATCACACCCACCACACCGGCCATCCATCAGCCAGCCAACCAACCAACAAACAAACGAACGAAAGCCTTGTGCTCTTTGTATTGTAGGTGTGCGGTGGTGCTGTGGTTACCCTGGGGAGGACCCCCTGGTTGTCCGCATCTGCGAGAGGGCCCTGGATGGTATACGTCTTGCCCGAACCGGTCTGCCCGTACGCAAACCTGACCCACACATCACATGAAACAGATTGAGGGATTGATGTGCCCGTTGTCGATATGATATCCTCTCCCCTTACACAGTGGCGTTGTATCCCTCTGTGGCGGCCTGCAGAAGCGGCCCGCCGATGGCTGCTCACACACACACGCACACACACACACACACACAGCCAGCCAACCAGACAGCAGACAGGGAGGACAACACACGTATGTGCATTTTGTGATATCGGCTGTGTTTGGTGCCACACGGCATGCCGACTAACACACATACATACGCACCTGCGAAGACCTCCTGCTGTGTGCAGTCATGGTCAAAGACGTGGTCGAAGACGAAGCTCTTGTCGAGGCCCGACAGTTGCACCGCATTGCCCACTACTCTAACCACAGACGACTCGCACTCACCCAACGGAGGCCTACAGGTGGGTTGCACAACACGCCCACATCCATCCATCCATCCATGAATCCATCAGGCCGACGTTCCGCCCGTGCATCTGGCCCGCCTCCCTTTCATCCCTCTGTGTACATACCTGACGCGCACCCCGACTTGGATGTTTTGGCTCTGGCAGGGCTGGTACCGACGCATCGATTAGGCACGCGGACCAACCATGCCCAGGTTGCGATACGACGCCCACACTCTCTCCCGCGCCTGCCGATGTCAGCGCACGCACGGCACGGGAGGGATCAGTAGTTGAAAGATGCGAGCTTATCAGTGGATCGACAGGAGGCATTTGTGGTGTAGGAGAGAAAATACATAGATGCGGCCTCATCGCGCACGCGGGCAGGCAAAGATGGAAAAGAAGCATCCGCACTTGCCAGCGGTTCCTATGACTGGATCACTCTCGCGGGGTGCCATCGTGCATTCATCCATCACGGCGCTGAGATAGCACTGACCCATCCCGGCTTCTGTCATGAGTGACGGCAGCATCAGCGCCTCACCTGGCGCCTCCCCCCGGCCCTCTGACGTCGACGCGGCCATCAGAAGAATCTCGTCACCGCATCAGCCGTCCGATGACGCACTCACCGATGGCCTCAGCACACTCGGAAGGGCAGCTCAGGGCGCGGTGGCGGCTATACCAAAGGGGGAGGAGCCTCCGGGGTGGGTGGCGCAGCTGGCGGAGCGGCTGTGCGGCGAGCGTCTGCTGGGGCGGGTGTGTGGGTCGTTCATCGATGGCGGCAACAGGGGACGCCAAGAGTCGGCGGCCAAGGTGCTGAACCTTCTGGGCGAGTGTCGCCCGATGCCCTACACCACCAAGGAGCTCATCTCGGCGGTCGGTGGCTCGCCCCAAACATTCATCAGCTCTGTCGCCCGGGTGCTGGACGAGGCCAACCTGAACCAAGCAAGCTTCACCGTAGAGAATGCCGCCTTCGCGCTGCTGGCGGACTCCATGGTCAAGGGCCGGCACGAGGGCAACGCGGTCGACACCCGCGACCATTTGGTGCATCGACATCCTGGCGTATTCGAGAGAGCCATCGAGTCCCTGGAGAAGATCGCTGAGGACAATGAGCGCGGCACCATGGCAATGGCCTTCCTGATATCGGCATTTTGCACACCGCGTCACATCCCATGGCCTGCCTTCCCATGGGCTCCCATGCCGACGTTCATCTGGGTGCCCTGTTTCGAGTGACGGTACTCATCAGGACACATGAGAGGAAGGAAATCCGGGACGAAAAGTATGCAAGCAATGGGACAGGCAGGCAGGCAGGCAGGCAGACAGACAGCCTTGATATGGTGCACGTTCCTCTTTGCTCTTTAGGGTCAGCAATAATATGGCAAAGGAGATCCTTTCACACTGCTGCCATTACATCCGCTGCTTGGGCGACAAAGGTGCTCAGGCACACCGACAATGGAAGTTGAGTTGTGCGGCTAATGCCCTGCACGTGCCCTTTCAGGGTCGGATTCCGATCGTGCTGAGTGTCTGAAGGCGCTGCAGAAGCACATATGCCCCCTGGTAGATGTCAAACAAGACAGACACCGCACAGCACAAACACATGTCTGTCTTGGCTAATGTGGTCAGATCGACACACTGGCCGCCACGCTGACGTCTCCTGACGCAGACGAGGGCGTGCGCCGCGGTGCCGCCCGGTCCGTGGAGAACATCTTCTTCCTTGGCAAAGCGTTCACACGAGCGACCGGTAGGTACACAACATAGCCGCACGTGGGTGGATACGCGTATCTGTCTGTCTACCCATTCATGCGCAGGTATGGGTCATTTTGCATCTCTGCCGAACGGCCCCGCCCAGCGCTTCATGGGGGTACCAGGGGCGCTGGATGCCTACACCGCCATCTCCGCCTACGCCCGCACTGCCTCTTTCTTATTCTCTGTGCATGTCCCGTCTGTGCTGACCGGTGAAGAGGGGAGGGTGCAGCACAAGAGATGTTGCTATCTGTTCCCTCCTTGCAGCGTGTGGCTACCATGACGACTTGTGCCGCGCTGGATGGATCTCGATCATGTCGCAGCTGCCCTCCCGCATCAGCACGGAATCGCAAGGTCTGGCCGACTTCGCTGACACGCTTGTGTCGATCGTCGGGGCCGCCACAGACCTCACTGACGAACGGGCAAGGGTCAGACGCGCAAGCAAGCAGACAGACAGGCCGGCAGGGAGGACGGCCATGTATGTGTGTACTGCAGATCGCTGTGCGTGACGGTCTTCCCACAGCCCTATGTGAGATGGCGTTCTGCCTGATCAAGGGCGGCCAGGTCGACCAGCAGAAGGTGGATAGATTCGTGAACGTCGCAGTCGGCTCTCTGAGTGCTCTCGTCAGGTACACACTCACTCACACACACGGACATACAGACCTGCCCGATCCACAAAACTAACTCCACTTCTGTCTGTCTGTCTGTCTGTCTGTCGGTGCAGCTATGGCGATCACGTGAGCAGCCGAGGGGGCAAATCCCGTCCCAACAGCGTCACCCAGGCCATCCTCCAGCACGAGTCCGTCAAGACGAGGCGCGCGGCCGCACGGCAGCCAGGGAGACGCAAGGGACATCAGCAGCTGATAGTGCCCAAGGAGGTGACACACATCAGATGACACACACACATGGCTGTTCGCAGGCCACATTGACTGCATGTTGTCTTCAGTTGTTGGAGTTCTTTGACGAGATAGAGCGTGCGGCCAACGAGCGGGCCGACTCACTCCTGGCGGCCGAGCTGGCAGATGACCACATAGATGAGGGCAAGAAGGACACCAACACCAGCAGCAGCAGCGGCAGTAGGGGCGGCAAGAAGCGATCGAAGGGCAAGAGGGGCGGCAGGGGGGCCAACGCCACCAAGACGACCGACACCAATGAAACGGCATCGTCATCCAGGTGGGTGAGCTGGACAGACGGGAGAAGAGGCCATTCATATGGACCGCTGATGATGTGTGTGTGTTGGCCTACACGTAGTATTGGCGCTGACAACATAGACGTGGACCCCAAGGAGCATGAGCACGAGGAGGACACAGAAGACCATCATGGTCTGCCCGGCCCCGCCAGCCCCTCACCCCCGTCCCCTCCCCGACCCTCATGCTCATCCTTCTCGTCTGCATCGGCGGCTGCGGCTGCCGGCAGTGGGCAGCAGGTGAGGGCGGTTGATGGTGGTGGTGGTGTCGAGGGCGGCGGGTTCGTCACGGTCGGTCGTAGGAAGAAGGGCAAGGGCAGCACCGAGCCAACGTCTGGCGGGGAGGCACAGCAGCAGCAGACAAAAAGAACCGACATACCACACGACAGGTACAAGCAACAAGACCGACCGTTTATATTGGCTGTCTACTCGTGTCTGTGTGAGTGTGCTCATGCAGATCTAACACATCAGTGCTGCCTTCTTCGTCCGAGTCGACTCGCCCCTCCTCATCCCGCTCGTCGGTGCGTGGCGACCCCGGCAATGCGCCGCCCCTCCCCTTTCACCTGCCACCTCGCCCACCCCGCCCTGCTCCCCCAGTCCCATCCCACATGGCCACCAATGGTGCACCGGGCGGCTATGGCGATGCTCCAGTGCGTCGTGGAGCGGGTCGCGGCCTCGGCGTGCCCATCCTGCCACCACCGCACGAGATGCAGCAGCCGTCATTCCCCATTGCTGGCATAGCGACCCCCAAGGCATCGTCGGCTGCCAGTCCGTCATCTGCCGCCTGTGCAACAGGTGTCGCATCGTCATCATCCAGCGGTGTTGGCTCCGATGGGCATGGCTTTGCCCCGTTGGCAGGCATCAGTAGCGGTAGCAGTAGCGGTTTGCAGAGGGCGGCGGACGACGAGGGCGGCGGTGGTCAGGGCAGGTACGCATTTACTTACGCACAGGGAGCCGAGGGAAATGGGAACACAGACATCAGCCAGCCTTGGCCGCGTCTGTCGGTACGCGCTGGCTGTCTGCAGGTGTGGTGGTGAGGAGGTGAGCGAGTTGGAGACGCTGCGGCAGCAGCTCGAGGCCATGCGGGTCGAGAGGGATGCCATCAAGCGGGAGAAGGACAGGTATGTGATCCGACCAACACGTATGAGAGATGATCGCCAAATGGGTGGCTTGTGTGTGTGCAGGCTGGAGGAGAGCACTGAGTGCGACATCTGCATGGCTGACAAGAGATGCGTCGTGTTGGTGCCCTGCCGCCATTTCTGTCTGTGCGGCGCTTGTGCGGCTGCCCTCATGAGCCGCCCCGTAGACCAGCGGCTGTGTCCCAGGTGTAGACAGAAAATCACTGCCACAAAACACGTCTACACATGAGAGAGGGAGGGAGTGACAGGGGAGGGGCGGGGGGGCTGTGTGTTGATTAGACCAGACCTCTTTGTGTGCGGTGTACATACATACGATACCGACTGCTGCCGCTTGAATGAATCCCTTCCTTGCTCCCTTCGTTGTCTGCGACTGCTTTGAACCGATCGATCCATCCATCCGTCAACCAACACAACACACACAAAGGCATCAATTGGTCAATCAATCCAATGCTGGCACATACACACACCAATGTCCGCGCACAGCAGACCTGGGGTGGGGTGGGGCCCTCTGACCGTGTGCCTGGCATAGCTGTGAAAAGACCCGAACCCCAGGCACCAAGCCACCTGAATACCAGGTCCACTAGGTCCCCGCATGACAAAAGACTCGCCCTCTCGCCACCATCTAGACTTCCCTCTTCCCGCCCTCTCGCCCTGCCTGTGCTCGTGTGTGCCTCAATACGTGCTCTGCCGCCACACACTCACATACGATACATAAACTGCCGACCTATTTACCTAAATCCCTCCCTCGATACGTATAAACCTACCTTTGCTGCTGGACCTTCTCTCTGCGTCACATCCATCCATCCATCCATCACTCACACTCTCTACGACAGCCTTCCACCAGAAGGAGACCCAATACCCCCAGACCAACGTGGGCGCGGCAAACGTTGCAATCGCCAACAGCCCGAGTGCGCCCCCCTCGACACCCGCCATACTCAAAGATGTTACGTCAAAAAAAGCCTTGACGTAGCCGAACAGCAGACAGCCAACGGCCTGGCCCAGGAACACGCATCTCCAATCCGGCCCACTCATGTCCCGCATCCTCATGGGAGCCAGCGGCTTCTGTTCTTCTCCTGCCGCAGGTTTTGTCCAGCTGTTCTCGAGCAGTTGTACGTCCGACGGCAGGTCACCTGATTGATCGACGCAACACACATACACAAGAAGATGTCCATGGATGTGGGTAGACTTGCATCCGCCCATCCATCAGTTACGATCTCTGGTTATGGTGGAACTTCCCGGGATCTTGTTTCACCAGAACACGGTAGGGGGCACCAGCAGCACTGTCGCCAAGGCAAGCTGAGAAAGTACGGCAACGGCGTCAACCTCCACACTCGCCCACTTGGTCACGATCTCTTGGCCGCTCGAACTGCACGCAGATGCACATACAGACAGATACAGACAAGCCGACTGACTGATGTGCGATGCAGCCACCCTCACGCAAGATACCTTATGAAAATGGCGTCGATGTACTGCCCCACTATGGCGGCCGTGATGGTGAACCACCAAGAGATCAGGATGCCGCTTAACGCCCCCACGTTGGCACAGGTGAGATCCCGTTGGCTGAGATGCTTGTAGAGGTTGAATCTTCCAGCACTCAGGGCGGTCAACGGCCTCCCTCCAGTTGACGTCGGCGTGGGCTGCGGTTGGTGTGCCACTCCGATGGGCCCTGTGTGTGTCAGCCGGATGGGCCGGACGAAGGCGGCAGAAGACAGCAACGGTGATAGGGCGACGGACAGAACGAGCAGCACAATGGGCAGCCTGCAGACAATGGACACAATGCGGACACACCAGTGTGTGTTGCATTTGTGTGTGACACTCACTCACCTCCACACCGACGCCATCGATCTGTCCAGCAGCTCTGCCTCGGAAAAGGGAAGAACCCTAGACCCTGAAAACCCTTTCACCTGAAAAGATCGCGCCTCCAACCACAGACAATGAGGACGTTTGTTGAAATGTGCCTGCCGCTGCAGCTCTTGATCTCTCTCACCCTGTCCCTGATCTACTGTCATGCAGACCACGACATCAGCGCCCGCGCAGCTTTCCTCCGCATCTCAGCACCACGCTTACCACGCAACACGCCACGCCACTCATCACCATCACGGCTGCAGCCATCGGCATCCATCTCGTCCATCAGATCTATCCGCAGGAACGGCATAGCACTGCCAGCAGCCGCTGACGGCACTGCTGCATCTGCCCGCACCAGCGGCAGCGATGCCGAGTCGTCAGCGAATCGCATCTGCATCGTGGGCGGCGGTTTCGGCGGTCTGCTGACGGCCTTGGGTCTGAGCAAGCTGCCGTGGAAGGTGCAGCCCGAGATCACACTGATAGACACCAAGGACCAGTTCGTCTTCCTGCCGCTGCTATACGAGCTGGCCGTGGGCACCGCCGAGCAATCGGAGGTGGCGCCGCTGTTCAGGGAGCTGCTCTACGGCACCGGCATACGATTCGTCAAGGGCAGGGTCGACAGCATAGACGTCGATGGGAAGAAGCTGAGCGTCAGCGGTGCAGGAGGAGAAAGGAGGGAGCTGGGTTACGGGAGGCTGGTGCTTGCGATGGGTGGGGAGCCGTCGGCGGGGGGCATCCCTGGAGTGGAGAGGGCGCTGAGGTTCACAGCCCTCAATGACGCTATTCAGCTCAAAAAGGAGATACAACGCATCAAGGTGTAGCACGAACACGAACAGGCACACAGGCACAGCAGATCACGCATCGATCGCTCTCCTTCACCTGTCCTGGCATGTTTGTTGCAGCGCATTCGGGACCGCCCAGCCCGCGTCGTCTTGGTTGGCGGCGGGTACATCGGTGTGGAGCTCGCCACCAACCTCGCTGCCGCCCTCTCCTCACAGAGCCCCCCACCCCAGATCTCCCTGCTGCACAGGGGCCCCCAGCTGATGCCCCTCTCCGCCGAGCACAACCGCAAGCAGGCCATCCGTGCGCTGCGCGAGGCTCGCGTCGACGTCAGCCTGGAGACAAGCGTGGCCTCCATCCGGCCAGCAAGCGACACGTCGGGCAGCGAGGTGGTGGTGCAGAAAAAGGGCAGTGAGGACTCCTCTGTGCTGCCGGCCGACCTAGTCATCATGACGGCTGGTGTGAGGGCGAGCGGCCTCGCTGACATGGTCAACGGCAGGGTGGAGAGGGGCAGGGGCGGTCGGCTGGCGGTGGAGCGGACATTGGCAGTCAAGGGTCTTGGGGATGTGTATGCGATCGGTGACGTGGCTGACCTGGGAGGAGTGGAGGGTGAGGGCACTGCACAGGCGGCTTTCCAGCAGGCCGACTACCTCGTCTGGAACATATGGGCATCGTACAACGACAAAAAGCCACTCGCATACAGGTGCGTGCCGTGCGGTGCGTGGCGCATGTCATGTCAAGCAGATGCCAAACATCCACAACTCTCCCTACCCGACCGGCATGGCATGTTGTTCATGGTGTTGGTTGGCTGCAGGTACACCAAGCTTGGCGAGATGCATGTCATGTCAAGCAGATGCCAAACATCCACAACTCTACCTACCCGACCGGCATGGCATGTTGTTCATGGTGTTGGTTGGCTGCAGGTACACCAAGCTTGGCGAGATGCTGACCTTCGGTCCACTGGACGGCTCAGTGGCGGCCCTGGGCGACCGGGTGACACTCGGCGGCCCCCTCGCGTCTATCGCACGTCGCTCTGCATACATCATCAGGCAGCCCACACCGCGGCAACGGCTCCGCGCCGCCCTCAGCTACCTCGGTCTCAGCTCACAGAAGGGGCTGCTGAGGACACTCGTGGACCGCTTCCCCGGCAGGTCAAGAGCCACAGAGATACCGATCGAAGGCGGCAGCAGCCGAGAGAGTGACGACGAGTTGTCGGCGTCGCCGCCCGTCGTCAAGGCCGATAGGGAAGAGCAGGCCAGCGGTCAGCCGTGGACGTCGCTGGAGCCTCTATCGGGGCCTGTGTTCGTCGCTGGAGCTACTGGGCGCACTGGACGGTAGGTAATCACTTACCGCACACTTATATATCGCACGCACCTCTGGTGGTCTTTGATTGAGGGTGGGACGAACTCTTCAGGCGGGTCGTCCGATCGCTGCTGGAACAGGGCTGGCGTGTTGTTGCGGGGGTGCGACCGGGCGGCATCACTCGGGCGGAGGCGATCTATGCCAACAGCAGCTTCATTGGGCAAGAGGAGGACATCAAGGGCCGGCTTGAGTTCAGAGAGTGGGATGGGATGAACGAGGACAGCATCAGCAGGGCCATCCAGGGCTGCCCATTCGTCGTGTGCGCGCTGGGGGCTAACTCTCTCTCTCTTGCCGCACCATCGACGGTCGACGGGAAGATTACACAGGTCAGTGGCCAACCTTGACAAACAACACATGAGTGTGTCAGCATGTGTATGTGTGTGTGTTCAGAATCTCATCCGCATCTCGGCTGCCACTGCACCGTACTCCACAGAGACCAATCAGCTGCTGCGGCACTTTGTTCTAGTGACCAGCCTCGGCACAGGCTCCTTCGGCCTCCCGGCGTCATCACTTAACCTGTTCGGCGGCATTCTTCTCATCAAGAGGCAGTCTGAACGACTCTTGGAGAAGAGCGGCCTCCAGTACACCATTGTGAGGCCAGGCGGGCTTGAAAGGGCCGGTGACGACTACGAGAGGGAACACCCGCTGGTGGTGTATGGGGCAGACGAGAAGTACGGCGGTATCGTGAGCAGGCAGCAGGTGGCAGATCTATGCGCCCAAGCACTCTGCCGGCCAGAAGTGTCGAAAAATAAGGTGGGTGGGGGGCTGGGTGAGATGGACACTGGGTGTATGTCCATACGCTGGTTTGGATTGGTGTGTGTGTGTGTGTCAGATCTTTGAGGCCGTGACGGCGACAGGCAGTGAGGCGGCCCAGCTGATCAGTGAGCGGCAGAGGCAAGGGGACTCGGCGACGCTTGACACTCGGTACAGGGACCTCATGGCAGCCGTGTCACAGTGAACACGACGCAGAGAGGGCTGTGCGGGTCTTTTTCGTCCCCGCATGGAGAGGACTTGTCGGTTTGTGTGTGGGAACGAAGGCAGGCACACAGACAGACAGACCGACATGTTGGGCAGTGGGTGGTTTTGTCACTAGGTGCTAGAGAGGTGGTGGTGTGTGCAGCGAGCTGGTCGTGTGAGTAGGGGTTGGGATGGGTGCGAGAGGCTACTATTTATCTGTGTCAGGTCAGCTCCCTCCCCGATTGACGATATGCACGCCGCGCTGGGTGTAGGCATGCATATGTGTGTGTGTATGTGTGGCGCAATGCGTCCCCTGTGTGAAGCACAGCCAGGCCAAGCGGGATGACACGGATCGGATCTGTCAGACACATTGAGTGGATTGGATGGACTATCATACATATGGTGGGTGGGTGGACGTATGTGTAGTTCCGGGGCGTCGGGCCATCGATCGACAAGACAATCGGCACGACACACTCCAGTCGGTGCTATGTACGTTGGTTGGTGTGTATGCATTCGCGCACTCGCCCACCCACACACACGTGCATCTGTCCGTCCATCCATCCATCCGTCCACCTGCACGGCAAAATACCCCCACTGCCTACCCAGCCAACCACCTTTTCTGATTGCGTCTGTCGTCAGTCGGCGTGTCATGCATCCATCCACTCACTCATGAGTCATTCGTCCTGCGCCTGTTCCTTGAGCTGCTGCTGTTCCTTTTGTTTTTGTACGGCGAGGAGGTGCCGGAGGAGGTCGACAAAGAGGTCCTTGTGCTGGCTCTCCATGAACTTGATGGGGATGCACGCACCCTCACGCAAATACAACGCACAGCAACTGCACACACACGCAACAAACCGACACACAACAAAACACAACACGTAAGCTTAGCTGGTGAGAGAGACACATACGTGGCTGCTTCTAGGTCGGCGTCGATTTCGACTTTTTTGAGCTGGTTCTCCCCCGAGAGTACGCCCTTCAGCGACGATATCGGCACCTCACGGTTCTTCACCTGCACACGCAGCCACCACACGAGAGAGAGAGAGAGAGAGAGGCCACATACGCAGTCAGCGACAGCGACAGAGCAGGGAAAGAGGTGGGGTGGATGTTGATGTCTCGCTTGCTTGTGTGTATTTGCTGACGTCCGTGGAGATGACGATGACCCTGTCCTCCATCCTTAGTCTCAACAGACACTCCACGTCCTTGCCGCCCTACACACACACAAACACCCACACCCACACCCCCTCACCCACACCCCCAGACCTTCTCCTGTCTCATGTCATGTGCCTACGTGCAGGAGGACTACGATCTTGGTGCCGTCCGCCTCTGCGATACGAAGGAAGGCCTGCAGCTCGGGCGTCAACTCAGTCGCACCGGCTGACGACTGGACAGCAGGGGCAACAACGGCAGACACATCACATATGTGTCAGAGGCTGCTGGTGCAACTGTGTGCGTACGGACCGCTCCCTGTGTGCTGATGAGTGTGCTCTGCGGGAAGGATATCGTTTGATGCCGAGCTGGTGCAAGACAGACAGACAGACAGACAGACGGAGAGGTGGGTGTATGGCAGCCACCGTGAGGCGATTTAAGTGAGGGGGCGTGGCGTACCATCTAGAAGACCCTGAAAGAGAGGATTCCGAACAGAGAGGGCAAGGGTGCGTGCATGTATGTATGTATCTGGATGGCCAGCTGCCTTGCATGGTACCTTGTCACCGTTCACGTCTGCATTGCCGCCAATATCCTCAGAGGCGATGGTCGGGCCCTTCACCGATGGCTGCTCAGGCGCATTCGGGGGGACCTCTGCACGGCACTCGTGACGTCACACAGGGCCATACATGTGATGTACTGGCTCTCCTTCTCCACCCTCTTCATCATACATACCGATGTATGTGGCCCCTGTGCCTCGCTGCTGCTCGTCGACGTGGCAACACGAACTGATTTGGCCCATTGTCCTCGAATCTCTTTCTTCGATAGACGGGGCTCCAAAATGACCACACTACTGCAGAGCGGGCCCCTCTGCGCGCCACACACTGACACCGGTGCACCCGACTTGGCCAACTGGGAGAGAAACCTCGTTTAGCGTGCGAGGGGTGGGGGCCTGAGTTGGGGCTCCCGTCTGAGACTTCAGCTCGCAAGGGGCAATCTTTGGCGAAATGGAAGGGTCATCAGGGTCTTCAAGCCTCGGACGCACTATCAAGGGGCACCTGGCCGTGCACGCAGTCCTCCAACTGGTAAAAAGCACCGTGTATGCGGACACGCGGACCCTGCCAACCATTCACTCACCCCGTTGCCTCAGGCGATATGGATTCCTGTGATGGCCAACATGAAGTTCGGCGGCATCAGGCCACGCAGAGGCGAGTCGCTCGGCGGCATCCTCACCGCACCACTAGCACATGCATCACCAGAGCACGCTGCCGTCAACGCCCTCATGCTGGCCATCATCAGTAGGCAACGACAGTCACCACACGAGCCCGTGATTACAGGGATGTATGTATGCATGCGTGTTCTTTCGTCTGTCTGTCTGTCTGTCTGTCTTGTCTGTCTGTCTCTGCAGCTGAGCTGCATTTGTGGCGTTCATTTGTGCAGTGGGTGTATGCCTTTATCTTCGGTTGGGTGGTCGGCGGATTCTTCTTGTGGGTTGTCGGAAGCCCACATGTCCACACGGTACGTACGCACAGGCCCACGTCCCTCAGCACATGTGAGCGCACGTGGAAGGCTTGTGTCTCTCGCCCATCTCCCGTCTCGATCGTGTCAGGGTATGAACGGCGTTGTGTTCGCTCTCCTCGGGTACCTTCTCACTATCGTATTCTTTGAGAAGCCTTTTCGCATCGTCAATCTGGCAGTAAGAAAGCCACGCAATAGGAGGGAGACAGAAGCCTCATACGACTATGCTCGGTCGCCATGTGTTTCTTCTCGTTTTCCGTCCATCAGCTGTTTGTGTTGGGGGGCTTGCTGTACTTCGGAATTCTCCAAGGCGCCTTCCCAAAGGACCCACGCGTCAGTTGGCAAGGTAAGGCATTCTTGCCATGTGCAGAGACGACGCATCCCCCCCTTTGTCCGTGTCTCTCTCCGTGTGTTTGTCAGATGACCTGACAGGTCTTGCGACAGGTCTCTGTGCAGCCCTCATCTACGGCAAGATGACCGAATCCTATGCCAATAGAGTGAGCAAGTACTAACTTGATAGGCGGCGCACCACAACCATCTCACCTCCCCTTAACGCGGTCCATGTCCCTTCTGTGCGCAGCAGCGAAGGTACGCTCAGTTCGAAGACGAGCGCAACGAGCCCAAAGGTGCTGCGGGGGTCAAACTTCTCCAGTGTTGGCATGGCACCTACAGTTTCACTGTTTGCCCCCCCCCCCCTCCAGGTGCTGATGCTGTGATGGCCACACTCCCCAATGCCGCACCACAAAAGGGACAAGCAAGAGGGGGCGGTAGTGTGGCTCCTGCAAAGGAAGACTCGTGGTTTGCAAGGAACTTCATGGCAGGGGCGTCTAGCCGCAGTGAGACGGCATCCACCACTGACGGTCGAGTCATCGGGCATTCTGTGGTGTGATTGGACGCATTGACGACACATGATGAATCCCTTACGTGTACCTGTGTGTACGTCACTGTTCGTATGTCTCATGATCATCTCAAGGCCTCTGTGTTCTCGGAGGATCTCTCACACTGTATCTGTTCTTTTCTCTGCAGCTGCCGTCTGCGGCCGTGACTGCCGTCCCTTGCTGCCAACCTTCCAGTAAAGCCGTGGAATGCTCTTGTCACCTTCCTTTGGCACTCGTGTGGTTAGCAAAGGAGTGGACGGCCGCACCGGTGCACTGGCGGCACTGGTGGGGCGCTGCTTCCTCTTCTCGCTTTCCCGAGGCAGAATTCTGACGCGCAGCATCCGGCGAGATGAGTCTTCCAGCCTAAGATCAAGGGCCAGGGACCGGAAGACATCCTATAAGCACGGCAGATATCACTTTTTTCTCACGTATCGAGGATGTTGAAGAACTCGACGTCATCAGGCGTGAGCGCCTCGTGGGCGTCCGGCCCCTCGAAGCGCCCTATTCTCAGCGCATCCTCAAAGGCGATGGGCACCCCCTCCTGCCTCTGCGCGTCCACCACTCCGTAGCGCTCACGCCGCACCTTGGGACCGGGCTTTGCCGATGCGACCGGGTGAGGCGGCAGCAGGCCCACCCTCTTCCTGGTCTTCTGTGGCTGTGGGGTACTGTCCGTTGGCCGGTGGTCCTCTTCTAGGGGTCGCTGCACGGTTGGCTGGCGTGACAGGGGGGCTGTGGGCAGGTGCGAAAATTGTCGAGTGAGGGGGGCGGTAGTGATCGAGAAGCGAAGGTCGTGTCTCGACATGGGGGGCCGCCTCTTGCGCTGGAGGCGGGCTGTTTGGAGGTTCTGCAGCGTCTGCTGGGCTGCACACTGCTGTGGGCTGCCTTGGGACATCATCACCTGACACACACAGACACACCTATAGGTGTGGGCGTGCGTACATACCCGCCTCGCTACCTGATGTCTCTTTTGGTTGAGCTGCCTTGGGTTCCTTGAGACTCCGACAGGCTGCCGCGCCCATGCAGATGGGTGCGATCGACGCTCCCTCCTGCCCTTGTCTGCGGCGGGCGCGGTAGCTGGCCGCCCCTGGCCCTCCTCATGCTCCTTCCACAGAGTGTGGCGTCTCTTCATGAGGGCGGTCATCGGCCGCGTCTGCTCCTCATCTGCGTCCTGTTTTCCCTTCTGCGAGAGGGCCTGGCTGAGGCCGACAGTAGGTCCACCGGATCCGTCTTCGGCTTGCCTCCGGAGGTCGATGACTTTCTGAGCGATCCGGCGAAATAGATCAATGCCAGTCTGCATGGAAGACAAGCGCGATTTGGGGAGGCTTTTGACATGTCTCTCTGGCCAACCAGATCATCGGTTGATTTCCCTGCGACCCGGCTCGCTTGGTGTGAGAGCTGTAATGTCTTTGCCCGCTCATCCCACCCCCTTCGGGCGTGGAATGCGGCCTGCTTGTCCTCTTGAATGTGCTGCACAGGAGGAGGCATGAGACACCCCAGATCTCCTGTTTTTGCTTACTTTGATCATTTGGGTCACTTCTCGGTCTCGTAAGAGGGTTTCGAACTCAGCTCGGGTAAGGCCGATACGCCTCAGCTCGCGAGGCCCTATATGGGATGATGCCATCCTGAAGACAGAGAAAAAGGACACGCATCTCCCCTCTCGTGTATGAGCTCGCACCTGTCCAGGACTTCTTCTATTTCTTTGGGCTCCTCCACGGCCATTCGGACCCTCTGCCGCAGCGTCGCCCGGCTCTGCCTGGACGCATCAGTGGGGGTCAGCGGCCCGCTGGAACGGGCAGCGGTGAAGTTGCTGGAGAGAAGCATGCCGCTTGAGCTGGCTGGGCGGTGGATGGCGGCGGCCATCTTCAGGTTGCCGAGCAGAGGGGGACCCGGCTGTCCACCTGCGCGCTTCCGTATTCTGTATTCCTCGTCTGCTGCTGCTTGCAGGTGCTCCTCCTGTGGGCTGATGATGTGCTCGAAGTTGTCGACGTCGTATATTTTGAAGACGCCTCTCATCGGCTGCTCTGTCCAGTCGTAGACTATGGAGGGACTCGACGACTTGGTGGTTGCCAAACTGCACACACGCACAGAGAGACAACGGGAGACATGAATGCCGGTCTTTGTGACAAGAAACACACGTCAGCTCACCGCAGCTGCGGGACAGCGTTTCGCTCAATCAGGTCACGGTAGCGGAGAGAGTTAGACGCCAGGAAAAGGAACTCCCCGAGACGGACAAAGCCAATTGTCTCTGTGGGCGTCTCCTGCCTGACAGCGCAACCGGGAATGAATGGTACATGTGTCTCTGTCCGCATGGGTACGTACGTACGTGTATGCGAGGAGGTCGTTTGACTTGTGTAGGTGCCACGCCGCCCAGTCATTGAAGAGGGGTGTGCTCAGGACGCGGTCGCACATTCGGAGGGCGTGGTTGACGACGCTCTTTGTCAGCTTCATCCCACACACGAGGTACTTATGAAAGGCCTCCCTGTGCACGCGCACACCCATCACACAGGCAATCTTGACACTGTTTTCTCTGGCTGGCTTGCCTTTCATGCAGATCATATGAACGTCGGAGGTCAGCCACGGCCTCCACACTGCACGGGCAAACAGACCACTCACAACATACAAGAAGAGAGCTTTGGATGCGGTGATACCTCAGCCATCCATTGGCAACGACAGCCACAGCCGACACGAATGCGTGCAGATTGTCCCGGCACGAGTGATTGAGGTACACGTCCGGCAGTAAGTCACTCCAGGCGCTGACATTGAGTTGGCAAAGAGGCGTGAAGTAGAGTTCACGCAGCAGCATTCGCAGCTCAACCTGCGCAAAGGGAACAAGCACCAATGATCAACTGAGGCTCCGGACCCCAGCATTTTTCGTACCCGTGTGTCATCCATCTCCCGCCGACTTCCCTTGGCAGCACCGCTGCCGGCGTCGCTTGACGCCCGACTCGCCGTGATCTCCTCGCCAGTTGAGCGCCTGACCCCTAGAAAGTGTGTGAGTTGGTTCATGATGGGGCGGCAGACCGAAGCCGAGAAGGCGAGGGAGTGCAGCAACAGATCCTCGATGTCATTGAGGCTGATTGTGGCGACCTGACAGAGGCGTACGTGACGTGCGTACCAATCAGATGGGTGAGGATCTCATGGCGCACAACATTCATTCTGTACCCCGTATGGCCTCGACAACATCTGCATGCCGGTCAGCACAGGAATGAAACACGGTACCGCGAGAGGACGAGGCGCCTGATTCATGACGACCAGCGGAGAGGCAAGCCACGGGGGACCAGGCGAGGAATTCGAGAGACTGGGGGGCCGCCCCCTCGATGAGACTATGATGCATGCATGCAAATGGATTGAAAAAGTCAGTCAATGACAACGGAAAAGTGGGTGTCTGCATCGTGACAAATACACAAGTGGACTGTACACGCAGACGCTTCATATATATGTATGTACACTACACGACGAAAAATCACTGTACACACATACGCTCTCTCTCTCTTCCCTATCTCTTGACTCTGAGAAAGAACGACTGATAAAAGGCGACAAGCAGCCTCAGGACCACCCACATACCCGCCAACACAGCCGCGTCCACTACCCACTTGTACACATGGGCTGGCATCCCGCCACCGCCCCCCTTCCCGACGTCCACCGCGCGCGCCATCATGGCCACCAATTCCCCACACACATCTCCCGAGAACGACGCTGCCGCCTGCCCGGCGAATGTCGCGGTGGTGTTCATGACCCCAGATAGAGACGCAGTCACATTGTGCAGCAGCTCTCCGGTCCCACTGCTGAGTGTCGTCTCGTTGAATCCGCCATCGATCAACGGTGCCTCATTGCTGAAGTCCGTGGCATTCATTGGGAGTGATGCGTCAGCCACCGTGCGATTGAGTGATGCGAGTGAGTATGGGAGCGACGCTTCGACCTGAGGGCATTGGGTGGCGAGCAGGAGGCGGAGTGCCGCCTGGCTGGGGGTGACCGGGTTGCACGAGTGGCGGCCCGCCAGGCCGTAGAAACAGTACAGTGCCTCGGCGCTTCCAAACTCGTCAGTCTGAAACACCAACATTGTCACAGACATGATGTCGGTGTGTCTGGCTGACCGACCACTTTGAATTGGTAGTCGTTGAAGAGCTCAATGACGCACCCCTCGAAGACGTAGAAGAAGGGCGACGTATAGCAAATCCACCCCAGCCAACGAGGCATAGACCTGATGGAATGATGCAACACACCACACAGAGAGAGACACGCTTAGTTAGTTTACAAACATGTCCATCTCGATCCCTCCACCCGCCCACCCACCCATCCATCGTCCCCTGTCGTCTGCTGTGCATGCTCACCGTGGGTTGGCATTGAATCCGTTGAATATGCCGGGAATGCCGAGCATGACGCCGCCCAGCGACGCCGCCATCGGCACGTTGGACGACAGCACAGCCGCCAGGTTGACACACGCGTCGCTCACGAGGTAGCCCAGCAGGTTGATGAGCAGAAAAAAGGGAAAGTGCCGCCACTCGAAGGCCAGACACGCCCAGCATATCACACACAGCAGCGTGTTGCCCACCAGCGGCAATATGTTGGACGTCAGCAGCTGAGCCGCGATGTGGGGGAGGGGGGAGTACCAGCCGTCGCTGCTCTCAGTGAAGAACTGACCTCGCTGCTCGATCAGCAGCGACACGTTGGACAGGGCCGTCAGCTTGATGGGCATGTTGATCATCAGGGCGGCTGACAGATGGTACAGCACGGGTCTGTCGATGCGCACATGCCAGAAGGTCACGCCGATGAGCAGTGCCGTTAGGATGCAGTTGCACAGGATGGTGAGGGCCGTCTCCCGGTCCCTCAGCGCCAGGGTCAGCCCGCGACGCGTCAGGTGGGCAAACTGCTGCAGGGACGACTTGACGTACCTGTGAAATGGATTCATCAAGCTCACACACGCAGAGGAGAAACGTCCAGAGGTATGGTCGGTGTGTGGGTGGGTGCATCCCTGCAGGCAGCGTGTGTCCTCACCGTTTGTCTCGCGTGGTCCTTGGGAGGCACTCGAGCAGCTCTGACAGCCTCGGGTGTCGAGCCATCTCGCCGGCGATCGACTGAGACACCTCCTGATATCATCACACAGTCATACACACACACAGGTGCGTCAATACGTGCCTTCTACCCTCTCGTCCGATGCGCGTACTTTTTCCATCTTGGCTGCCTCGTTGTCCCGGAACTCCTGGGCGAGCAGGTCGGGAGCGGCGCCATCGCGGCCAGGCGTCAACACATCCAGGAAGAAGTCGGCCGGATTCGTGTGTGGCGGGAGAATGAAACCTGAGACACCCAAGCAACATTCATGTGTCGGTGTGCTTCGCTTCGCGTGCCTGTCTGTGTGTCTGTGTGTCTCCTTCACCGACATACCTTTCTTTTCAAAGTACGGTGCGGCAGCGTGTGGGGGCCCCGAGAAGACGACGCGTCCTTGTGCGAGGAGCATGACGTGATCGAACCGCTGGAAGACCTCCACACGCGGCTGGTGGATCACCACGAAAAAGGTCACCCTCGCTACCTGAAGTCAATACACATACAAAGATGGCGATACACTAATGGACTGGTCGTGTGTGTGTGTGTTGTTGTGTGGATGTGTGTGTGTACCTTGGCGATGTTCTGTATGGCCTGCATCACGAGCTCACTATCAGCAGCGCTCAAACCTGACACACGCATACACACATACACACGAATCGAAGACGGCACATGTGTTTTGTCTTTGTCTGTCTAGTTCCTCACCGACCTGACGTGGGTTCGTCGCAGAAGGCGAGTGCGGCGTCGGACACGAGTGCCTTGCCCAGAGTGACCCGCCGCCGCTGACCGCCAGAGATGCCACGCATCATTGTACTGCCAATGCGCTGCCCACAGACACACCGACATAGACACACATGTTGGAGGCATCCACCCACCCCATTGCTTCCCTCTCTTTCTGTCTCACCGAGTCGGCGACGTCGGTGAGTCCGAGCATGGCCATGAGGTTCATGAGGTCCTCTTGGCGCTGCTCCACACCGCTGACGCCATTTTGCTCCTCATAGGTGCGCGTCAGGCTGCTCGCGAACTCCAGCACCTCACGCACTGTCTCATTCGGATTCAAAATGTCATCCTGCGATGGATGAACAGACAGAAGGACGGTGAGAGAAGCGTTGAGAAGCCGGCATGGATTGGGGCGGGGGTGGGCCGGTGGTATACTCACCTGTGGGACGTATGCGGCGATGCGTCTGAAGTATTTGTCTCTGGGGACGCCGTTGACGTAGATACTGCCCTCGAAGCCGCCCTTCTTCTTGCCTGCCAAGATGTCCTGAACGAACACCGCAAAGGAAAAGACAGACAGACAGACAGACACGTTGTGTGTGAAGAGGTCCCGTCCCGCCCTGTCTTGCTCCCTCCCTCACCAGCAGCGTCGACTTGCCTGACCCAGACGGACCTGCACATCACATCACAACACACCACCCACACCCATCATCTATGGTCACCTCGCCCCTTGCTACCCAATCTGTCGCTTGGCTTGGCTTACCCATGAGAGCCACGACACTGCCCGCAGGGAAGACACCCGACACAGGATGCAAAATCTGCTTGGGCGGCTTCCCGCGCCGCGGGATGGCGAAGGACACGCTGCGGAAGGCGAACGTGACTGCCAACCTCGGCGGTCCGCTCACCCCGCCCTCCCAGGCACCCTCTTCCATGAGTGTCTCCTGTGTCCCCAGCACCGGCACCGCATCATACGCAGGCACGCTAGGCCGACTGCCCTTCCACCCCGCTGCCCCCTGCTGCCGTCTGGTCCGCCACACGCGCCTGGCGACCCTGTTGCACGAGTAGATGATGCCCCTGAGGATGGCCCGCGACATGCCCCTCGTCAGCAGCTCGGGCGCCCGCCGGTCGGCCTCGCTGCGTAGGATCCTGTTGATGCCCCGCTCGAAGGGCTCGTCGACGTCATCGGACGAGTCTGTCTGTCTGGGGGAGCGGATCTGCCGCACATTCGTGTTGACGTGAATGGACGCCGCTGACACTGACCGGCGATGCATGCGGGGGGACTGCGAGGCGGTGGGCGAGGGGAAGGCCGGCAGCGTGGCGCCAGGCTTCAAAGGAGACGAGGGGGAGGAGGGGCTCGTGAGCTCGTCAGTGGCCGATGAGTGGACCGAGATTCGGACACGTCTTGGCGAGGCCGATGCCTCCTCATCGAGGAATGCCTCGACGGTCTCGTTGAGGCCGCTGCTGATGTTGTCCTCATCGTCGTGTGCGACGGGCGGGGCAGGGAGGGGGTGGGCATGGACAGAGTCATCGGGGCGCTGTGACGATGATCTTGATGACGATGATGATGATGGGGGTGTGGGTGCCGCGTCGGGGGGAGAGATGGTGGACGCATACGCCGACGAGCCGCGACGCATTGTCGGGGCAACACGCATTGCTGAGCGGCCCCAGAATCTGATGAGACGAAATTGGCGACGAACTCAAAGAAATAGACAGCAAACGCACTCTTTCCGTCGAGAGAGCCACACGGGAAGCCTTTCGTTCGAGCGTCAGGCGCGTCAGTTTGCGAGCTTAGCATGCAGACCCTTCTCTGGCTCGCAAAAAGAGCGCGTCAGGATCTGTGTGGCGACGTGCTTACCCGCGCATGTCGTTTGTGTCATTTGAGCACATCATCTACGTCCCTGATCCACCACGCGCAGATCTTGTTCAGCATCCGCCCATTCACGCACGATATCCCCCAGCAGCAGCAGCACCAGCACCAGCGCCAGCACCAGCACCGCCCCCCGCAGGAAGAGGCATTTGGCAGACAGCTCCAGCTCCCCCTCCTCCCCCGAGGATCATGGACTCGTCGACGATGCCTGCGCCGGCCGCCTCGGCTTCTCCCGCCTCGTCGTACTCATACAACCCCCCTCCCTACCACCCTGGAGTGGGAGGATACCCATACCTGCCCGCCGGACTGCCCATGCCCATGCCGGCCTACGGCCTCTCTGCTGGGCCACACACTGCTGCTGCTGCTGGAGTGGGCGGCGGTGGTGGTGCTGCCGGTGCGTCGAATGGGGCGCCGACCATGGCGGGTCATGGGACGGAGGCGGGCAAGATGGGTGCCGGCACCGCTATGGCCATGGCACCCATGGCAGAGGCAAGCAACGCCGCTGACGTACATGCTGCTGCTATGGCCGGTGAGAAAAGAATCTGAAACGCATCCAATCCAAGAATGGCCTACCGGATGATTTGCCTGTCTGTCGTGCTTCTCTCTGGTGTGTGGTGTCTGGTGCGGTGCGGTGTGTGCAGGGTACATGCAGGGTTATCCCGGAGCGTATGGCGCCTACGGCTACGGCAGCCATCCCGGCTACGGCAGCTATCCCGCCACTTATGCAGGTGCAGGATACCCTCCCCAGTACTACCCCTACCTGCACGGCTACCCCTACTACGTCTATGAGCCGCCCGTACGACGAGCCGCTGGCCCCAAGACAAAGCGCTTCTGCTGCTGCTGATGCTGATGCTAACAAACTGACTGACAGGAGGGAGAGCCGGGCAGGCAGGCAGGGAGAGAGATCCTTTTTGTACCGTGATTGTGCGTGGGGTGAGTGCAGGGTTGGTTGGAATGGTGTGTGTACCTTAGCCAGAGTCGGTCGGTGATTCATGTGTGTGGTTTTATCACCCGGTAGGTAGCATCCTCGACGGCCTCCGTTGTTGCTGTATTCCAGTGCCTGTGCCCGATTCGCCATGCTGTATGTGTTGATGTGTATGTATTTATTGCACGAGCAGTTTTCGATCAGTCAGCCTTTTTGCTATTGCAACATGTGGCGGCACAGCGCACTCCGCTCCGCTCATCGAGGGAGGTATCTATGCTATCTATGTATGAGCGCCGTCACAGGCATGGGCAGGGGTGACATACTCATGATAAATAGTGTGTGTCTTGTGTTGTGTGGGTGTGTGAGCTCGTGTGACGTGACGTGGTTGGCGCGTGCTCATTTGCCTGTCGTTGCGGTGCCGTGTGCAACGGTCTGGTGTGTCGTCGCCACGCCACCGCGACAGACAAACAAACGAGCACGCATCGGAAGTCTGATGGACACACGTGTATGTTAAGTTGTGTCTTGTCAGTGCCTTGTCAGCAAAGTTTAACGAAATCGCACAGACCATATCCTTTTCAGTTTGAAAGAAGTCACACAAGTCTCCCATTGTACAAAGACGCCTGCTTGGTTTCGGTCACCATATTACTAGTTAGAAGGACTCTTCACAAGCGGCCATGCAGAGGGAATGATCAGCAAGGCTGAAGCAGTGAGACAACGAACAGCGGGAGGCTAAGTTCCCCGTGGATGCAGCTCCCAGAGAGCTGTCGCGCTGACGACCGCCGAACAATCATAAGCGAACTGCTGCACTAGCCACACCCAACAAAACTGATGACTGCAAGCACAGCCATCCCAGCCATGCAGGCGCCACAAAACACCCCCATCAGTCAATCTGCCCGTCGGTCGGTCTGTCTGTCTACCTGCCTACGCCCCCCTCTCGCCATTGGCCTTGCTCACATCAAAGGCCACCACATCCGAGTACGGCCCCGGCAGACCATCGAGGTTCATGCCCCGCACACGGAAGTAAAGCCGGGTCTGCTTCTGACCCACCCGCCCCTCCTTCAACAAAGTGTCCAGCAGGACCCCCCACAGGCCCCTATGCGTTTTCCACCCACCCTCTGCCTCGCCCGCCCTCCACGCCACCCACTCGGACACGAGCGCCTCACTGCCCTCGATCGCCCTATTCATGGCCCGCACAAAGAGGTTGTCGCCACATGACATCGGGAAGGGGCTCTCGCACGCCGACGGGGCGGCGGGCGGGAGCGGGGCTGCGTGGCTGGCGAAGTAGAGAGGCAGAGAAAACCGCGACTTTGGCGGGGAGAAGTCGGTGGCCAGGAGGGGGAGGGACGAGAAGGGCGATGCGAGCGTGGCTGATGACTGGCCATCGGACTCCTTTGGGTCTGCGGTGATGTGTTGCTGCACGAGGGGGTGCCATTTGTGGTGGCCAGAGGATGTATCGTCCGACAGGCTGACTTCGATCGAATACGTCGCCGCACCCGTGGCGCCCCGCCATCGGATGTGGCTGCACAGGGAGAGAGAGAGAGAGAGAGAGAGAAGCGTGAATCCATTGGTGAGGAGACGTGACTATGAGGTCTACGTACCTGTGTTGGATCTGCGTGATGTGAGGCGCTGAAGGGATGCGGTGGGCAGCAGGAGCTGGATCACCCCTGAGGAGCCCACACAACATGCCAATGGTACTTTGCTTTAAACCGCCGCCTTGTCGTCCCTCAAACGCACCTCATTCTGCACGCGTGTTGCCTGATGAGCCGCGCCCTGTCGCGCATTCGGGCGTCGTCGCCAGGGTAATGGAGAGTGAAGCCGTCGTGATGCGCCACAAAACCTCCATCGTCGTGGTGGGGGAACAGCGACCTGAAGAGGGCAGAACACATTCATTGCCCGTGTGTGGTGTGGTGTGGTGTGGGTGGCGGTGGCGTGTTGGTTACCCTACCAGAAGAGGTCTCCTGTGACGCACTGGCTGCTCTCCACCATGTTCAGGAAGGGTACCAATGTGCCGTAGGGGTAGCCCTTCCAATCTGACACGCACAACACAATAATGGACAAGCCATAGACGGGATGAAAGCTGCGGATATCATTCCTCTGTTCTCTTTTCCCTCCCTCCCTCCGCTGAGCTGACCGTACCGTATTCGCCGACGACGAAGCACTTGCCCTGTTGCTGAGCGCTCCAGGCCCCGCCGTAGACGTCCCGACCCAGCTCCACAGCAGGTACAAAGTAATAGTGGTTGGAGACGATGTCGACACTGTCGATGGCGAGGCAGGCGGGGTCGACCCCCCATCGTCCGTCCATGACCAGCTGCCGCGGCGCCTCCTTCTTGATGTGGTCGGCTATCTGACGCGTCCACTCGGGCGGCGAGTCGAGCTCGTTGCCCGTCTCCCAACACATGATGCACGGCTCGTCCTTCCACGCGAGGCCTGTGTGGGGGTTGACGTGGCTCACCAGCTCGGAGATGTAAGTCTTGAAGTCCTGCAGACATAAACATGACCGGGGGGAGGGAGGGAGTGGGCGCCCCGCCCCGCACAGGTTGGCAGACGGACGGTAGGCAGAGGCGTTTGTTGTTTTGCTGTATGTGCGTTGCCTACCTCGATGACTTGCGGGTCAGTGTAGAAGTCTTCCCTCCTCTCCTTGCCCCGCCACCTGGTGAAGTGCTTCATGCCGCCGTGGTAGTAGTCCCACTTGTCCATCAAAGGCACTATCAGACGCAAACCCAACTGACACAACCCAGGTAAGATAACAAGACTCTCATGCAATTGCAATGCACTCGAGTGAACCCACCGTGTTTTGCCCACACCACGCACCTCTTTGGCCACCGTGATGGCGTAGTCGGCCATCCTGAGGTTGTCGTGCACAAACTTGCCCGGCCCCTCGCAAAACGACTTGTCCTCCGTGCCGTAAGAGATCCCCAGTGTATGCGCCCGCACCACCCGCAGCTGCATCTCCTTGGCCGTCTCGAGGGCGTCGCGTACGCGGAACTCAGAGGGAAAATCCACGCCTCCAACATTCTCGTCAAGACCCAGCCAATAGATGTTGCACCCTGGGTCGTGCACATCGATTTCACATGCAGCAGAGCATGGTGCGTGTGAAGATCTGCGTACCGGCGAATCGGAAGGGATCTTTGCCGAGCCAGAGGCGGCCATCTCGGCGCTGGATGAACACATCTGCTTGGCTCTCAGATGCTGGGGAAGTGGCGGCCGTGTCAACATCTGCCATGATGCGGCGAGTGCAGATCTCGGGCTCAATGTAGGGTTGGCGGATCTGCAGAGGTCCAATGAACAGGGCTTGGGACAGAAGGCACAGATCAAAGCGCATGCACCTTTGCGAGCTCTTGAGCTCGCGAAGGCACGAGGTGGGGCTGACGGCGCGTGGTGGAGTGGCAGAGAAGTCGAAAGCTCCTGGCCTGAGCTGCTTTCACTTGACCGGCATCGCATCAGCTGCCCGCCAGTGAGTCATGCCAGGGCGGAGTTCTGAGCTCTACGCGCGCAACGTCATCAAGCACTTCGGCAAGGACAGGCCGGGCAAGCTATGGAGCGCCGCGCGCATGGTCTGGCGGCCCTGGACCGACCCCGCTGCCCACGAGACAACGACACACACGACATGGACCCAGCCCGCAGGATGGCAGCCCAAGGTGGCTGGAGGTGGAGCCGCCCACCCCGCTGCAGCGGCCGGCTCGACGGCGTCTGGTGTCAACGCCAAGGGCATTGAGACGGAGAAGCTGCTGGTGCACCAGAAGGGCGTGCAGGATGCGCTGCAGAGTGTGGCCACCGACAGGCCTGTGTCCGACACGATCCACCTGCCCGCCAACGAGCCGCTCCCCCTGGCGCCGCAGCACCCGCCGCCCGTGCCGGTCGGCTGCACGGGCGTCAAGCAGCGCATCGACCAGCTGCGGCAGGAGTCCCGCTCGCACCACAACGCAGGGGCGTACGCATGGCGGGCCTTCTTCGCCGGCATGTCGGACGTCAAGCGCGCCCTCCTAAATATGGACGGCCGCCTGGAGACGCTCGAGAAGCAGCAGAAGACACTGCTGGAGCGTTCGGCTCATGCGGCTGAGGCGCTGCGTCGGCTGGAGGAGGCGAGCAAGGCTGGCGGGGCGGCGGTGGACGTGGCGGCCGTCGAGAAGGGCGTGAGGCAGATGATTCAGGAAGAGACGGCCCACATCAGGCGGGAACAGAAACTTGCCAATGACCTGCTCGTTCGCATTCAGGTATCCCATCACATCCCACAGACAGATAGAGAGAGGGGGAAATACCTCCCTAGCTGAATGCTCATCTCTCTCTGTGTGTCATGATGGGATGGGTCAGGACTACGCGGAGCGTATGGCTCGCCAGTCGGTGTTGGTGCAGGACCAGCTGACGACTGTGCAGTCGACCTTGAGCGGCTACGGTTCGCCCATCCTCACGACCCTGGAGCAGCTGACGGAGCGGATCGCACAGCTGGAGTCAGCCGTGGGCAAGGTGGATGAGAGCGTGCAGGGCTGGCCCGAGGTGTTCGAGAGGGAGCTGGACCAGTTCGGGGCATACCTTACCGAGAGCATCAAGACACGAGTGGGCGAGCTGCGCGGCACCATCGAGGAGGGCAAGGGCCTCACGGACACAGACATGGCACAGATCGGAGATATCGTCAACCAAGAGATGCAGGTCAGTTCAGTAGCCTCACAACATATAGATAGACCCACTCATTCATCAGTGCGTTCGTTGCTGATGTGGATCTATCTGGTTTCTTCCTTGATATGATACATTCATTCGTTGATCGATCAGTCGGTGACGTCTGAGAATGTGACGTGGCGTCTGGCGCGTCACTGGCACTGCTCCAACCGCTTCCACAAGCGACTCAAGCACTGGCGGGAGCAGCTCACCCAGCAGCTGGACGACCTCACCGTCGCCATCCACAACCAGCACCCACATGCATGCGCACTCGCACACATCGAGGACGCCGTCAAGGACGCCGACGTCCTGCGCGCAAAGCCACCCAGCACCATCACCACCACCACGAGCAGCGGCAGCGAGGCAGCGACCACAGTGACGGCCACCGCAACAGAGTCCGAGGGAGAAGCTGAGAGTTCGGTGAGTGAGTCTGACCACGAGCCGGCGGCCCACCACCCGTGGGTGATCAAGGAGCTGCACAAGAAGGCCTCCGAGCTCGAGTCGTCCATCGAGTCGACCGAGGAGTCGTTCCACGCGGCCGACGAGAAGGTGCGCGACTGGATCCGCCAGATGGAGCGGCTCACGCACTCGCTCGACAAGACATCCAAGGACTGCGACGCCATCGCCGAGGCCAGGAGGACAGCCGAGGAGCTGGAGATGCGCCGCAGCGACCTCGAGGACGCCAGGGAGGACCAAATGGTGGTCTTGATCGAGAAGCAAGCCGAGATGGAGGACTTGCTGCGTGGCGAGGAGACCCAGCACCACCTCAGCGACTCGTCGGAGCTGTCGGACGGCGAGCTGGACCCCGACGTCAGCCATGACATGGCCGGCCTGCAGACGCTGGAGGGCAAGATCGCCACGGAGCTGGATCGCGAGCAGGAGATGGTCAGCAGCATCGAGGAGCACCTGGCGGCCCTCGACGACGTCTTGCAGCAGATGAAGCAGCACCTGGCAGAAGAGAGGGCGAAGCCCACCAGCACCACTGTGCAGCTGGAGGACGAGTACAGCACCACCAGTGATGAGGAGGGCGCGGCGACGACCACAGACACAGCCAGCGGCGCCAGTGAGGGTGACCACGAGGCTGCTGCGGAGAAGGGGCGCCTGGCCCGCATCATCGCTGACATGAACATGAAGCCGGGGTCCGTCGAGGGCGCCACGGTGACCATCACCAAGACGACAGGCGGCCAGGACCGGTGAGCAAAAGGATCTGCACACACACGAGGGAGGGAGGGAGGCCTGTCAGTCAGACCTGCACTGCACTGACGTGAGTGAGTTCATGCCTGAGTCTGTCTGTCTGTCTGTCTGCGTGTGAGTGTGTGCAGGTGTGAGAAGGCTTCTTTGTTGCCGATGAACGTGAGCACAGTTGTATCCCTGGATCGGGCACTCTTCAGCCGCCAGGCCGCTTCACGCACTGACCATGACAGTCATGCTGATGCCGCGTCCTGTCCTTCCTCACTTCAGGACAACACAATCGCAAACACCACCGCTGATGTCGACACGCCCCCCATCGACAAACCACAAACCATCGAACACGGGTACAGTACCTACCAAACACACTCACACAAACACAAACACACACCCCTTTTGTCTCTGTTCGGTATCTCTGGCTTGCATCCGTCTGTCTGTCTGTTAGTAACGGGTCGTTGTGGGGCATGCCGTGGGAACCGCCGAAGGAGACCGCCACACCACCTGCAACTACCACTGCCAAGACAGGAGCAGCGGCACCCGCAGGCTCCCTCTGGGGCATGCCCTGGCAGCCCAAACCCACAACTGTCCATCAGCCAGATGCGGCCACCACCACCACCACGACCACCGGCACCACCAAGCCACCGACCAGTGCCACCAAGGTCGGTCAGGGTTTGGACAACACGGTAGAGTTCGACCTGGATGTGGACCACTTCGCACCCATCACCAGCCGCAAACGGTACGCACGCACACATAGCTATCGGAGAGATCCCTCTCGCTGCATCTCTCAGCTCATTTGTTGTTTTCCCTTCTCTTGTCCGTCCGGTTTGTCAGTCGTTCTGCCCGCATCGGCCACGAGCCCTTCCGCTTCGGCAGCGGCCCCTTCGAAGGCACCCCCGTGGTGCCGCGAGACGTCAACGTGACAGCACACCCACACATGGACATGGTGGAGGTGCCCGAAGTGCCCCGCCGCGCCACGGCCCGCACCACCCCGCTGCCCACTCTGCACACGAACGGCGGCGGCACCTCATGGCCGTCCTTCTCACGACCCGCGTCGGAGATGGGCAGGAGTGCGTACGGCTTCCCGTGCGTTGGCGGTCTGGGGCAGCGAAAGGGGCAGCAAGACGGGGGCGGCAGGGGGTGGAATATGCGCAAGATGCAAGACGACAGGTGAGTGAGACTGACTGACTGGCAACTCACAGAAGAAAGAAAGAGGCGAGTGTTTTCTCCCCACAGAGCCTGTTGTCTCTCACACCGTGTTGTCAGCGCTGGTAAGTCGTCGTTCGAGTCCCTCCGCCCGGCTTCTTCGGCCGGCACGTCCTCGCCGTCTCTGTCGACCTTCCCCGCCACGCCCCTGCCGTCGGACGGTTGCTGGTACCACCCCGAGGGCGCCGACATCCAGCCAAACGACACAACTGCCGCCGCTGCCACTGCCAGTGCCAGTGGTGCAGGTGCACCAGGTGCAGGGAGGGAGAGTTTCACGATCGCCAAGGACAGCAAGAACCCCTTTTGCTGCAACCGACACGAGGGCTGCCAGGAGGGTCAGAGGCCAGAAGGGTGCACGTGGGGCGTGGGGGCCAAGCAGGCCGAGGAGCTGCCCTCCACCACTTACATCACCACCGATATCAGCCACAAGTGTGTGGAGCGAGGGAGCGAGGGAGGGAGGGAGGGAGCTGCTGAGAGAGGAGGAGGGATGGGCAGGCTCGGACCGACATGTCTCTGTGTGCTGCTGTTACTTGTGCAGGATTCGCGACCTGTTGGCCGAGTGGAAGGCATCAGAGGGCTCCCAGCCGGCCACACCTGTCCGCAAGGGCGCCCGCAAGTCGGCGTGGCTCATCCGGTCGTGGAAGCAGGCGGCCGCCAAGCACTGCCACGCACACCACCACCACAGCAGCAGCAGCGGACAGGCAGACATTTAAGCCTCACACATGGATGGATGGTCGGATGGATGGACTAGTTGGGGTGTCGGTGTCGCTTTTGTGCGTGCGTAAGCGGGGCGGGTGGTGGTGGTGGGCTGTAAAGTAGATCGATATGGCTGAGTCAGTGAGTGACGCGACGTGGTGCGGCAGTGGATGGATGGAGGGAGGGATGTCTAGATTTTTCCTCTCTGTTGGTCTGTCTGTATGTATGGTGTCTGTCGTTTTCTTTTTGACCGACCGGTGTGCGTCATAAGCGTGCAGCGGAAATGAAATGGGCCTCTCTCTTTTTTGTGTGTGTGTGTCTGTCTGTCTGGCCGACCGATAGATAGCAACCGAGAAAGAGCTTTCATGCCTTACCTTGGCGTATGTGGTCCTTTCAATCCCTATGTGTGAGTGCAGTGCATGGACGCCATCAATTCACGACAGACACACAGACAGACAGAGGGATGGATGGATGGTTGTGTTGTCATCGAGTGGGGCCTGGCCGCTGGTTGGTTGGTTGGTTGGTGCGTGAGGGAGGGAGGCATGCGCGGGCCTCTCCCCAATCCCCCTCCCTCTTTTGGGCTTCCTTTGGTGTTGCCGAGCAGTGCAGTGGATGAAGGAAAGACTTGCTTGAGTCAGATGTTGCTCTGTGTGTGTGTCTCTGCCTATGTATATGTACGATAGCCTTTGTCGTAACCAATGCCGTTTGGGTCGCGTTGCGCTTGTCTTGCGCGGCATGGCGTCGTCGCAATGAAGTTGGTCATCGTCTGGCGCAGGTGGTGTCACCTTCCTGTGGTCAGTCGATGGCAGGCGGCAGTGGAACGACACCAAGCGACGCAGACAAACCGACGGACGCATGGGAAGATAAGAGAAGAGACTAGCTAGTACTTGCCTGTGAGCACGTTGCCGGTGCAAGTGTGTCTGTGTCCATCTTCCACTGTTTTGTGTCGATATCGACCGTAACAGACCCAGGGCACCTACATGCTCTCGGTCTGTGACCGTCGACGGGGGCACACGACAGAGGGGAAGACGACACATTCACATGCCAGGCACCGCAGATGGCGCCTGTTTGTCTGTCTGTGTGTGTGGTGGTGTTTCTCTGTCTGTCGTGTGATGGATCGATCTTCCCAGATGCAGTCCAGAGCCTTTCAAAAAGCTGCACACTCGAGTTCCGCTCCTGTCTAAACCCTGCACCCTTCAAACCCTGAACCACAGCTCCCTACCACGATCTTTCTCGGAATTCGCATGGGAGGAGGGTAAACAGGAGAAATGCGGAAGACGACCTCACGCACTGAATTGTGTGCTCTGTATGGCAGGTGAGATTCATTCATTCTCTCCAAGGTCTCGGTAGGCTGCGGCTACGCAAGCGGCCAGAGATGTGATGCGACGTGTGGCTGTTCGGTGCGTGTGTGTGTGTGCGTGTTGACTAAGGATCAGACCAGTGCGTGTGTGTCCGATGGCTGGTCGGTGTGTGTTATGACCGTCATCTCGGCAAGAGTGAGTGAGTCAAAGGTCACGCAGTCACTCAAACGTCCCTCATCCAATTGATGCACTACATGCATGCTTTATGTGTGCAGGTATGTATTCTCGGCCTCCCCATCCTCTCATTATGCTGCTGATCATCTGGCTGCTCGTCTTGGGTGCTAGCTGCTATCCCGCAGCCGCAGTGTCGACATTTGTGCCGCCTGTCGTTCGCCTCTCTTGCACTCACCGCTCGGCATCACCGACACACGGCTTCGCGACACGGATGTGGTCTCAGGGCAGAAACCAGGTGAGTGCCTGAACGAGTAAGCACACTGCCATTCTGATGCATGTGTGCGTGTGCGTGTGTGTGCGTGGGCGGCCGCAGGAGGGTGCCGCTCAGGGGCAACGTCAGACGGAGGGCCCAACGTGGCCTGGACCGTCAGGTAGGAGTTGTGTGTGGCAGGGCCATGTGTGGTCGGTGGCCTGTCTGGCATGCGCTGGTTGTGTCGGCCTGTCCTTCTGTGTAAGTACTGGTGGCGTGTGCGTTTGCGTTGTGTTATCATTCCTTCAGTGTCTGTCGGCCTGCAAAAGGTCCTGTTCACGGTCGCTGAGGAGGTGGTCACGATTTCTGGCGACCTTGCTGCGACCAGTGCAAAATTCCTCTTTGTCGTCTATGTCATCGATGTCTACCTGCGGTCCAGTCCAGAGGAGTCTCAGACCGAAATCACCAAACTGCTTGCGGCAGTGGTGTCAGCAGTGTGGAAGGCGCTAGACGGCAATGCGATCCAGCTGTTCATCCTTTTCACTCTCTACTGGTGGTTGTCCAGTGTTGTGCTGGAGACGGTCTTTGCGAAGGACCGGAGTCAGTGATGGCGGGTGGCGTGGGTGGGTGGGGATGCCTTGATGTGTTTTGTTTGAGTGACTGACTGAGTAGCTTGTTTCCCTCAATTGAAGGAAGCAGACGCGTTGGAACTCATTCTTTCGGTGTGGAGTCTGACCCTATGCCAAACCCTGGACCCTAAACCCTGCCAAACTCTTGCACAAAGCGTCATTCCCTCGTCCAGCATGAAGATCAGGGCCCAGGATGCGCCGCCATCGTCACCTCCACTGCCAGATGCACCCGTCGCCGCCCCGGAGGCCGCTGCAGTCATCAGCAGGCCAGCGGCACGGCCGACGCCAAAGAGGCGGCGAGGAGATGCGAGGCAGCGTCAAATGAGTGTGCTTGTGGCGGCCACCTTTCTGCTTGTGCCTGCCCGAGCGCTCTTCTTCAAGATCTCACCCAATGCCAGAGGTCAGTCAAGTCACACACAAACGAACAGGGTGTGTTGCGTGTGTGTGGTGATTGTGTTGTGTGTGGTGTCATCCATGCATCCGTCCATCGATCAGAGTGTTTTGGAGTGGACGCCAAGTCGGGTGACGACATAGTGTTTTCGTTCGAGGCCATCGGCAGCGACCGGTCGGTACGGACGTCACTCTCATTCAAGGAGCAGGAGCTGTACAGCGAAATCAAGGCCTCAGGCAACCAACGGATCACCGCTGGTAGGCAGCCATGAAGGATGGATGAGCGAGTGGCACCAGAGGGGAGGAAGGGAGGGAGGGAGGGGGGGAGAAGCTATGTGTGGATGTGTGTGTGTCAGCTGAGGATGGGCAGTATCGGTTGTGTTTTAAGAGTCTGCTGTCGTACGTTCAGACCATCAGCTTCAACGTCAGGTACTAGATATGCTACGACGACACATCCACACACATGCCTGCCCCGCTCACAATGGATGGGATGGACGCCTGTGCCCGTCTCTCCATGGTGTGTTGTGTGCAGGGCCCAGAAGCAGGAGACCCATCCAGAAGAGCTGGCGACACTGGGTGGGTCGCTGGAGGATCCAATGAGGACCTTCGTAACGCTGCTTTCTCTGTGTGTGTGCGCGCATGCGTATGTGTGTGTGTGTGTGTGCAGACGATTCAAAGAAGCTGGAGGCCCTGGTGGCCGCGTTGGAGGGGGTGAGGGAGGCAGGGAGGGGACGGGAGGCATGGATGGATGCACTCTTCTTTCTCGTGTGTCCATGTTATGGTGTATGTGTGGGTGCAGAAGGTGCAGGAGATCTCAGCGCAGCAGTCTTACGCCACCACGAGGGAAGCCGTGCACCGAGACAGTAAGCCGATGCACTGCATGCCACCTTCTGCCTATGCGATGTGTGTGTGCGTCAGCATCCGAGACGACCAACAGCCGCATCCTATGGTGGACCTTCCTAGAGGTCAGTCAGCACAGCCCACCCACACACACGTAGAATGGACGCATCGCATGTGTCTGTCTGGTGTGTGGCTGTGGTGCACTCACTGACTGCTCAGGTGGCTGTGTTGGTGGTGCTGGCGGGTTTTCAGATCTACTACCTCAAGTCATTCTTCGAAGTCAAACAGCTCGTCTGATGAACAAGGGGCGGTGAGGGATGGTGGGTATGTGCCAGAGGCGCGAGTGCGTCGTATATAACGGTAATTCATGAGTGTGCGTGCGTGAGTGAGTGGACTGACTACACTGCATCATGGGAAAGTACTTTTGCTTTTTTCCGTCAACCGAATGAGGAAGATTGTTTCGCATCCCATGATTCTCGACCACTAAATGCAGCGATGGCGCGCCCAAGTGTCTCTGTGCACCCTCTCTGGCCTTCGTGTGCGCCCGCTGGGCACGAAGTGAGAAGAATCGGCGGTCAGACTCTCCTCACTGCGTGCCCAGACTGAACCACAAAAGCCCGAAGAGGGTGCATATGCGTGGCCATCATCGAAACCACACATACACGACACACACAACTCGGTCACACATCACACACATAATGCAGTGCACCCGCTCCTTTCTTGGCGTCGACCCCTGCTCCCTTCCCTGTCCACTCTCTTGACCAGCAAGACAACCTCAGGCGGGCCCCTGAGGTCCTCAAGCTGAGCGAGAGACTGGACAAGGACAAGCGAGCAGAAGTCGACGAACATGGGTGCCAATTGCAAAGGCCCTTTGTCACTGATCCAGGGCATCATCGTCTTCATCAGGGTCGAAGTCGGCTCTGCTCTCAGGGGGCAACAGGGATGTGGCCACCAAGCCTGTTGGTTGGTTGACACAGAGGCAATGCACACACGTGATGACCAGGGTAGGGTTGTTGGCTCTGTCTGCCTCACACACCACACCTGAGTTGCCGAAGTCCCACATGTAGAGCCATTTCAAGAGCTGCGCACGCCGCACGAAATCCTCGTCCTCGGGACTCGCCTGAAAGGCGATGACACGCCACCATCGGATCACTGGAGTGTCCTCCGCCCCCTGAGTGTTCCCGCCTCGCTCATGCCATCACTTGTTTGTATCGGATTGCGACGGCCTCTGCGCCGTGTAGACTCTTCAGGAAGTTGTCGAGGAATCTGACACACACACACACACACACAGAGTGTCCACCATTTCTGTAGGGGGTGTGGGTGGCTGAATTGCTGGCTGACTGTTGCTGGTCTGCTCTTTCCGGCAGGTCGAGTGAGAGTTTGAACCACGCACGGTCGTCGATGCGGAAGTCGGGCGGCACAGCAAACTCACCCACCCATGGCGGCTGCAGAGAACCCACACACCCACACCCACATAACACCAGTCACTCCAGCCATGTACTCATCCATTGGCTCACATGAAGGTTCGTGACGTCGATTTCGCCATCTTTGTTGAGGTCATAGCCCAGTTTGATGGCCATGGCGCAGTTGAGGTCATCCCAGGACACGTCGAGGTCACAGACGTCCTTCTGCCACACCCACCGGCTGAAGTTGTCGTTGAGCGACCGGCGGAGTGTCTTGATGCGGTCGGCAGTGAAGAAGGGCGGAGGGGAGCGAGATGGGGAGGGGGAGGGGGAGGGGGTAGCGGCTGGCATACTCTGCTGGCCCTGTCGCTGCCTGATCTTCTCCAGGACGCAGTCTGAGACGTAGTTGGCTATCGTCCACGCATCCACAAACGCCTGACGGGTGGATGCCACACACACACACACACACACACGTATGCAGGGATGCAGACAGCGTGAAGGCGAGTGCTGCTTTCCATCATCTCACCTCTCCCAGGTCAGTTTTCTCCAGCTGTGTGCCCATGCCCACCAGCAGCCCAGGCAGATCCTCCACGTCACCCGACGCCCGCAAATCGCGGTAGATCGCCTGAATGCGACTGCACACAGCATGAAATGAAATGAAACACAACACGCCATGAGCACAGCAAGCGGACCAGCCACCACACACAACACAGTTGCGTACTTTCCGATGACGGCATGATCTTCCTGCGGGATCCATTCCTCGTCCAGCCACTGCCGCACCTGCTCGCCCAGCGACCTGCCCACCTCATCATGGTCCAGTGACAGCAACTCCAATGACAGCGGCTGCTCGACGTCCCTCTGAGGCGATGCACTCAGGCAGAACCACCTTCTTGCTCGGCTGGCGGGTCGTCCGTGCAGCGGCCTGCGCCTGGCACCGACAGATCTCCGTCTGCCTCGCCTGTGCGGAGCGGGGAAGGAGCTTGACGACGGCTGCAGCCATGCGACAGATGACCTTCGGGGAGATGTAAGTGCGGTTGCTGGGGACAACAGGGAGGCACAATGGAGCAACAGAAATTGAAGGAAAGCCATGCGCGCGTTGTCATTCGGGATTCGCGAAACGTAGCGAAACGCAATAAAAGTACTGTGCAGCCGTTAGAGCAGTCAGCCGCCTCCTGTGGATTGTCTGCGATGCGTCGGCTTCCTCTCGGCGTAAGAGAGGTGGTCCTTTGTACCACCGTAGGCATCACTGCTTTCGCCCTGCCTGTGCCGATGGGCATCCCTCCGTCGTCAGCCGGCCACAGCCCCGGGGACACTGCAAAAGGCGAATATCTCAAGGGCGCTGAGGCCGACCAATACGACATCGACTGGACCGACATCGGAGAAGGCGGCGATGAGCTTGACCTGCTCCACCTGGCTGACGAGATGGCGGACCCGCCCGGCATCATGGAGCTGGCAGAAGTGACGGGGGTTGAGGGCGACGAGCCCTTCTTCTATTACCTCAATCCGAGGCCAAACGCCAAGATGGTCTCGCCCTTCACTTCTGTCGCCCTGCGGCCCCGACGCGACTGGCGGCTCTCTCTCAAGAACCCCATGGAAGAAATGGCCAGGAAGATCACTGTCAAGGGCGAGTGGAGTGGCGAGCACGAGGGCGCCACCTCGATGGGCGATGATGGACAGACGCTGGTCTTTCAGCTGAGAAAGGGTGACCGGTTTGCGAAGGGTGAGAAGGTGTTCGTGAGGATACACCCCGGCCTGAAGGCTGCGACGGGCCAGAGCCTCGACAGCATCAACTGGAGCTTTCGTGTGTCCAATTCCGCGGAGGGCTACTACGTCAGCCAGACTGACGTCGATGACTACTCCCCCGTCGCCCATGAAGAGACGGCATTCGACGGCAGACACGCGGAGGCCACACAGGTGGACCTCACCAGGCGGCCGCACTACGCACCCGCCGCCACACCGCCTTTCTACTACCGCACTGTGCCCTCCATTTTCCCTCGTGTCCGAGTGGTCACACCTGCCAAAGCCAACAAGACCGCCAGACAGGACGGGCTGATATTCTTTGCGCCGCGCAACACGACCAGCGGGCACGACTTCCTGACCATCATGGACGAGAAGGGTCGGCTGATCTACTGGCAGCAGCTGACAGGGTTGCGGCCATCCAAGAGCAGGGTCAGCACAACGGGCACGACCGACTTCAGAGTGCAGGACAACGGCCATCTGTGGTACTACGACCCGCTGGTACAGGCCTGGGTTGAGCGAGACAAGGGGTATCGCATCGTACGGACCAGACGGGCTGGCCATGGGTATCGACCTAACCGCCACACCTTCCGCATTCGGAAGGACGGCACCAGCCTGGCTGCCGTCTACGACTTGCAGCCGCTGGTGATTGGTGGCAAAAGCGCCCAGGTCGCTGGCTCGATAGTGCAGGAGATCGACTCCAAGGGAAGAGTACTGTTTGAGTGGCGATCCATCGACCACCCAATCATCTCTCGGACCGTCAAGATGGCTTTGGAGAAGTCTGCTGGGTCCAAGGCGAACTTGGAGGGCATCAAGAACATGCTGCACCTCAACAGGTACGATGGATGTGAGTGGGGGCGGGGCGGGGCTAGGAGGGGGAGAGAAGGCTTGTGTGCTGTTTGCAAGCCTTCCTTGTGTGTGTATGTATGTGCAGTGTGGACTGGGACAAGGGTGGCAACATCCTGATCTCCCTCCGCCGCTTCGGTCTCCTGCTCGTCGACCGCCACACAGGGCAGACCATCTGGCAGCTTGGACACCTGCCCTCCTTCAACCAATTCACCTACCTCAACGACCCCCGGCCCTTCTCGCTGCAGCACTCGCCAAAGCTCCTGGACAACGGCAACCTGCTGCTGTTCGACAACAGCAGCCCGTCGCTGCACCCCCGCTACTCCCGTGCGGTGGAGTACCGGCTGGAGCTGAGCATGGGCAAGGGGGGGCGGCACGGGCTGCGGAAGGTCTGGGAGTACAAGGGGCCATTCTCACCATTCAACGGCAACGCACAAAGGGTAGGTGGGTGGGTGAGATCAGGCCAGGCGGGGGGCACACAAACGGAACAGCCACGCGTCAAGACTTGTTCTGTCTGTCTGTCTGTCTGTCGGCAGCTATCGAACGGCAACACGGCTATCTGCTGGGGTGGCGGCGGGGGATCAGGGTCGTCCCCACGCCCCGTCTACACCGAGGTGACCCCAGCCGGCGAGAAGGTATTGGAGTTTCAGCTGGAGGATGGCTGGTCGTCCCGCGCATTCCGGCTGCAGTGGGATGCGGTTCCGCACTGGCCGCCCTCGGCCCTCTTCAGTGGCAGGGCCTCCTCCACGCCATATGTGCATTACAGCTTTAACGGCGCCACCAACATCAAAAAGGTCAGTCAGTGCAAACGATGGACGGCAGAACGTCGTTATGTTATCGTGTGTCTCTCATTCTCATTGTGTGTGTCCGTCGTCACGGGGTGGTGGTTTGGTTGGGGCGTTGCAGTGGAAGGTGCTATCAGGGACGATAGAGGAGGCGCGCAAGGCGACAGGCGGGCGGCGGCTGCCCAACCTGGTCAAGGTGCACACCAGGAGGGGGTTCGAGCACGCCTTCTCCCTGCGCGACACCATCCAGGAGGTCATTCAGAAGCTGCCGCTGCCGGCCGAGTCGCTGCAGTGCTTCCAGGCGGTGCCGGTCAACTACAAAGACAAAGATTTGAAACCTTCCAAGGCGGTGTGTGTGGAGAGATGAGATGAGATGAGGGGAGGGGGGGAGGGGGGAGGGCGCCGTTTGTGCGTGTGTATCCACATCGCGTGTCTGTGTGTGCTGCACGCGCAATCCACAAGTCTGTTTATTTGTCTGTTGTTCATTGGCCTTGGTGTGGTTTTCGTCGATTGATTGGTGTGTGGCCTCCTCCCTCACTGCGTAGTGCTTGGTGTGAGCGTTGTTCTGTATGCGCAGACAGGCGTGTATGGTGCTCATTCGTGTAGACGTGTGTATGTGTCTGTGTACTGCACTCATTATTCACTCACGCACTCAGTAGGTAGGAGGACTGTCTGCCAATTAGCTGGGTACGCAGCTGGCAAGTGCTTTCGTCCTCTGTGGCAAACACCCGACTGACTGTCACGTCATGCGACCGATCCACATAGGGACCAACGAATGCATTCACTGCCGACTATCAATCCCTCAGTCACATTACATAACGCAATGCAGCCTCCAACGAATGTCAGTCAGTGTGCAAAGGCTAAGGCTAGCTGGCATTCCTTGGGTCCTTCGACGACTCAGCGGGCTGCGATGGCTTCTCGGGCTGTAGCCTCGCAGACGCACGCACGACAATCACGCCACTGGGGCCAAACGACCTCTGCACACACAAAGGAGAAGAAAGAGCTTCAAGAGCAGCTTAATGCATAGACCCCCCTGACTTTGATGGCTGGCTCACCCACCGTGTTTTGGCAGAAGTCGTGCCAGCCCCTGTCGTCATGCTGTGGGGTGAAGGTGTACTTGTCCTGCCGCTTCACAAAGGCCTGCCCCTGCCAGTCCCAGCACTGCAATGTGTACTGCACCGGCGGGTGACTCGGCCACCGCCCAGCACCTGCCTTCTGAGGAGGACTGGTGCCGGAAGCCGGGGCTGCTGCTGCTGCTGATGGCGCCGGTGATGCTGCTAGGCTCGTTGCGTGCGCCTTCAAGTTGCTCTCGGCTTCATCATGCAGCAATCTCGGGGCCACCTAGACACACAACACAACACAACACCACTATCGACTGTGTGTATACCGATTGGGTGTTTGTGTGTGCATGCGTTGATACATGCATACGTGCAGGAAGCATGACGTGTGTTCGGGGCTGCCCATCCTGCTGCCACAGGGGAATATGAGGGCCTTGAACACGAAGTCTGTGCCCTCAATCGGCGTGGGCTGCCGGGTGAGGATGGGCAAGCCCTTGCTCGGCGGCCGAGACGGATTCACCAGCACCAAAGTGTCTGCACCCACACTCGCACACACCGACCCGACACAGCACACAGACAGACACTCATTGATTGCACACGTGTGTATCGTTTGTGCCTTTCCACTCCCTCCAGTACCGATCTCTCCGTTCTGCGGTGGTGGGGGCATTCCATTGTTCGCCGCTCGCGGCTTGGCATAGACGTTGAGGGTCTCTGTGGCGTTGAAGGGGCTCAGCGGGGGATGGGCGTGATGCTCCAGCGCCATCGCATAGAGGTCTCTTGGTGCCATACATGTCGGCTTCACATCCGTGACCAGCCTGAAACACGCCACGCACAGGGGACGACATGACAAGCGACAGTGGCTGCTTGCTCCTTGTCTGTCATTCCCTCACTTGTCCATCGGAATGAGGCCATAGCGCACCTTCCGGAAGAGCTCACTGCTGCTGCTGCTGCTGCTGCTGCTGTCGGCGTTTCCTCCCTCTGCCCTTCCCTCGCCGCCACTGCTCGACCGACTACATGCCTTCGTATCGCTCTGGCGCTGGTGCCACCGATGCAACACATGGAACAGCTCTGCAGACAGCCATCCATCCACAGCAGGAAAGATGTGTGAGCACTTGCAAGGGAGCGCCGGTCGACATACCGAGCTCATCTACGGCCGTTTCGTCGCTCTCCACCACCTTGATCCACACGTCACTCGGCAGCTCATCCAATGCCACTTGGACGACAGGGTCGGATCCGCCGAGCCCGACGATCAACGCGAGGTTCCTCTGCAGGAACAGGCACAGAAAGCGGAAGGCTTCCGTGTTTTGGATGCCACTGCCGCGGGCCTCTCCCAGGGCCGCCAGGATGCGGACAGCCTGCTCGACGCGGTAGATGGGGCCGCTCAGCAACAGGTTGTCGATGTGACGCAGGAGGGCTGAACAGCCGTAGTAGTCGGCGGCATAGCAGAGCTCGATGACGAAGTCGAGGTCGGTTTCCACGGTTTTGAGTGTGGTGCTGAGGGTGTCGGTGTACATGAACTTGAGCAGCTCGAGGATGCACGCGTGACTGTACTGCACTGGCAGCCTGTCCGTCCTGCTTTCACACATGCTCCCGCACAGCATGGTGGAGAACACGGGGCTGCACCACACACACCAACACAGAAACTAGATTGATGCATGCGCATCAGAGTCTTGGTGTGTGCCTCTCGTCTGACCTGCAGGTGGACAAGACCGCCCTATGAGCATGGACCTCAACGCCTTCCTTGCTGATCAGAATCAGGTCCATCGTATCGCTTCGCTCGAATAGCAGAGGTCCTAGTCGCGAGGTGGGATGTACAGCGTCAGCACTAGCATCAGTCTGAGTTGGTGTGCCCTGCGATCCCATCACAGCACCCGCAGCAGCCTGAACAGTTCCAGAGAGAAGGACGGGTCGTTGGCAGCCTCCCCTCCCCACTTGAGACTGGGGGCTCGTGCGAGCTTAGCCAGTGTTTCCTCCTCGCGCCGCGGCGCTTTCGCGCTCGGAAGAGCGATTGTTGTTGTCTGCATACGTGTGCGAAGAAGGAGAGGGAAAAGACGGCAGCTGAGACAAGAGCCCCACTGCAGCTTGATTCATTGATTCATTGACCGCCAGCCTGACGGAGGGAACTTTCATTGGTTGGCCATGGCTGAGGCGAAGAAGGGGCCGAAGAAGCATCCGTTTGGGGGTAGCGGTGGCAGGGACTTCAGAGGCTTCGGCTCCGACCCAGGCAACATCACGGCGGCACATCGCATATTTGAGGAGACCGTCAACAAAGAGCTGGTCAGTCAGCACACGAAGGCAAAGGGGGCCAGCCAGGGTGAAAGAGAAACGAGCCCATCTCTGGCTGGGCTGACTGTCTGTCTCTCTCTGTGTTGCTTGCATGCAGAAGCATTTGCGGATCTCCCCCGTGTTTCAGCTCCGGTTGAAGAAGCTGAGTCTTGTAGAGGACAAGATCACCAACAAGGACCGGCAGATCGATATCCCTACCTATTATGCGAGGCCCCACACGGTGCCGAGCAAGCCGCAGCCTGCCGGGGCTGGGCTGGCCATCATGGGTGCGGAGGACAAGTGGCACAACCGGGATCCGATCGACAAGTACCCCTACCCTATGTGTGCCTCCCATGACTACGGTACGCCAGTGACTATATGAGACACGGGTCTGTGAAAGCAGTGGGAGGTTGCCTGTCTTGGGTGTGCGTGTGCAGGGTGGAGTGTGAAGCAGTCGACCAGGATGGGCATCACCTGGAACCCCGGAGGGCTTAACTCCAGGCTCATCTTCCCATTCACCCTCAACAGGTAGGTAGACAGCCACCACACAAACAAACAACCAACCAGCCCAGCACACTTGCCTCCATCCCTTCCTCCCTCCCGCCCCTCTCTGTGTCTCTCTCAGATGGTACACCCCGAAGAATATATGTGATGAGGTCAAGTACGCGCAGGTGTATGTCAAGACCAAAGGAGTGGGGCCGTTCGATAAGGTCCAGACCAAAGTGCAGGTGCAAAACTGACTGACACAGACATACATAGATAGATGACAGCTGTCTGTCTGTCTGCCTGCCTGCGAGTGAGAGAGAGAGTGAGGTCTGAGGATCGGTTGAATTCGTTGTCTCGTTGCTCGATATCGGCCCCGCCCGTAGGTGTCTTCGTGTGCGTGTGCGTGTGTGTATGCGTCTATGTGTGAGTGTGTGGATCCATCCATCCATCGCTTCACCCGTGTGTGGGGGTCTGTACAGTACGTGGCTACGTGCGGACGGACATGGCCATGGACATGCACAATACCGCTGCTGAATCCATCGATGCCGAATATGTATTGACACACACACACACATCCATCCGACACGCTCACATACACACACACATGCACAACATGCGCACAGTGTTTGTCGTCCGTCTGTCTGGCTATCTGTCTGTCTGTCTGTCTGTCTTGGCTGCAGCCGCTCGTCTATCTATCGAGTGGGTGGCTGCAGCTTTCCATGCGAAACGCAGTCACAGACCCAACGAAACGACACGTTGGGCCTGTGTGGGTCGTGTGCATCCCCAGCCACCACCACCATGAGCTGCTGTCCCTGCCCACCGTCTGGGCTATCACCCCCACCGGCCTCGTCCCACTGTGATGGGTGTGGCAGTGGGGTGGCCCTGGTGAGGCTCTGGGGCGATGTGGTGACCACACACCCGCCACCCAGCTCCAGCAGATCCTTCACCCTGACACACAGACAGGGAGGGAGGGATGTGCTGCATTGACTTGGTGTTGGTGTGGTGCCCACTCATTTGCTCACTCTGATGCGGTTGGCAGGGGGTCGGTGAAGGTGCCGAGGAAGTAGAAACGCAGACCGCCAAACAGCCTCCCCATCTGAGGACACACAAGGCACATGAAGCATTGAATGCCGCGACGTGACACCTGCCTGCCGTCAATGTGTCATCCGCACCCACCCACCGTGTCGTGTGTGCGTTGTCTCCTGGGCGGTATGGGTGCGCCGGTGGTCATGTCTTTGGACACCTCATAGCCGTCCTCAGACAGCCAACGATTGCCAGACAAACACCGGGACACCCCTGCACACACACACACACACACACACACATGCAGAGCGGTGGTTGTGTGGGTGAGTATTTGGGTGACTCACAGTCGAATGCGAGGATCCATTTGCCAGTGAGAAGGGCTTTGAGGAACTTGACCGTTCGCCGGCACTCCCTGCACACAGACAGAAATACATCCAGCTGGGGAATGGGCGCACTTGGTGGCGGGTGAATAGTGCCTCATTGTGCCTACTTCGATCGCACGATGAGGTGCGTGACCTCTGGCGAATATGACGGGACCACACGGCAGCCGCTACGGTCAGCAAACCGATCCAACACACTCTGTGACGTGACACGCACACCCCCACACATATGCGCACGACTAATCCATCGATGCTTGGAGGACCAGGTCCTTTTCTCACCTGCTGTTGGTTCGACAGGGATGATCCCAGGAGCACCACCTCACCCCTCGGCCGCCCCCGCCAAACACGGCCCCCACCCTCACCCCCACTGCTGCTAGCGCCACCAGAACTGGTCCCATGCCGCCGGTCGGCCGCACCGTCGCTCGCCCTCATTGGGCCATTGCGGTCGACGTGTGGCTGTCGGGTGGATGCTGGTCCTGGGGCGCTGGTGGGCGAGTGGCACGAGCCCGTGGGGGAGGGGGATATTTGTGAGTGGTGTGGGCACCAGGCACGGCGGAGCACGCTGTCGCCGCAGTCCTTGAGCTGCACTCACACACAGAGAGAGAAAGGGGTGGTGAGGTGAAGTGGCTGGCCGTTTCTGATGCTCATTCATTCACTGACCTCCATCCTCAGTCCAGCTTTCTTGTGGCAGAAGGCGTGAAAGGCCACCGCACACCCGCGGTTGGCGCACTGAATCGGCGCGCCACTGACACACACACAGACAGACAGAACATGACACATCCTCTAAATGGACAGATCCTTTTGAGAGCACGACAGCCCCCGCGTACCTACCCTTTGACGCCGCATATGCAGCACCGCAGGCGCCACCTGCCCTTTGCGATCGACCCTAGGCCACTCACGGGCTCCTGCCGGTCGGTGTCGAGCACCACAGTCTCGGGAGTCCACAACGCACACCGAAGATGGACCCAACGACCGTCATCCGTCGGCTTGAACCCTGCATAATCACACAACCAAGCCACACACGGCATGTGCAATGCGCGTGTGTGTCGATATATCGCCGTCAGCCCACCTCACCTTGTGGGTCGGATCTGCCGCACAGAACGCAGGTGAGCTCGTCTCGCCTCGTCCGCGGCTTCCGTTTGCGCAACGGCTCCTCGTCCGAGTCCATCCCATCCACACCCTGCTCCGCCCGCCGCCTCACACAGGCGTTGCAGTACCACTTGCCCTCGGGCACAGCGGCGATGCCGTAGCACTGCTGGTGGACCACCGTCTTGCAGTTGTCGCCATCGCAGAACACCATCACGTCGCCCTCGGACGTCTCAGTGCCGTCGCACACGACACACGCCGGCTCCTCGCTGGATGCGTTGCTCTGCTCGTCGATGGCCCGTGGCTGATAGGCCTCGGAAGCAGGACACTCGTGCTGCTGGTCCCCGTCTTGGCATGGGAAGGGCGGCAGCTCGGCCCATTGGTGGTGCTGCCCCTCTCCGTTGTCCCTCTCGACGTCCATGGCTTGGCCGACATCCTCGTCGGTCACAGAGTCGATCGCCCGCTGCCGCATCTCCGTGTCGAGGTGGGGTGGCTCTTCCTCCTCATTCTCTTGGTCTACCATCATGGCATCACCGCCGTTGTTGTTGGCCTCTTCCTCTTGAGGAGCCTCATCAGGAGGGCCGCCTGAGGATGCTGGTGGGTGCATGAGGGGGTCGATGAGCTTCTGAAGGGCGGACATCTGTTCGCTGGCCATGAGGGTGCGCAGCTGGGCGGCGAGGTCGTCCACTGTGCCGAATGACTGCACACAGGGATGACGGCAAACCATGAGCCGAGGAGGCCATGGAATGGCAACAGTGAATTGGATGGATGTCATTTGCTCACTCTGATCTCGCTGAGCGGCCGCCGGCCCGTATGGACAGCCCTGCACACTGGGCACCACGCATTCTCTGCAGACAGACAGACCAGAATGGGTGTCAGACAGAGACCAGGTATGCAGTGAAGGTGTGCTCATAGATACCCTGAAGGTGTCTGGTGAGGCATTCACGGCAGAATGCATGGCCGCAGGGGTCGAACCAACACGCATCCTGCACACAAACACAGACCAGACAGGCACAAATGCATTACTTGCTACCACTCGCCTCGCCTCATTCATTCATTGTCTGACACGCACGTGCAGTATATCTCTGCAGATGGGGCACTCTAGGATCTCCCCGAAGGCAATGAAGCTACGCCACGTCGCCACTGTGTGCGGAACCAACACATCAGCACGAGAGCTCATGCTGGACTCATCAGATCACCGTTTCGGTCCATGACAGTTCATCAGATCACGGTCTCATGGGCTCTCCACATGACGAAAGGGTTCTCATGCTGCCGCCCCGTGATCCTTTCAACTGTTGCGAGCTTTGTCTGTGAATGGCAAACTTTGAAGATCTTCGTTCAATGGCGGTGCCGCTCATCTGTCCATCTTTGAGCCTCTTCATCTCCTCTCTGTGGTTGGCCCTCGCAGCGGCCTTCCAACCGCCATCCAGACCGTCATCGTCCAATGCTCTGACGACCTGCGCAAGGCATATTGCAAGCCGGCCGCCACGCCTACATGCTGTGAAGGACAGCAGTGGTGCTCTTGACATCGACGCCGAGACGCCCAGGAGGGTGTTTCTGGGTGGAGTAGGTGCGGCTGGCATTGGAGTGATCACACTGACAGCCGGTGGGATGGGTGCATCAGCTGCTGCGGGTGAAGGGGAGGAAGGTGGGGAAGGCAGCAGGCTGTCAGAAATCGCGTCTGACATCGAATACAACGAGATCTCGTCTGTCAGGGGTGAGTGCAGTGCACACCCAACAGCAGACAGATGCGGAGCGAACAACGACCGATGTGTCCTGTCTGTCTTTCGTCATGCAGGTTTGGAGATTCCGTTGCGCAAGAAGAGCATCCCGATAGAAAAGTTCCTGGGCAGGAGGGCCACCCTGGTCGTCAACATCAAGCTCGACGACCCGGAGAGCAGACAAATCGGCGAACTCAAATACCTCGTCGACAAATACTGGAAGCAAGGTCAGCGCGTGACACACGCAAGCAGGCAGGCAGGCAGGCAGGCAGGCAGAGAGACGTGCACTCGCACTCAGTGATGGAGATAGCTGATGTGGTGTGTGTGTGGTGTGTGTGGTGTGGTGTGGTGTGGTCTCATGCAGGTTTGACAGTGATGATGTTCCCGACCTTGCAAGGGTGGGCGGAGCCCGACACAGACGACACACTGCGCATACGCGTCTACCAGACATTCGGCTTCGGCCAATACCCACAGGTAGGTCGCTCTCGTCCACTAATCTCACCCACACATGCGACAGACCAGCCGTACCGTTCTTTCGTTCTTTTTTGCAGGCGGTATGCTTCGACAAGGTGGATGTCATCGGCCCACAGGCGCACCCCCTTTACACCTACCTCGGCCGTCAGCTGCGCAACCCAATCGCCGGCAAGTCGTGGGAGAACATCTCTCTCAATTACGAGAAGTTCCTCCTCGACGGGGATGGCGTGCCGGTGCGGCGCTACCCGCGGCAGTGGGACCCGCTGGAGATTGAGTATGACCTCAGGGCCTTGCTGGACGGGCGGCAGCTGGGCGCGCCGTCCAAAGAGTTCCAGCTGGCGTGGCTGAAGGCCGAGAGGGAGAGGAAGAAGGACACTTATGCCTATCGCGAGAATTATAACTACTTTGTCGATAAGGCGTCTTAGTTGTGGCTCGGTGCGGTACGTGAGGGGGTGCGGTGCTTCGGTCACATTTTCTTTCACGACGACAGATAGATACATTTGGGAGGCGCGCGAGAAAGAGAGAGAGAGCTGTGTCGGTCTGTCTGCATGATTGTTCCACGCAAACAGGGATGCAGTCAGTCCAATGCATGCAATGCAGTGGACGAACGAATGAATGGAGAGAGGTGCACCCCTGCACCGTCATGCCTCGAGTTGCCTTTCTCGCAAACAAACATACAAACATACGCAGACACCACAGATGGATGGGATGAATGGATGGTAGCGACGCCGGGTGGCTGGCTGCCCTGCCGAGAGCTGGCAGACAGCTCTCGCAAACACACATACACAGACAGACAGACAGACAGACGTGCAGCCATCCATCCATCCATCCATCCATCGGTTCCCTGTCTGTCCACTGGCCCTACATCCGTCATGACACATCGGGGAAGGAGAGAGCAACCGAACCACCCCACCCCACTCACTGCCTGTCTGGATCTGCCTGCCTGTAGTGTGGTGTCGATCATCAGCCGAATTCTCCCGCACAGACAAACTAGCCAGCCCCCCGGTCCATCCATCCATCCATCCGAGCAGGTTCTTCGTTCCCCCGCAGCCAGCCAGAAGGCAGCAAGGTAATAGGTGAGTGAGGCATGTGAAGGATAAAGAGCGAGGGAGGGAGGGAGGGAGGGAGGCAAGGAGGGGCTTGTCTGCCGACTAACTGGCACAGGGTCGGCAAAAACGGAGGGGGAGGGACCGCCTCCCATCCATCCATCCAACCAACCAGAAGAACACACAGAAATACACCGAGACACACACATACACGGACCCACAAACAAACAGCAGACGGGCCTTCCCTCCCTCCCTCCCTGTGTCCCCTTCTCCGGCGGGCTGAATTCTCGTCTGTCTGTCTGTCTGTCTGCATTTAAAAGGCCCACCCGTTTATCCCCGGTTCCTTCGTTTGTGTGTTCGTTCGTTCGTCCCCCCTCCCCTTGTTAAGTTAGTCAAGCAGAGTGAAAAACGATACTCGTACAGGCAGGTCATCAGTCAGGCAGTCACTGATGCGCTGGCAAACAGAAAGCAAGAAAGGAATCAACCAACCCAACCAACCAACCATGGTACACGGTACACCTCACACCACTTGACGGGGCAGGCAGCACCACACAAGCCAGCCACTGACGGCCCTTCCTCCCTCCCTCCCTGGCAATTGTGTCTGGCACATGAAAAAAGAGGCATGCTTGCTTCGGAGTAATCTCAAGAAATCGGGCATGCCAGTCCCTTCATGTCACAGGATACAATACATGTGTACCACCCCACCATCCCCTCGCTCCTTTATCGCGGTCAGTCAGTAAGTGAGTCAGTGAGTCAGTCGATCTCGGGTATCTCAGTGTTGGTTGCTCTGGGGCTGCCCATGACCCCCGCCCCTCTGTCGTCCGGATCCTGGTTGAGCAGCCGTATGCCGAGTGTCCGCAGCCCCTCGGACCCCCTGATGACGGCGAGTGAGGGCAGGTCGCTCTCTGAGGGTGGGAGGCCAGGCGATGATGGGTGTTGTGACTGGCTGTCGGTGTGGGTGGGGTCGACCAGCAGGGGGTCCATGGCACTGCTGTGGTGCTCACGGTAGGAGCACTGGGGGCTCTTCTCGTCGTCCATGTCGGTGTCAATCGGACGCAGCAACGCCTAATTGAAAGAAAGCAAAACAAGAAAGACGATGGGATGGTGGCGGGGAGGCCGTCCGGTCCCAGCCAAGTGTGGCTTGGCTCTCTTTGTGGGTGGCTGATTGGATTGACCTTTTCGAGGATGAACTTGCCCTTCTTGTACTTTTGCGACTCCTCAAAAGCCTCCTCGTACCGCCAACCTGACATGACACCCATCACATCAACACCCACAGAGAGTGCCACAGGGAGGGAGGGAGGGAGTGCGGCCCGGCCAGCCTGCCTCATGACATGGATCCATTCAGCCAACGACACGCACCGAGGTTGGATCCACATTCGTTGCAGAAGACATCGACGATGGTGTGCCGGCCGGTGGTCATGTCGCGGTTCTCATGCTGACCCTCAGACACGTTCACAACCCTGCACACCAAACACACATACACACAGGCAGACATGAGAGCAGAGCACCCAATCCAATGCACTGTTCTGTTGTGTGTGTTCGTGGCGTGTGGTGGTGCTCTGCATGACTCACTTTCCGAAGAGCCAGGCTTGGCCCGTGCGTCCTCGGAAACTGGTAGAGACCAGCTCGTCGTGGTGGGTCAGGTGGGTGCCGCAGTCAACGCAACTGCAGGACACAACACGCAGAGGGACACAGACAGACAGGCACAGCACAAAGGGAAGCAGGCAGGCAGGCAAGCATGGGACACACAGGGCATGGCCATGTGATTGTGCACAACGGACTAGAGACTAGACTGGCCCTCGCTCCAAGTGAATGCAGCTTCAGCTCTGACTTGCTGATATGCCTTGGCTTGCGGTGCCCCCTCCACTTGCCTGTCTGCCTGTCTGTCTGCCTGACCCTGTCCCCCTCCCTCTCTCTCCGTGCTTACCTGTAGACGCAATGCCCCTTGAGAAGGACACGAAACGTCTTGCCCATGCTTCACCTCCAACTCAACTCGCCCCTCCACCGATGCCAACGCCACGCGATGCAACCGATGCTCTGGGCTACTCTACACACACCGTATCTTGCGCCGTATCCTGCTGATAATGATGATGTATCTTGGATGCTTGCTTGAGGCTGCAGCGGGGTCGACCAGAAGCCAACGAACTCACTGACCAAAGGAACAGGGAAGAACGCGAGATAGATTTGCGAGCTCCAGAGAAAAGTCTTAGACTGGGGGCGGGCTTGCAGCGGATGGGGGCTCCGAGAAAGACGGCGGCGGGGGAGTACTGGGATGGCATCTTTGTAGGTGAATCAAAGGTGAATCACCAGTGCACAGCCCCTGCAAGCTGCTGCAGCCATTACTGACTGAGACGCTGTCTGTGACATGGATGCTTGTCCTGTTCTACCTTGCTTGCAGTGACATCTGGTGTGCAACGGATCACGGAGCGACGCCATAGAGCACCCCGCCAGCATCTCTTAGCCGACGTTCTTCCCCCATCCATTCATCCATCCACATAGAGCATGCACTTCCCAGGGTCACCTGTCGAGTTTCGTGTTGGCAATATATGGCAGCGGCTCATCAGTGCCCCTCTGAAGTGAGAGTACAGCACGTTGGCAGAGTGGGAAGGCCAAAAGTTGCCATTGTCACGTTCGTCGTCTGTGTGTGTCCTTTCATTCTTTCAGGGAGTGATATCGATCAACCATTCTGACTCCACCGACAACCCTGATCCCTGCCTCTCAGACGTCCTCTGCTGCACCACAGAGGTCCCTCCGAAGCGGCGCTTCAGACAAGGCCTCCCCCGCAGACCCTTCAGCCACACCAGCTCGCCCGTCGTCTCCCGCTCACTTGCCGGGCCGCCGCCCCGCACAGTCACTGATCTTCACTTTGCTGGGGGGAATGGTGCTCGTCTAGCGGTCCTCGCGAGCCCTGGTGGTGATTTAGGCTTTAAGAAGGACGCTCCGTCTCCGGTGCGGTCGCCTGTCAACGTCTCTCCGCAGTGCCACAGCCCCCCCACTTTCTCTGACCTAGGTGCCACAACAACGGTCCTGCCCGAATGGAAAACACCGCTGTCAACGCCCAAGCTCCCGCCCAGAGGCGCCCTGTCACTCCACCAGCAGCAGTTGCAGCAGAAGGCTGGAGCGACTGAGGAGGTCCGACTGCTGCCCACAGTCCCTTCGCCCACTGTCACTTCGGTCAAGCGACCACTATCTATTTGGAGCCTCCGGCATTCGGTCGTCCCGTGCAGCGGTATTGGACGCCGGGTCTGCCGTACTGGTGTGAGCTGCCGGCCAGACGAATCCTCTCTGCCCCGCCCACTGCCATCCCTCCCAGGAGCGTTTCCGCTCCTCCCCCTGCCCCTTCCCCTTCCCCTGCTCAACCTCTTCACTCTGTCCCTCTTGTTCAGTCCGCCCGGCCGCCTCTTGGCTATCCTCACTCTGCCCTAGCGTCCCGGCCTCACTTGTTGGGATTTGTCTCTCCGCCTCGAGTGTGCGTGACCCCTTCGGCAGTCAGCTCACCCGTCCTGTCAGCCAGATACCAGACCCCCACACCGCTGGCATTTGGCCATCCCCAGCTCTCGCCGCCGTCCGTCTCTCCTCTCCCCGTCTTTGTGGCAAGGCCCCAGCCGGCCAGTGAGATTCCCTCCTTCTCACATACAGTCAACATCGGAGCGCAGACCGCCCCATCGATCCGCATCGGCCGACCCACCAGCCCCATCCACTCGCCCAACGCTCTCACCCTCCACACACCACCCACACCCTCGGCTGCTGTCCACCACCACCACCAGCAGCCGCAGCCGCAGCCGCAGACCACTCAGCCCGTCGGCCCCAAGCCACAGTCTCACTCTCCCGTCTTCGGCCGAGCAGTGGGTGACCTGCCCGCCCAGCTGCCAAGCCCCAAGACTCGTCACCAAGAATCGTCGAGTGACGACACAACCGTCGGCTTCGACTCCAAGCCGCTCAAGGCAGCACTTCGCGCTAGCAAAAAGTCACAGCAGAAGGCCGACAGCCGATCTGTGACGCCCCCCAGCCGGCAGAGAGGCTCTCTTTTCGTCGACAACCGTCGGCTCAAGCACGCGCTGAGACAGCATCGGGGACGGCTGTCTCTGAATCGTCTGTCGTCCAGTGGTGAGCGTGACTCATCCAGCTACCAGCTGACGTCGCAAAAGAGCTCTGGCAGAGACATCGATTCCAGCGACTGCGACACAGAGAGGCTGAGAACTGAGCTGAGGAGGTTGCGGCGAGCCATCGGACCGCGTGACTCGTTGAGATTTGACGCCTCGTCGAGTGTTCAGCGCATCACGGACCGGTCAAAGCCTTCGCCCCCGTACCCCAGTGGTCTGTCGACCACCGTCACAGCAGCACCGACACTCGACTTTCGACAGGTCGGATCGCCAGGCAGAAAGGGCCGCACACGTGACGGCAAGAAGCCGGTCGAGGAGGGCGTTACCGCCAAGGCACTCGCAGAGCACCGCAGCTGGATTGACGTGTCGACTGGTGACGTAGAGGGGCTGTCCAAGCCTCCTCCAGTGGCTGCGAAGAGTTCTGCCCCCTCGTCTGATCGAGTTCTGTTCGACTTCACTGTCCACAGTCAGGTCGAGCACGCGCCCGGCACTCTTGACATAGAGGTGTCGGCAATTCACACGCCTGAGGCTCTCAGCCCGAAAAAGGACGACAGAGCGATGCAGAGTCCGCCTTACTTTGGACCTCCCTTTGGCTCGCCCGTGGCTTACCCACCACACGCCAGACCACCCATGCCTCCGTCGAGACCTGGGTAATGGGAGAGAAACAGAAAGAATGACACACTTATCTGGCTTTGCAATGCAGGTCCCCAGTTCCCTCTGGTGGTGTGTTCATGCCGGCTTACAAGGTCCCCCCTCCCTCGTTTGTCCGCCCTCCCCCAATGCAGCTAGCTGGCCCACCCCCACCTCGCACCCCGTCCATGCCTCCCCCTCCCCCACTGGCCGCCCTCCCCATCCCTCCCCGCGCCGCCACTCCCCCACCGGCTGTCAGCGCAGCCCAGCACTTCCCCTCCACATCTGTGCCGCTATTTGAGGCCAAGAAGACCGCAGCTGTGCCCACATGGGCAGCGGTCATGGCTGGAGCCGACTCGGCCAGCTCCTCCAGCCGAGGGCCGCCCCCTGCTGCAAAGGCACCGCCTGACAGGACACTGGAAAGAAGACTAGAAGGGGAGAGGTTGGAGAGGGAGGTCATGTCTCTCGGGTTTGAGAGCCCTCTAAGCAAACCCCGACCTGCAACTGCTAAGAAAGCGTCGGCTGCTGCTCAGGGCAAGGCGGTAACGGCCACGCTTCAGGGCGCTTCCTTGGCGACATTCGAGGAGAGGGCCAGGGACCGGCTGGAGGGTGGCTCCGCTGTGCCCGCGTTGGCCGTGTATGAGGGTGGAGATCGTGCTGCAGACGAGAGCCCACAGTTTGGCACCGAGGAGCTCCGGGTGAGTGAGTCATTGAGTGGGTCAGGGCCATAGCTTCCTGGTCTGTTTCTTGTCTTTTGCGCCTCCGTTCGTCTTTTTGCAGCGCTCTCTGACGGACACAAATGCACGGTGAGTCAAGTCAGCGAGCGTTTTACTGTTGCCCACCCACCATCCACCACGTGGCCTCTCAGCCTTGGTGCACATCTATACTGTCTTACCTTGGTCTTACAGTATGCTTGGCGGCACCACAGGGTCGAATCGATCGACCCCTCGTGCGGCCGTCATCGAGTCTCCCACACACCGATACAAGGAAGAGAGATACCTGGCAGAGGTCAGCACCAATCATGTCAGAGAGGAAACCCTCACTTGAGGCGGCATGGTGTGCTTCGCAGCTTCGGCGGCTTGGTGCTGAGGAGGATGGGCAGGGCAGAGTGAAGCGGCTGACCCGAGAGGACATTGCCATGATCAAGGAGCTCAACTTCAAGCTCATGTAGGCAAGGCAGGGTAATGGAGGGAGGGAGGGAGGGAGGGAGAGGGAGCGGAGACATGTGTGTGGCGGGGCGGCTGTGTGCAGCGATTCTGCCCAGAACCTGCTGTTCAAGATGCGCCACGATGACCTGCTGCTGCACCTCACCAAGACAATGCAGGTAGGCAGCTAGGTCGGCTTCCTTGCGAGCGTGTCTCCATCTGTATGTGTATGCTGACGTGAATACAGGCGTTTGAAGAATTAGAGTTTGAGGAGAAGGCGGGGATTGAGGACAAGTACCAGCAGCTGCGAAGGGAATACATGGCCCTCAAGACCGATAAAACACAGGTGGGTCGGCGAGTGGGAGCTGTGCCGTGCCACGTGTCTTGTCGTCTGTGTCCTGGCTGCCTCCAGGCGGACATAAGGGCCCGTGAGTTGGAGCAGCTGCATCACAGCGCACAGGAGAGTGACAACGAGAGGATCACCCAGCTGGAGAGGGCCAACCGCACTGCGGACAGGGAGATCGCCAGACTCAAGGACCAGCTGCACCAAAAGGACCTCGGTAAATAGTACACCAACACACGTAAAGTGGGTCACTGACCTTGGTTTCCTGTGTGTCGCTCGTCAGACGCTGAGTCTGTCCAGCGTGAGCTGAGGTCTCTCCGTCAGCAGCTGGATGACGCCCAATCGAGGCTGCGAGACGCAAACGGCATGCAGGGCCGCTTGGCTGAGCTGGAGGCAGAGAACGCACAGTGGAAGAGCAAACAACAGTCACTCAAGGTGCGTGCCGTGCAGTCTATTGCGCGCATTTCTCCCCAACTGTTCTCGTTTTCTTCCGTCTTCAGCAACATTTGGAAACGCTGACGACCACTTTGCGCCTGACGGAGCAGCGCATGCAGGGCATCGATGAGGACCGTGCCGCCGCTGAGAAGGTCAAGGCCCAGCTGAGGGAGGCACGGCAGGACAACGAGACAACCGAACAAAAGTGGACAGACAGACAGACAGACGGACAAGTGTCTGTCACATTGATGCCACCCGTTGTCTGTCAGGCTGCGTGAGACGAGGGCTGCGTTGGAGGGCGAGAAGCAGAGACTTCGCACTCTCGAAGAGAACAAGTAGATGAATGGGATGCGACACACAGAGGATCAACGGCATCTATCTAACGGTATTCAGGTCAGCGACAGCGCATGACCTGCAAGAGCTTCGATTGGAGCTGCGCCACACCAAGGTAAGCCGACCATCACTCTTTCACATATACGCTGGCCCTCAATCAAGGTCTGCGTTCGTGTCTCTGTCAGGAGCGGTTGGCCGTGAGGGAGCGCGAGGCTCTGCGGGATGAAAGTGAGATAGCCAGGACGGCACAGCTGCAGCAGGAGGTCGACGAGCTGCGCACGCTCATGCACTCACTCAAACGAGAAAAGTAATTAAGGCCACACCAGCGAACACGTCCATCGAACACCGGACTGCTCATCTGTCAGGAATACCCTTGCGGATGAGCTGAGGAGTCAGCAGGAGGCGGCGGCCGCAGCCCCAAGCGTCCTCGATGAGGAGAGAAGCAGACAGGCAAGCTGCCCTTCCCTCTGCTCCCGTTCATCAGCTGCAGCATCCTTGTCTGACTGTATGAGTGCACTACGTAGGAGGTGAGCCGGCTTTTGGCCAAGGTCAAGGCACAAGAGGAGGAAATCGACTACTTGCAGGTATACATCCATCTAGGTGCAGGGACTGCACGGGGACAGAAAGCTTCACAAGCACCGTGTCTTTTAATGTGTGTGTGTGCAGCGGCAGCTTAGCCGTGCTCGCGAGGGTGCGACCGAGGCTGCCTCATCATCAGCCGCACGACTCACTGCCCTGCAACAACGACTGCAGCAACTACAGGTGCGACACCACTGAACCGATCTCTGACTTCGTCTCGTTGCTCATTGTGTGCAGCCAACCACGGACAAGGGGCAGCGTGACACCCAACAGCAGCAGCAGCATGCGGCTGATCAGGAGGAGCTCAATCGGCTGCGCAGTGACCTGAGGCAGAGTGCTGTGAAACTGCAGCAAAAGGACGTAAGCATGCAAGACACAAAGGACGACCACACTCTAATGGATGTCATACATGCAGGAGGAGATCGCACGGTTGGTAGCTGAGCTGGAGGCGTCGCTGCTGGACCAGCGGGACTTTGACGGCCTCAGGGCGGAGCTGGCCAAACTCAAGGAATCTAACGCTGAGCTGAGGCGCCAGTGGCAGGTGAGGCAGCAAGGTGTTCGTGTATCCTTTGCGCCGTACGTCTGTGTGCAGGCTGAGGCAAACGAGCGTGACTGGAGTCAGCGGGAGATCGCAAAGCTGCACCAACAGAGGAGGCAGACCAATGAGCAGCTCCGCACAGCCTCACAGTGAGGAGTCGAATTGCACTGCAGAGACACTGCCCCACACACTGATGACATGTATGTCTCTTACACGTGTGGTCAGGTTGTTGCGTGCATATCTGGAGGAGAGTGAGGCGGACGACCATCACCTGCGGGCGTCACTCTACGACGCCACAGGCGTCCTCTGCACACTCGCTAACTCGGTCACCAAATTCATGGGCTCAGCCGGAGCTCTTGAGCCGCCACATCGGGGGGCGCAGGACGCCATCCAGCGGCTACGGGACATCCAATTGGGCCCGCCACCGAAGAGACACTCACCCGTCATTGCTCAGCCCGCCCCTCCGGCCTTGTAAGCATGTGTGTGTGTTTGGTTGGGTGTCATTCCTGTGGGCTATTCCTTGTTCTGTCAGGCCGTCTCGGTCGCGTCTGCGTGGTGAGCGGTCATCTGGAGGCAAAGGAGGCAGTGTTGAAGCTCTGCCGCCCCCCGACGTGAGTGACCCCGTCACACTTCCGCCCACCCTGTCGCCTGAGCCGAAAGCCAGATACCAGCGGCAGTTGAGGGGCCAGGGGAGGAGGGAGGAGGTGTGGCCATCATCGCATCTGCCGGCGTATTTGGATGGGTTTGAGATAGAGGGCCACATCCGTGTGTCACCTGTGGGCAGTCCTCTGGCCGCCAATGTCAGGCTGCTGCCCTCATACGCCAGACAGTGAGTGCCAGTGATCAATTGGATGGAGGCATTGCTCTTGTGTGGATGGCCGGATGTGTGGACATTCGTTTGTCGCCGAGGGCGATTGATTGATTGATGCGTTTGTGTGTGGGTGTGTTCTTGGATGGAGTGAAAGCTATCGCAGCTATCGAACGGAGCAAGCAGTGATTCATTCAAGCAGCAGCAGTCGATGTCATATGTATGTACACGGCACACACAGAGGTCTGGTCTAATCAACACACAGCCCCCCCGCCCCGCCCCCTCTCCCTCTCTCCATCTCCCTCATGTGTAGACGTGTTTTGTGGCAGTGATTTTCTGTCTGCACCTGGGACACAGCCGCTGGTCTACGGGGCGGCTCATGAGGGTGGCCGCACAAGTGCCGCACAGACAGAAATGGCGGCAGGGCACCAACACGATGCATCTCCTGTCAGCCATGCAGATGTCGCAGTCAGTGCTCTCCTCCAGCCTGCACACACACACAAGCCACCCATTTGGCGATCGTGTCTCATACGTGTTGGTCGAATCACATACCTGTCCTTCTCCCGCTTGATGGCATCCCTCTCGACCCGCATGGCCTCGAGCTGCTGCCGCAGCGTCTCCAACTCACTCACCTCCTCAACATGACACCTGCAGGAAGCCAGCGAGACAGACAGACGCGGCCAAGACTGGCTGTTGTCTGTGTCCCCATTTCCCTCGGCTTCCCTGTGCGTAAGTACAAGTATGCGTACCTGCCCTGACCACCGCAGCGCTCGTCGTCCGCCGCCCTCTGCAAACTGCTACCGCTACTGATGCCTGCCAACGGGGCGAAGCCATGCCCCTCGGAGCCAACCCCCCTGGATGATGACGATGCGCCAGGTGGTGCACAGGCGGCAGATGACGAACTGGCGCCCGACGATGCCTTGGGGGTCGCTATGCCAGCAATGGGGAATGACGGCTGCTGCATCTCGTGCGGTGGCCGCAGGATGGGCACCCCGAGGCCGCGACCCGCCCCACGAGACACTGGAGCATCGCCATAGCCGCCCGATGCACCATTGCCCGCCATGTGGGATGGGACTGGGGGAGCAGGGCGGGATGGGCGAGGTGGCAGGGTGGAGGGGAGGGGCGGCGCACTGCCGGGGTCGTCACGGACCGACGAGCGGGATGAGGAGGGGCGAGTCGACTCGGACGAAGAGGGCAACACTGATGTGTTAGAGCTGAATGACCACACTCACACGCAGGACACGAGCAGACAGACAATGTGAATGGTACCATTTTCTCCTCGGCGTTTACCTGTCGTGTGGTTTGTCGGTCCTGTCCGTCTGCTGCTGTGCATGGCCGCCCTGTGGCGGCTTGGCGGTTCCCTTGCCCCTCTTCCGACGACCGACCGTGACGAAGCCGCCGCCCTCGACATCACCACCATCACCCGCCCCCACCTGCTGCCCACTGCCGGCAGCCGCAGACGCCGATGCAGACGAGAAGAATGAGCATGAGGGTCGGGGAGGGGAGGAGAGTGAGGGGCTGGGGGGGCCGGGCAGACCATGATCTCGTCGCTGTCTTCGTGCTCCTGCTGGACGGGGTCCACGTCTACGTTGTCAGCGCCAACACTGCGTGTAGCCCAACAGACACACACACATCATCAGCGGTCCATATGAATGGCCTCTTCTCCCGTCTGTCCAGCTCACCCACCTGGATGACGCCGTTTGGTTGTTGTCGATCTTCTTGGTGCCGTTTGCCCCTCTGCCGCCCCTCTTGCCCTTCGATCGCTTCTTGCCGCCCCTACTGCCGCCGCTGCTGTTGGTATTGGTGTCCTTCTTGCCCTCATCTATGTGGTCATCTGCCAGCTCGGCCGCTAGATTCGCCTCGGCTCGTTCGTTGGCCGCCTTCTCCATCTCGTCAAATAGCTCCAACAACTGACCCACAACACATACAGCTAATGTGCCCCGTGACCATCAATCTGTGTGTCATCTTAAACATGTCACCTACCTTCTTAGGCACGATGAGGTGCTGCTGCTGTCCCTTGCGTCGGCCCTTGGCCTGCTGGCCGGCCGCGCGCATGGCCTTGACCGAGTCGTGCTGGAGGATGGCCTGCGTGACGAAATTGGGACGGAACCTGCCCCCTCGGCTGCTCACGCGATCGCCATAGCTGCACAGACAGACAGACAGACAGACAGAAGGTGAAGTGAGTGTTGTAGATCAGGCAGGTCTGTGAGTGTGTGAGAGTGTGTGTACCTGACGAGTGCACGAAGAGTGTCGACAGCGAAGTCTACGAACGTGTCCACCTTCTGCTGATCGACCTGGCCGCCCTTGATCAGGCAGAAGGCTATCTCACACAGGGTTGTGGGAAGGCCGTCACGCACGGCAATCTGCGAGCCATACACCACACACAACAGACACCCACCCCACTGCTCTCTCTTGCTGACATGAAACGCTGCCTCTCCTAGATCGATTGTCACCTTGGCTCGCCCACTCTCGACAGTGAGGTCTGCGGCATTTCCGACGATCTGCGGCAGGAGGACGCGTCGTTCAGGGGCCAACTCTGACAGCACTGCGAACCATCCGGAACGGTACACGTCGTCCCGGAATCCAGACTCTGCAGCAATTGAGACATCGATGAAGCGCAGATGGATGAGCAAGTGGGGATGAGAAGACCTGATGTGCTGTGCTGTCTCTACTGGCTGCTGTGTGCCGATCCCTCCTCACCCACCGGCAAGGACGACTGGCACAGAAACGCAGTCAGGCGCAAGAAAGTTGGTGCACCTGGCGCCCTTCTTGACGGCCGCAACGTACGCCTCCAGCGCCCTGGGAACTCGCATGAAACGGTGCCAAGGCCCGTCGCTCAGGGGATCTGCAGACAGTAGTGAAAGAACGGCATGCGTGGGCGAAGAGAGATGCGGAAATTGACAGATGTGGGGTTCGCGAAAAGACGCGTGACTGCCGTGGTACCTTTGCGATGCTGCAAAGCCAGGCAGGAGAGGAAGATGTGGTCGAGGCACAAGGCAGCGCGGTACCGCACTGGCTCGTCTGCGTCGGAGGTGAGCGTGGCGGCCAACGTGTCGACGTAGGGGTAGATGTGCTGTTGGAGTGCATCGATGTACCCAACGATATCAGCATCAGACCCTGATTCGGTGATTCATGGATACACGCCGCCGCATCCCATGAAACACGGTGTCTGTCTGTCTGTCTGTCTATGTGTCTGTCTGTCTGCCATAATACCTTCTTCGAACGCAGATTCTAGCTTCATGGCGGCCCCTGTGGCCAGCATGCGAACGCTAGAAAGAACACTGACATCAACATCGCACCTGAAGGACAAGGAACAGCAGGTCCGATGAACTGCTGCAGTGCGGTTTAGTGCACTGTCAGCACATACATGTTTTCTCGGGTCTTGGCCGGCAACCGTGACATGACCACCACCATCACCCGAAAGATCCGCACCCACCAGCAGCCGCTCGACATGGCCACACTCGGCGGGAAGGGAGGGCCGTCGCGACCATCCGTGCAAAACACCGACCGCACGAAGGCCAGCGCCAAGACGCCAACGGGCATGTCCTCCCCGAGCCCCTCGACGCGCGCCAAAGCACGTTCGAGGACGGCAGGGTGGTGCTGCACTAAATAGTCTCGATAGTCGGCTGCATTGCCCTCGCGCCGTCCGTTACGCATGGTGCTCGTCAGCAGGGTGAAGCCGGCTTCCTCCTCCTCGGGCTGCGGCAGCACAGCGGCGAGGGCGCTGATGAGTTTCCGGGGCGAGCCGTGAGCTGAGATGAGTCGCCCGGCGAATCGCGCGCCGGCGTCGGCCTCTAGGTTCCACAGCCACCTCAGCACTACCGCTGCCATCTCCCGGCGTGTCGTGTTGCTGACGTCGGTCATGGCGCCAACCAGCCGCCGCAACAGACGCTGGTCGAAGAGGTTCTTCTCGACGGCCCCGCACCTCAGTTCTCCGCTCGCTACAGCTGTGGCATACTTGATCACCTGAGTGAGGCTCCTATCGAGTGTGGCATCTGGCAGCTGGTCGGGTGACAAGAGGTGCTCTATGGCCACGTCGATGTCGAAGGGGCGACGAGAAGTATCCATGCGAGCAGGTGGCCGCCAACCGACGGATGAAAGAGTGAATTTGTCACCCTGGAACACAACGCAGATGGATGGGCAATGAGTTACATAATGTGGTCTTGTTCACCGTTTCCGTCCGCAACATACCTCTCAAAAGCTATTCAGATGACTGCTGCGCTCTCCATCGACCAAAGGCCGGGATCTCTGGATCGGTGCTGGCAGGCCGGAACTGTGGGCGGTCTGTGCGGCTGCATCCAGCGCCCACTGGCGCCACCCAGATGGACCTGGCAGATGGACGGCTGGGGACAAGCACCTGCGGCGATTTGAGCTGCGACGACCACCTTTCACTTTTAAAAGGCGGAAGGGTTTTGAGGGTCTAGGGTTTTGAGACCCTGCCATATTGACTCTAGATCAGACGTGCTGGTCGCCCATGCTTCCGTGAAAGCCAATCACCTCCCCTGCTGCATCTGTAGGTGTCGGCATGTGTGGGCCCTTCCACATACACAAACATGGGTCATCAGTCAGTCAGCGGTGTTGTAGGTTGCGTCATTCGTGTGACCAGAGAGATGAACGAAGCAGCCAGCCAGCCAGCAAGGCAGCCAGCCAGGGAAAGTAAGTAAGTCTGTACACATCGATCGGCCGGCCGACCATATTTCCGCCTCTCTCTCAGTCCGCCAGCCAGTGAGTCACATCTATGCTATGCAAACACAGCTGCCACCCACCCACCACACCCGCCCCCCAACATGAAGGGCTCGTCTGTCGGCATGTCACTCATCCAACCGCCAGCATGTGACTCTCGTGCGTCGTAGCACCAGACGAGTAGGTCGCTAACAGCATGGCCCCGCACTCACAGATAGACGTGTCGAGTGGCCGTGATGGCCTGTCGGCACCTGGGGCACAGCCGCTGGTCTACGGGACGCCGCATCAAGGCCGCAGCACAACCACCGCACAGACAGAAGTGACGCTGCACACACACACACACACACACACGTGGCCAGCGCATGGCTGAGAGGGACAGGTGAGCCGTTGTGCCTGTGAGCTGTCTTACGCAGGGGATGAGTACGATGGACTTCTTTGAGGCCATGCAGATGTCACACTCAGTGCTCTCGCGCTCCTCCTCCAGCCTGTGGGCAGCAAACCACCCATCAGACACTCACGAAAGAGGGGCATGCAACCACTGCAGGTCGGGTGTGTGGCGTCGCCTCACGTACCTCTTGTTCTCCCTTTCTATGGCCTCGTTCTTCAGCCGCATGGCCTCGAGCTGCTGGCGCATCAACTCCAACTCGCTGACCTCACCACCACACCTGCAGACACGCAACCACACACACAGGCACAGTGGCTATTTTCTGTCTGCCCGTCCCCCTTCCTCGGCTGCTCTGTCCGTCAAAACGTACCTGTGCTGACCACTGCGGCCCTCCGACTCCACCGCCCTCTCCAAACTGCTACTGCTACTGCCCCCAGCTGCTAAGGGGGCAAGGCCCTGCTCGTCACAGCCAGCACGGCTACTGAACGGTGCTGGCGTGGATGTGTGTTGGTTGGGAGGCCGTGGGGGCGGGGCGGCCGGGCGGGGCGGCAGAGGGAAGGGCAGGGGCGGCGCGTTGTGGGGGCCGCCAGACACAGACGAGTGCGATGAGGAGGGCCGCGTCGACTCGGACGAAGACGAAGACGAAGACGGGAAGACTCTCGAGCTGAACACACAAGCACACCGGAGTAGTCAGTGCTGAGTGTGGTGGAGTGCTTTGGTCGGTCTCACTTGTCATCTCGTTTGTCAGCCGTGTTGGTCTGCTGCTGCTGTGTGTGGCCGCCAGTGCCTTTGCCGCCCCTCTTCTTGCGGCCGACGGTGATGAAGCCGCCGCCCTCGACATCACCACCATCGCCCGCCCCCACCTGCTGCCCACTGCCAGCAGCCGCAGCCGCCGATGCAGACGAGAATGAGCATGAGGGTCGGGGAGGGGAGGGGGGCGACGGGCTGGGAGGGCCGGGCAGACCATAAGGATCTTCTGCGTCCTCCTCCGGCTGCTCGCTGCGGTCTTCGGATGTGCCGATGGCACCACAGCTGTCGATCGGCACACACACACACACGCATTCCGTTCATTTTTGTGGATGCGCTCTTTCCCTATCTGGCGGTCACCTGGATGGTGATGGCGACTCCTTGGTACAGGCTCCCTTGCCGCCCCTCTTGCCCTTGGTCTTCTTCTTGACGCCCTTACTGCCGTTGGTGTCCTCGGCCCCCTCCTGCGTGCCCTCAATGTCCAGCTCTGCGATGATCTTCTCGGTCCGCTCGCTGGCCGCACTCTCTATCTCGTCAAACAGCTCCAACAGCTAACACACAACACATACACTGATATGGACACTGTCCGTGTGAGGCGTCACGTGCGGATCATTTCCCACCTCCTTGGGCACTGTCGCCTGCTGCTGCTGCTGCTGCTGCCGCTGGTGTCCCTTGCGTCTACCTGGCTGCCGCCCGGCCACGCGCATGGCCTTGACGGCCTCGTGCTGGAGGATGGCCTGCGTGACGCTGTCGGGACGGAACCTGCCCCCTCGGCTGCTCATGCGATCACCGTAGCTGCACCGAGAAGACATCCACACATTATCTTCCACCACAGGCGTGTGTGTGTGCGTACCTGACGAGTGCGCGCAGAGCTCTGATAGCGAAGTTGATGAAGCCGTCCACCTTGTGTTGGTCGATCTGACCCTTGATGCAGGCGATGGTCATCTCACACAGGGCTCCTGGAAGGCCTTCACGCACAGCGATCTGAAAATGAGCACCACACGATGGCCATGGCCGCATCCATCCATCCATCCGTGCTGCCTTTCGGCCTGCGGGACTGACCCGGGCGCGCGCGTCGGTGAGGTCTGTGTCGCTTCCGACGATTTTCCAAAGAGTGCCCGCACAGAATGCCACTTTTTCATCGGACTCCTTGTCGAGGCGCTTGGCGATATCCGACGCCATCGAGATGCATCCGGAAGAGTACACGGCATCACGATGGCCACAGTCTGCAGACGTTTATGCGACACATCCACAGGGAGGCATTCATTCACTTCCCTCTCATGCATCCCTCGTTTGATTCGCCCACCGGCCAGCATCTGCGGGAGAGCCAGGGGCAGCGTGGTGATCCTAATCCTAGAGGCAAGGGTATTGGTGGGGCTCTTGACGCCCGCGACGTACGCCTGCAGCGCATTGGGCACTCTCATCAAGCGCTGGACGGGCCCGTCGGCATCATTGAAGCACTCGGCATCTGCACAGACGCACACAAGGACGGGCACACGCATTCAGCAACTGAGGTCACACTCGGAGCGGGCCGTCTGTCTGCCCTTTCACCCACCAATCTGTGTGACATTCTTGAAATCGCAGCAGAAGCCGAAGATGAACTCGAGGCAGACCTTGGCCCCCCCACGCACCGCCTTGTCTGCGTCGGAGGATGTCAGGGTGGCCGCCAACGTGTCGACGAGGGGGCAGATGTCCTCACGGATGGCAGCCAGGTACGCAGCACGCTCATCATCCGACCCTGCGCCAGCCGACAGACGACAAGGAGTCAGGTGGCGGAAAAGTGGTGTGAGTTTGTCTGTATGTCTGACTGACTTTACTTCCTACCTGTGAAGGTCACGCGGTGCATGTGGTGGCGGACGAGTGCTACGGCGTGCTCAAAACAGGCAGCACTGAAGCAGTCATACATCAAAGAAAGAGGGGAAGGAAATGCAGCTGTCTGCCTGTGTGTCATCTATAGTCGCTTACAACTTGTCCCGAGTTGCCTGGTCCTCACACGTCAGCACGCCCACGACTGTCCGGAACACCCCCACCCACACCAGAGGAGGCACGGCAGCAGGGCCGGGGAAGGCCGGGCCGAATTCATTATCCGTCGAAAAGGCCGACAGCAGGAAGGCCAGACTTGCTGCACTGACCCCCGTCTTGCCCGAAAGCGCCACTGCCTTGTCGAAGATGGCGGGGTGGTGCTGCACACAATGGTCTCGATAGTCGGCCGCATTGCCCTCATTCCTGCCCTTGGTATGGCCGCATGCAGCAGCGCGAAGGCGACGTCCGCGATGTTGTCATTGTCGGTCTCTGTCAGCAGTGTGGCCAGCCTGCCGATGAACCGTTGAGGCGATCCACACAGCTGGATGATGTCGTGCGTGAGGTGCGCCTCTGCCCTCTGGATCAGCACGGCGCACATGTTTGCCGCGTCGTCCTGGCTGGCCGTGTTGCCGCTGTCGGTGAAAGCATCGAACACGCGCTCCAGGAGTCGCCCATTGCGGAAATTCTTCCTCAGGGCCTCGCACCCACCCTGGCCCAGCCTCTTGGCAACGCCCAGCGCCTCAAGGCTGCTCTCGAGGGCACCCTCTGGCAGCTCCCCTGGCGACGAGAGGAGACGGATGGCCGCTTCGACGACAAGAGCTGGGCGAGGACCCAAGTTGGTCATACCCCTTGGCGTAGATCAGCCCTCATTCATGGCGCTAAGGAGGCTGGCCGACAAGACGCGCTGCCACATGGGAGCCCGACGCCAGATGGATGAAAGGATGAATAGACCAGCACCTGCAACGAGCAGCACAACCAACCAGCGAGCACCATAGCGCTTCTCGATGGTTCTTTCTGTATTTTTCGTCTCTCACCCTCGGAAGTAATACACAGGACCTCTGGGCGCATACTGTTAGGCTGCCACCACCTTTCATGGCACAAAGCGGAAGGGTTTTGAGGGTCTAGGGGTTTGGAAACCCTGCTGCTGTCAGGGAGTATGGAATGGTTTCTACCTCTCGAGCTCTGGGGCGGGCGTGTGGTGCCCCTTCTTACCCTCAGGGAGCTGGTGAACCTCCGCAGCACATCGCACGCAGTCGGCGACGCGGTCACTTGTGATGAGTTGCTGCGGATCATCGACGCCGAGATCTCTTGCCGCTCGCTGAATGGCCTCATCGACGTCAACCGCTGCGCTTCCTTGCTGGGCAGATTTGCCTACCTGCTCCGGTGCGCATGGGTCCTGCAACGAGCAGAGAGGGAATGGCGCTTGATGGGCATGTTTATCCAACTTGCCGCCATATATGGACTAACCCCAAGGCTGCCTCTGGTGCTGTCCGCTGACTGGATGGCCGCCAACCTGCGCACAAGAGCGGCCTTCGACCGATTGCCCCTCGCCATGGCCATCTACAGCACATTCGGCCACCACCTCACTCACCACGGACACACCCTGGCCCTGCAGCAATCCGCCAACGGGGCATATCACATCGGCAATTTGAGCGTTCGAGTGGTGCCGCTGGGCGCCTTGCCGGCAGGCCACCGCTACGCTGGCACCTACGACAGAAAAGATCCGGTGATTCGGTCTGATTGGCTCTTCCCGTCTTTCACGTCATTCCTTCTGCGAAGCCTGTGTCGTGTGTGGTCGTGTGGCGCACCACACGCGACCCTGCGGACACACATTCGGAGAGACAACCCGGGCTACCTCTCGCTGCTGGCCGGCGAGATCGACAGAGACGAGGGGATTGTCGTGGACTACTGCTGGGACCGGGGTGACCTCCATGGGCCCATGGATGAATGGCGTATTGTCATTGTCAGCGGCTATCGGCGTGGCGAGACCATCGCGGCGCATCTGCTGGTGGAGTGGGTGGCGGGGGCGATTGAGCTGCACACGACGGAGCGGTCTGCTGCTGGTGACACTCGCCTCAATGTGTCGATGGGCCGCGCTGTTAGTGTGCTGAGGCGATTTGGTCTGGAGCACACCATCAACAGGGGGAGGGTTCATGTGGATGTGTGACTGAGGGAGGGAGGGAAAGGTGGATGTGGTGTGTTTGTCCCTCTCTCTTGACGTGTGTCTTCTTCTCGTCAGGGTAGGTAGGTATGTATAGCTGTCTGTCTGTGGCGGGCCGGTGACTGCCGAGAGGGACGATTGCCCACGATATGAATGTGAGTGTGTGACGGTGACGGTGCCGTGTGTGTATATATGACTGTGTTTCCATCCATCCATCCATCAGCTCTGGCTGGTGGATGTGTCTGTCTGTCGGTGGGTCGGTGGGTATCTGATCGATCTGCCTTGGTGGCTTTCTTCCCTGGGTGTGGTGCACGTGCTGACTTCCTGCCGACGTGAGTGCTTGTGACAATATGAATCGTCTCGCGTATGTCATCCGATCCGACGGGAACACATCCGTTGTGTCCGAGAATTGTGGAGTGGCAAGCAAGACCCTCACAAGCAGTTAATTGACACGTCTGACATGCCAGAGTCCCTTTGGCAGTGCAGTAGAGTGCAGTCACACACCACACACGCGCACACCCACAGGCGCATCCCTCCATCACGTACCGTCAGTCACCCCATTGAGCCAGCCATCTGGAGCCATGCACTGCATGAGGAGGCAAAAAACTCGTCATCCCTGCGTTGGCAGAAGTCTCCATCAGACAGAAAGACAGACAGACAAACCCCCTCCCTCCCTCCCTCCCTCCCTCTTTCTCCCTCTTTCTCCCTCTCTGTTCCTCTTCCTCTCGTCCAGCTCCCTACTCCGCTATCATGCCTATGACGAGTGTTCCCCGCGCATCACCGCCCGCCACTCCTCTGCCCGGTTGTGCTTCTTCATCTTCTTGAGCTCTCTGTGGAACCCCCGCTTGGCCTCCTGCTCCTGCCCGTCCTGGGCTGCCTTGGCGTCGAGCCCCATCAGCTGGGCCACCTCGTCGGGCACATCCTCACGGCGCATCTGGTAAGGATCCCTGCACAGATGGGTTAGACGGAGACATACATACGCGATGCGACGTGTGTGAGTATGTGTGGTGTATGGGCTGCCTTTGTGTGGTGTGCGTGTCTGGGTGTATACACACTTGACTTTGGCAGCGACGACGGAGATGTCGTCGGGTTTGCCGCCGGTGGTGTTGTTCTGCATGCTGTGACTCCTCTCGCGCTCAGTGAAGGGCGAACGACGCTTGCTGCACACAAAGACACACACTCCCAAAGGGCAGTCCATCAACCTTCCGTCGTGTGCTGGATGGCGTGTGTTTACGTGTCGAGTGAGTGGTTGTAGGCGGCCTTGGCGATCTCCTCGGCGGCCAACTGATGGACAGCACACAGAGAGACCAGAGGATAGCACATCGACGGACATACCAACACTCATACATACGACATAGACATCAGACGTGGGTGTGTGGTGTGGTGTGGTGTGGTGTGTGGGGTCAGCTATCAGGTAAAAGAATGGTTGTCTCCATCAGCCAGCAGTAGCTACATCAGCATTTGATGGTCAACATTGGCTGCATCACACCCTCTCTGTCTGTCTCTCTCCCCTCCCTTGGCTGACCCCCGCCCGCTCCGCCTGCCTCACGTGACTTGCCACTCACTCACCACGGGGTTGGGGGCCCTCTCGAGGACGCGCAGTATGTCGTCGTCATACAGGTTGTCCCACACACCATCCGACGCAAGCAACACCCAATCGCCCGGCTGAGTGGGCGCCTCCTGCCTCAACGAACCGTGACACACACACGAATAACTAAGTGGGTGTCGCATTGCCGCCCGAGCGAGCATCATCGTACCGTGACGTCTGCGTGTTCCGGCAGGTCAGAGGAGCCCGTGCCTGAGAGTAAACGAATGATGCGCACACTCTCATCCCGGATGCACGGCAAAGAAGAGAGCGTGTACCGACCGAGCTGTACAGGGAAGTTGAAGTCGTGGCACTGAAACTCTGACTTCAACACCACCTCATGCACCGACGGCCTGCACACACGACCGACACGACACAAGCAGATGAATCGAATCAACAAGTGGATGGATGGATGGATAGATGGATAGATGGATGGAAGGAGGCCAAAGAAGTCCAGTGGTCGTCGACCTGAACAGGAGGAACCCCGAGTCGCCCAGGTTGGCGGTGCGGACGGACCGGCTGTAGTGGTCAAGAAACACCAAACAACACGTACTGAACAGCATCCACACACACAGACAGACAGACAGACAGACATTAATAGAATAATGTTGCCTGGCTGTCTGTCTGTCTGTCATGTAATGGTGCTTACGATGATCCTATGGCCTGTGTCTTGTGGTATGCCGCCTTGAGTATCTCGAGAGGGGAGGGGGTGAAGCGGGAACGCCTCCCGTGCTCACGCAACGCCTCCTCAACCCTACACACCAGACAGACAAAGAGCAGGTCAAAGGCACGCTTGTGTGTCATTCTGTGTGTGTGCCTTCCTTCCTCCCTTGATACCTCTGCAGCAGTTCCTTTGAGTACTGTCCAGCGTCCACGCCCACCGAGTCCCACCCACCCACGCCATCCGCCACGCCCAAATACCTACACACATCACCACAGCAGCAACAGCACAGCCACAACAACACGTTGTGGTGGTGCGGGCTGCATGCCTTTCATCCGTCCATCTATCTGACCTGTATCCGCAGAAGGCTGCATCTTCCCCGCCCTTGAGCTTCTTGTTCGGATGGGGGATGATGTGCTTCCTGGCAGCACAGACGCGCACACACACACATGCCAACATCGCCTCAACCATGGTGAGCTCTTTTTCCATCTCACGCTGATTCGAAGAAGTATGTTCTTGTCTGCGTGAGGAGGACGCACCACACATTGCACCAACCAGGACCTGCTGCTGATGAGGATGATAAGGATGATGAGATCAGTGACGATTTGGTTGCCCGGGCGAAAATGCTCCCAACGCACTTGAGCATTGAAGTGACGGGACAACCCGCTGCCTTTGACGACGTCTTTTCCGCTCAGCTGCTTTCCTACCCTCTGCGGGCTCAGCTCGCGATCGTGACCCAAAAAGGGCAAAACCCATCCATCCGTTTGCCTGAGGGCTCAGTGTAGCTGTTGAGGCCTGCAAGATACATATCTGGTGCATCTGGTGACTTGTCTGGTGAAAAATGGCGCGTCTTACCTTCCTCCTCATCTGCGGCCTGCTGCCCATAACTGGTGGGAGAAGCCAGCAAACGTGAGAAGAGATCTCCGTTTCATCTCATTGTTGCTGTTGCTGCTGCTGCTGCTGCTGCTGTCTGTGTGTGTGTGGTGTGTGTGCAGGGATGGCCTACAGCTTCGCCCCCATGATCCGCAGCGCGGCTGTCCGGCCATACCGCCGCCTTAGAGATCTGTCCGCAACCGCTGCTGCATCAACACCTGAGGTACACACCACCGCACGCACAGACAGGCGGGCGCCAGGCGACCGCGCACACAGACGACGTGTTCCATCAGTTGGAAGGCACAAGCCTGTCAGTCTGTATGGTTTGTGCCTTCCTGTTGTGTGTCAGGGCGGTGGCGGTGCGACAGGTGCCCGCATCGAGTTCATGGAAGGGGTGGAGGAGTATGTGCCGCAGGAGGTGAGACTCAAGAGGGCACCCGACGGTACCGTCTCAACGTAAGCAACCACCCGACCGCACACTCATGCCGTGCCGCCCGTCAGTCATGTGTCTGCCACTGCTGTCGTCACGTGTTGTGTTGTGCTGTTTTGTGCAGGGCCACTTTCATCTGGAACGTGAGTTTCAGCGGGAGAGCGCCAAGTCGACTCATGCATCGCATAGATGGACATGACGTACGCTATGCCCTCTGTTGCGTGTTTGTCTGTCTGTCTGCAGAAGAGCAAGATGTTTGCTGATTTGGAGCCTGAGATGGGCAACGTGCAGGGCATGTACCTCATCGATGAAGAGGGGGTCCAGCTGGGCAAAGACGTCAGATGCACGTGAGGCGATGAATGGGGGGGTATACAAGGCAGGCAGTGCTTATCCGATCCACCCTCTGCTTTCAGATACGTCGACGGAGAACCCACAAAAATGACGGTAGGGGCGGTCCGTCCAACAGAGAGAGAGGGGGGGGGGGAGAGAGAGGG